GGATGATGCGGCTTAGTATTTTGCTTGGGATGGACAGGAGCATAATTCCGCGCCAGTTCTTGCATTGACTTAAGTCTCCTTTCTTTGGTAGTTTGAATAAGTATCCTTTCTTCCAATCCTCGGGTACTTTGCCTTCTTTCCACACCTTCTCCAGTAGTGGCGTCATCAGGTTTGCTGTTGTCTCTGGGTCCATTTTCAATGCCTCTGCTGGGATTCCATCTGGTCCTGCTGCTTTTCCAGCTTTCAGCATCTTGATTGCCTTCAGGACTTCTGTTCTCCTCGGGGGGTTGATGTTCACTGGTAATTCTGCTTCCATTGTTGGTATTGTTGGGCGCGTTGTAGGTGGCCATCGGTTTAGTAGTCTTTTGAAGTGTTCAGCCCAGTGTTTCCTTTGCTCCACTTCTTTGGTGATTGACTTTCCATTTTCATCCTTCACTGGCTTAATTTGTGACGAGTTTCTGCCTGAGAGGTACCTAGTTGTTTGGTAGGGTATTGCGAGGTCTCCTTTGCCTGCTGCTTGTTCTGCTTCATTAGCCATGGCTTCATAATACTTTCTTTTGTCTTCTCTGGCACTCTTCTTTACTCCTTTGGTCAGTGTATTGTAGCTTGCATTCAACTCCTGTTTCTGTTGCTCGTCGGTGCACTGGAGAATCTTTTGTTTCACCATCCTCCTCTCTTCTATTAGCCTCCAAGTGTCCGTAGTGAGCCACGGTTTGTCCTGTCTCTTCTTTCTGCCCAGAACTTCCATGCAGGTTTCGCTCCATACTGTTTTCAGGTTGTCCCAGTGTTTTTCGACGCTGACCTCTTCACTAATGTTGATTTGTGTCTCAGCTTTGTCCTTTATACTTGCAGTAAAGATATCCTTTGTATCCTGGTCCTTCAGTTTTTGAGTGTTGAACTTGGCTTGTGGTCTATCTGCAGCTCCTGATTCTCTAAAAGCTTTTAATTTGAGTTGGATTGTTCCTTGTACGAGGTAGTGGTCTGAGCCAACGTCTGCTCCTCTTCTTGCTTTTGTGTCCAGTAGGCTGCGCCGCCACTTCCTCGAGATTGTGATGAAGTCAATTTGGTTTTTGGTTCGCCCATCTGGTGACACCCATGTAGCCTTGTGAATATCCTTGTGTTTGTATACGCTGCCACCAATCACTAGTTCATTGAAGGCGCAGAAGCCGGCGAAGAGTTCTCCATTTTCATTCATCTCTCCCAGAGCTTCTTTACCCATGATGAGTTCCCTTCCTGTGTTGTCTGGTCCAAGTTTGGCGTTCATGTCTCCCACTAGTATTTTAATGTCACCGGCTGGAGTATTGTCTATTGCTGCCTGTAGTTGTCTGTAGAATTCTTCTTTCTTTTCGAGGTCTGCGTTGTTTGTGGGTGCATAGCATTGTATAATTGACACTTTTCTTCCTTTGGAGTTGAATCTGGCGCTCATTATTCTTGGTGAGATCGCCTCCCACTGTATCAGAGCCTTGGTTTCCGTTGGTGACATCATGATAGCCACGCCCTCGGTGTGTGTGTGGTTGTCTTCTGGGTGTCCGGAGTAAATCACTGACTCACCCGTTGACAATTTGGTGAGTCCATTCCCGTTCCATCTGCTTTCACATATTCCGAGTACTTGAATTTTGTATCTTTTCATTTCGTTTGCGATCTGGGCAGCTTTGCCAATTTCGTACATGGTACGGACATTCCATGTCCCCACACAGACTTCTTCTTTTGACGCAAGGAGATTGTTCACGCTGAAGTTTCTGTAGCAGGTTTGTTTACAGGGTGGGGTTGCTGGCCTCACGCCTGAGTTTAGTCTTTGGGTACCTGAAATAGAAGAAAGGTTAGTGGTGCGTGACCGCAGAGCCCAGGGGACATCTGCTTGAGGCCGGTCACACACGGCCTGGTGTGTCTCAGTAGTGTACTTATCACTTCTGCCCTGTGACACGGCAGCAGAGAGCGCGGTCGTTGTTAATCCGGGCCACGGCCGATCCGGCATGATATCTCCGTAAGTATATCATTGGTAATACTCCTACACTATGTTCTCAGAGGAAATTCATGTTCACTAAAAACAGTGCTTGATAACAAAGTTGCTAAAGATAATCTAAATAAACGCATAAGTTTTTATGATTTTAGTGTCTAAATAAATGACATCGATTCATGTCATTAACCGCATTGTTATAATGTAACTTTTATTATATAGATTGCAGTTTAATACACCCACAAGTTGTTTCAAAACGATGCGAAAACAACAATCTTTTATTAATGAGACGGAGATTTTCAACCCTGATGAGAGATAAATGTTTGCACAGTGAAGCTGTATACAAGAAACCAATAAGTAAGTCTATACACATATTTGAGTTTTAAAAATAGGACAAAGCTACTGTGGATACCTTTCATCTTTATTATCATTATTTTTTTGTTAGATAAATTACTACTCTAATATTTTTTGAGTAGCATTATTATAACACTAAAATAATCTTCAAGTAATGGTGGGGGGAATTTTGTTTGATTGGATGGAGAATTTCATCATGAGCTGACATCGGTTACAGAACCACTGGAAAACCCGGGAGTACTGGACATCTGTTTCGTCCTAGTTTGGGACTCTTCATCAGAGTTCAAAACCTAGGACCTTCTGGTTACAAGGTGAGCTCATAGACCATTACGCAGCCACTGGGAGCCGATCCAATGGCCCATGAATTCTAACTTCTGCCAATTCATGACATAGCGCAACCATTTCGCAATGTCTTCTTCAATGAGTTACTGCCTTATCATCAACCTGCTGTACCCTACTGGTCACGGCTTCCCACTAGAACCCCAGGTCACTGCGTGAATAGAGCCAGTCGCTAGTGCGCATCAGATTAATTTTCAAGTATTGGTTTTGTGGGGACCAGTAGGGTACCTGCTGTACCTTTAATGGTCTATGAGCTCGCCTTGTAACCAGAAGGTCTTGGGTTTGAATTCTGGCAGCGGGTGCGTCCCAAACTAGGACGAAACAAATGTCCAGTGCTTCCATGTTTTCCGGAGGTTATCTAACTGATGTCAGCTCATGATGAAATCCTCCATCCACTAAAATAATTCTAAAAAGTTCTGTCGTCATGCTTTCAAATTACTGTATGATAAACCTTTTCAATTCCTCTGTATTCTAGTATGCATACAGTTTGACTGTTAAGCTCCCATTGTCATTTAAAACCACATCATAAGGATCAAGTTTAATATGAAGCCATTCACCAGTAATTTAACTGCGAAGTTAGTGAACATAGTGTTTTGTTGAATGTAAAGAAAACTCGACATCAAGAAATATTCTTTATCAGTTAGTTTGTGTTTACTAGTATACACTAAGTACTCAAGTTTCTAAAATTAATTTAGCATTCTGCCTACCCATAGTAGCTTCCGTGAATATAAGGGCGTGCATGATAACTATATGAAAGCATGGTTACTGCATGTAATATTACTAATTTTTACTCAAAACAAACTTTCTTCAACCTAATTCATAGATTGTAAACCGTTGAAACGAATCAATGTTGGAAAATGCCAAATCGGTCCAGATTCCATTTGGACGCAGAAGATAGATGAATTAATCCTTACAGCAGTAAACTGTCAATGTGTTTGGAGAGTTAAACATTCCGAGAAGAAAATTTGTAGTAAGTTATACATACATTTTCCGAAGATAAGGAATGATATGATGAATGAAATTATTATTATTATATTTCCTTATAAAAGTTTCATCTAATCAAATGCTTCTAAGTGAATCCGACATTCTAGTTACACACCTGTGTCTATACCTCAGCGCAGATTGATGCAAAGCGTTATACTACCTAATCATTGGATTTTATTTCATTTTATTTATGTACCAGTCAACACTCAAAAATATCAATATAATTTATTAACTACTAGTCCTAAATTCAGTTACACTGCTCAAACATAATCTGAATTTACAACTTTTAAGCGGTAAGTGGATGCACATATTGTTCCATGAAGCCAACATATTATAATCAACTGATGAATATTTGAACATGTTGTATAAAAACAAACAACAAAATATGTGGAGTAAGTTAATAAACCTCATAAAGAAAAACAGTAAACAACAATCCGTCCTTAAAAGTGAATAAACCAAAAAGGTTTGTCAGCAATATTGTAACCGAAGTAGCTACGCTTGAAAGTCATTCACATATTTGTCACGTGGAGGAAAATATTGATTACTTGTACTCACTAATTCTGTTGATTTTTTTGATGATGAAGAATATTTTTATCTTTTAATAAAAAAATTGAATAAATTCCATTTTTTATTTGCGAAAAATAGCTTAAGATTATATACTGTAGATTAAATCTCGAAAGCATTCCAACTTCCCGTATTGTATTATTATTATTATTATTGTTCCCTTGGGTTCCTAGTGGAACATAGGGCTTCAACTGCACGTCTCCACTTGCTTCTGTCTTCTGCTGTACTTCTCACCTGCATCCATGTTAGTCCATACTGTTTCATCTCCTCCTCACACGATCTCCTCCATGTCACCCTTGGACGTCCCACTCGCCGCTTCCCTTTCGGGTTCCACTCGAGCTATGGCCTGACGCGCGATGTCACCCAACGGCCTCCTCAGCGAGTGTCCAATCCATCTCCTTTTTCTCCTGCATATTTGTTGGGCGATTGGTTCTTGTTTTGTTTGTTCCCATAGTTTCTTGTTGGTGATTCTTTCCGGCCATCTGATCTTGAGTATAGAACGAAGACAGTTTTTGATAAAGGTCTGCAACCTGTTGGAAATATTCTTTGTGACCGAATTCCTGTATAGGCTTGCAGAAAAATCAGTTTCATTTTAGAATCCCTAGTAGCCTGCATATTGTTATGTAAAACAAGGTAATTTAGGGAAGAATACACTTCAGCATCAGATCAGCCACTTGGAAAATAAGCATAAAGGAGCACTTAGAAAAACTATTTTGAAAGAATACATACAACATTTCCTTCACACATTTTATAGTGATCTTTATATATTATGTTGGCCTTTAATCATGAAAGTTCCTAAAATATGCTAATGTTTTCAGAATGTCCAAATCCCGTGAAAAAACAACGTTGTATTAACAATGGACAGCAGCTGATGCATATTATTACAACATTTAATCTGGAGGGAGATAAATGCAAAGCATCTCAGCAAGAAATAGAAGTGGATCCATGTGCTCACATTAGAAAAGATTTCAGTAGAAGACCTCTATTTCACATTGGAAAATGTGATCCAACTACTTGTAAAGCAAAACGTTCGGACTACCGTTTCAGTGTTAAAAACTGTCAGTGTCAAATCTTACAGTAAGTAAAATCGCTCAGCCATTTTTATTCCAAGAATAATTTTGTTTATTTCCTTTTATTTACCTGTGATAGAAATACGTTTTCATTAACTCTTGGCCGCTCGTCAAAGCCTGTTAGCAAGTAAAAGCTACCAATCGAGATTAATGCAACTCAGTCTTAAAGACAGATGTGCACAAATAGGACGAAATCATTAAAAAATTTAATAAATCTTACGGATAAATCGTTTACCTAAAACAAACTACATCGTGTTCACATCATTCTTATAGTTATAAATGAAGTTTAGTGATGAAGCTAGCTTCCGATGGGTTTTCTGTGGCACTATTTTTTGCTTACATAACTTTCGTAGGGTAGACTATAGGGATTAAATGTGAGTGACTAAAATCCCTTGAGTATTTATTTAATTGTCTGGTCACTCACCCAATCTACCTTCAAGGGTTAATTACAGACAAGAATATGTAATCGTCTTACTCTAAGTTTGTGTTACTTGGTGGTTATTTTAATGAAACAAAAGCTGTGGAGTTTCATGCCATTGACGTGTTCGAGATCAAATTACATGTTTTTCAAGTGCTAATTCTATGGAAATGGAAGTGCACTTAAAATGGTACCTAAAACCCCGCTTAGATTACAAGTTTATTGGCACGTTACATTTTTCAAGCAACTTAATAATATATTAGAATAGTAATGAACAGTATACGTCATACGTTTAAATATACTAAGCATCTCTTACTGAAGTGTCAGCTGAAACACGAGATAGAAGGTCATTCATATACTAAGCAGAGAATTCTGCTGAGGTTGAAATAACCACTTTTCAGGATTAACACCCAATGATAATTAAACACACCATACCTATTCTGATTTTCAGAATAGATAACAGTTCAAGTTTGTCATCCAACTGCACATCAGTTTATCATGACTGTCAACATTATTTTCAAATGTAGTTAATTCAGTCTTTTAATACCACGTAGATTTCTTTGACAGCAGAAGACAGAAGCAAGTGGAGACGTGCAGTTGAAGCCCTATGTTCCACTAGGAACCCAAGGGAACAATAATAATAATAGATTTCTTTGATTCATTCACCAAAATTAAGCTGATTATTTTTTCAACCACTTAGGTGTTATGGATTTCGTACAGTTTATGCCTGTTATGTGGCCTCTTCTAATTAAATATTGTCAATCAATTACCCATACATATGCGATAGTAAATAATACAATAGTAAAAAGCAGTGGTAAAGTAACTGAAGAGTCTTTTTTAAAATTTGCACTTCTTTATATTTTGTTTCATATGTTTACAGAAAGGTGACTGATGAAATATGCTGTTGCCCAAAACCACTAAAAAAACAACCTGTTTGTAATCACCAGAAGAACATAATTGTACAGAAACAAACCCATTTTTCACTTATTACTCCAACCAACAATACACAATCATTTAAATCATATTGTCAACCGAAATCTTCACAGATTTCTATCCAAGTGAAGTGTGGTCAAAAGTTTCAGAGAATTCGGGTTAAACCGTGTGACGGTGAATTCCATCATATAACTGTATTGAAGCCAATAGTTGAAAACTGCACTTGTAGACAGAAAATTCTACAAAACCTGAAAATAAGATGTGGTGAGTTGTGCGTTTTTCCCTTATTCGGCCCATTTATTTCATAACAGAATGACTATGTTTAGTGTAGCACACAGGCACAAAATAACCCGTTTAGGAAACTGCACCCTACAACAGAACCCGAATTCTGTTTTGGTATTAGCCTTCAGAGCAGGGAGCACTTGAAACTGCTTGACTGTCAATAACCAAACGGTAGTCTTTTTCTTCTTTTTCTTCAGCAAAAGTTGGGAGTGACTGTGACACAGCTGAGTGGACAATAAAGTAGATGAATTGCGATGCTTATTTGCTTTCTGAGTAAATCATTGAGACAGTTATCCAAAGGCCACTGATTTAGGTCTCATTACTATCTTAGTCTCTTAATTAATTTTACCTCATTTATTCAGATATCATCATAACTTAGTTTGCACTTAAAATGATAAGCTCTTCTTTAAAACGAAAAAAAATGAATTTATGAGTGGACAGTTTCTCAGACAATCCCTTTAAAACCCTTATTCTCACAGACTGTCATTTAATTTATTTTCCATAAAGAACTACTGTTGGATTGCATACGCCCTCAACATCTATCATTTTGCACATTAAATTTTGCTGATATATTTTATGCTGAAATGATATATATATATATATACTGAAGTTGAAACCTTATCTGATCTGAGGACTGCCCTAACTGTATGCCAAATTCTTCCATACTGAGTCAGCTATGAGAGCTGGTTACTATCTTGAACTTAAGTGTGACTGTGACATCTTTACTCAGTTGCAATATACGTAAGAGGTAAATAAATTTTCATTCTTCATTGAACTAATTAATAAGACACAGGCGATAACACTAACTATTGTAACAATAGAAGGCAAGACATGGAAGCCAAGGTATGTTTTCCATTGAGCAAACCACTGTTTATATATCTACAGTTTATATTCGTTCACTAATGACTGAGCGTGTGATTTCGGCTTTCATCAAACGACATGAAATAGAATGTTCAAATATGCATAGTATTCTATTGCCAATGCCATATTGAACTGTCGGAAAGTATTCTGTCTCTAACATTAAATAAAGTGTTCAAATAGATATGTTGTGTACAGTGGGAATAACATTCCGACTCTAACATCAAATAGAATGTTCAAGTAGATATATCATATTCTGTTGCTAATGCCGTATTGAACTGTGGGAATATGTGAGACTAGTACTCCGTTGTCACACATTGTATGTATCACACCACCACACAAGGACTACCATTTCAAGTCGATTTAATAACAAAATATAGTTATTATTTGAGAACATTATATGCATCCTTATCAATGTATCAAAATAAATGGTAAGACTATAAATAAAGATGATTAAGTAAAGGTCATTTCTGCTATGAGCCACAAGATGAAGATAGTTGGGATATATATTTTTTTTCGAAATAGAAGTTAGCGATGAGGATAAAAACTATTATAAAGTATTCTCCCATTTAGAGTATAGCAGATATTCCAGTTGTGTAAAAAGTTGATGTGAAACCTTTGAAATAGCCAGAGGTAACATATGAAAAGATTACAGAATTCCTTTAGGCACGTAATTCAAAATCAGCTACCGCCTCGGTTCTATCTGCAAAAGTATAATGAGACGCTAGTGCATCAAGTTCCAGTTGCAATAAATTATATCCTCACTCATAAGTTAGACTTTCTAGCACTTCAACTGTGTGCAACAGATTTAGTCGTTTATCCATTTGTCTAATTATAAACAGAAATAAATTATTTATTATTGTATGATCATAGAAACTCTAACTGATCTTGATAGATTCTATTATTTATTGAAACAATTCACAGCATAAACACAAGGTGGTATGAAGCGCGACAGAGTAAAAATAGGAAAATACGAAAAGTAGACAAACAGCTTTCGAAACTCCCCTTATTGGTGTGAAAAAATGTGTTCACTTTCGAAGTGATGGTATCTTCTTATTTATATATTTCACCAAACATATGAAATGAGATCAACCCTCATTGTGGTAAAGTCGCTATACGTTTGCATAGTTTAGTTTAATTTGATCAGTCTAGTGTCCATGTAAAGACAAAAACTTGTAATTTTCAAAATAACCGATTTTTATATAAATTAAAGGTTGTCCAACCGTCGTACGTCATATTCCTGGAGCATGCATAAACCAGTGGGCCCTACATAAGTGGGTTGGATTAAAAAGTGTTGCTACTGGAGGTGAAAATCCCTATCAAGTGATGGAGAAATCTTGTAAGCCTGAAATACTTGAACAAAGACGCATTCGATGTGCATGCCCACCTGTACAAGTGTTTAAAAAGTGCTTTAAACACAAATTGTTATCCATTCAACGTGTTAACTATAAATTGAACCAAAGACTGAATAACTGTGAAATGTACAAAACAAAAGAATTCAAGAAACTGAGTAAGTTCATTCTCATAATACCAAATTTTGATTAAAAAAAAGACATTATCCTCTATTTTGAACTGCTTGTCCCTAATCTACCTTGACCATACAACGTTTACATTCAGTAAAATATTAGCGTTCAAAGTAAGCAATATAATCTTACCATGTTCATTTGCTGATGCTTATTGTTATAAGCATGGATGTATTCATGAATGTCCAGTGTCATACTTCTCCAGTATGACAGTGACTGGAACCACATGAGATTTTTGAGTTAGTTAATCCCAGCTTAGAAACAGCTCTTAGTGATCTAACTGCATTGAAAGTAAAACCTCAATTCAATTAGGTTTTCCTACTAGGAACAAAATTATTTACTCCGCTAGTTTCTTATTTCATTTCAAAGAAGGCTTCAAAATAAATTTATCCATTAAGTAGGAATCTATTGTGTAATGATTTCCAAGTTTTTTCAACTATTTACCAACATAGCTAAGAATGCCAACAAAATCTTTAAGACATACTGTAAATTAAAAGTAATTTTAAAATCTGCACTTAGTTCCAGTAAGTGAATGCTACTGTGAAATCTAAACTCTTATTCCGGCCTGCTTAAACCATCGGACTATTTAAATCTCCATGCAACACACTGCAACTACTTTCCACCGTTTCTTGTTGTTTCAATCACCCAATTATCTTCTTGGATCGCGACATGAACTCAGGCAAATTTATAATTGGCTTCCAACGTATCGCTGCACACTTCAAAAAGAGAATGAGGGGAAAATGTCGTATAGGATTGAATATGGTTACATCATACGACATACTGTCAATGAATGTTTACTTAGAGATTCAATTTTTATTTTTGTATACCTTTGCATTCTGAAGGAAAATAGATCTTCAGAACTTTGAATTTTCGGGAGCAGAGGTTTTATTTGTAAGGGGTGGAGTTGACAGCTTCATTTCCGACCTCCTCTCTTTACCAGGCTTCCTACTGGCTAAGCCAGGTAAAGGAGTACGTAAGCCGGTGTCCAAACCCAGATGAGGATTCTATACGTGGTGTAAATATTTTGCAAGAAATTACTGAGAGAATCGTGTACTGTGTTTACACATATTTTCGAGAATAAAACTGACATTATGATAAAACAATAATAATTTGCTTTATTCCAAAGCATTCTAAAAAGTTAAATTTCATAGGAAAAATCTCATATGAACATTTTAACAGAAATGCAAATCAAACTGAATTCATACTGTGACATGTAATCCTTTTTATCATGGGTAGGGAAAATGGCTGGTAATCTGAACTAAACGTAATCATGTGTGACAGCACTTTATGCCTACTCATTCTATGGAAATAACATCTCTGTGATTATGATTTTCTTTTCTCTTATTTACAGTTTGTCCCAAAACTCAAATAACACAAACTCCATGCGGTAGTAAACTAGAAAACTATGAACAACATGAAGTAGTCAAATTATGGTATGCTGATCAATGCAGATGCTTATTAAAGGTGATCAAGAAGAAATGGGTGTGCAATTGTCATGCACGTTATCCGAAACACGTCGTAAAGAAATGTCTGCCAAATGGATATCAACTACTTTCTCTGAAAACAACATGGCATAATCAAGGAAGAAGATGCGTGAATAAAACAGAGAGACAAGTGGAACAAATCAGTATGTCGATTCAGTGAATCTGATTTAGGCTTTTTAAATAGTATCTTTAGGAAAATTCACTTAGGAAAGATGCATTTCAACAAGAGGTGAAATGCTGGGAATTAAAGCTGACTGTAATAATAAGTGTTGTGTCATTTTATTCCGTAATATTATACGGTTTTTAACGTAGCTTGATGTATTACTAAAGCAAAGATTTCCTGATTTTATGCTAATCGGGATTTCGCTAAGTTTTTGTGCTCCAGTAGTTTGATTAACCGAGGTTACTAATTTGGCCTATACACACTATTGGCTAATCTAGGAATTATGTTGCTGTTTTGACTGATTCCGAGGGAGTTTATTCCAATATATCGCTAAAATGCGATTAATTTTTTAGTATTTAATTTAAGAATGAAAATAAACAGCTTGAAGTAGAGGATGTAGTTAGGTAAGTTTTTACATACTGTGTGGTGACTGCTGTTGCTGGTAGAACTTTCTTCTTTGATCCTATGATTAATGGATTGAGATAATTACCAAACTGGCTGCTGCTGAGCCAGTCTGACTCAAAAAGAAGATAATTTCATGGCGCTGGTCCATAATTAATGGTTATGTTGTAAAAAAAGGTGCATGATGGACGTAGAAAACACGAAATGTGTAAGCAGCCTAATCAAACCATCGAAGAATGGGAACGTAAATATAGATCATTTCCTCGACAGCAGTCGTTGTCATTTTTCAATCTGTCCAGTCACACAATGATATGAATGATTAGCTTTATGTCAACTTATCAGCCAGCGCCTCCTGCATCGACTCTCACATTGTGGTAACTACGTTATCGGTACGCAACGCAGCTGTCAGATAGGCATTCTGAACATTCCAGTTTTAGATATAAATATCTGAAAGTCATCAAAAGGTGTCCGTGTGTAGGTTTATTCAACTCTCACCATATCGCAAATTAAGAAGACATGAGGAGTTGAATCCCGGATATGCGTTTTGCCCTATTTAGGATTTGTTAGATGAATGCACCTGCACCTGAAGTGAATGATGGTGTTCATGTTGAGACGCAAACCTAAAACATACCGTTGTAAACGTTAAAAGCCTATCCAAAAGGCGACTGGCCAACAAAATTTCCTCTTGTGTAGTGGTATTAATTGTTATTTTTAATCTACGACTAATTGATTTTACTGGACCAAAATGTTTAGTCTTTGTTGAAATATCAAGACAATAATTTCTATGAACAATAACCAACACTGTTGCAAAAGATATGGTAATAATGGTTGAGTAACGTGGTAGATAATGAAAATAAGACTGTTTGTCCTACGTACGAGACTCTGCGGAAACAGTGTCATTCGATGGAGCTGGTGAATGCCGAATATGAAGAAACTCGTATACAGAATTCCGCTGCTAACCACTATTAACTGTATAATATTATGTTAACCTAATGGTATCGGTGGAGCCAACATATCGACAGATACTGTATATTTTGGTTCGATAAAAATCCGTCAACTGGATATCCGAAATGAACGTTTCAATAGACTAAATAAATATTTCTTATTTTAATTTATTGTGGCAGTTTTATAGATGTCGATGGTAGTTACTGCTTAAACAATTCTCAACTTTAAAGAAAATTTAATTATTCCTGTTTTCCGAATGTTTCATACTACATTATATTGTTATAATGCTTTCTGTGAATTAAATTAAGATTTGTGAATAGTTCTCTGGCATTTGGACTAAATATTTTCTTCGCTATTTATAATTGTTATACACAGAATGTCCAACGAATTTGAAAATTATTAGAGGCCAGTGTGACAAAGATAGAACTGGACGTCTAGCACTGATCTATCTACAACAACGTCCTAAAAACTGTCAGTGTATATGGCAACGGCTTACAGATATTGAGGTTAAAAAGCTGAAGTTGAAAACATCTGAAGCATGTCGATGTCACCGTAATTTCATGGTTAAACGATGCCAGCCAAGTGAATTCAATAATACAGCCCATTTAATTAGAATGTACTTTAAGTATGCTATTCAACAAGGTGAATGTCATATTTATCGTAAAGTTGAGAAGAAACCTATAGTTTGTCAACCCGGCAACCGAATAGAAAGGTAAGTATGTTTACTGGTTCTCCTGAATACTGCGTAACACATTTTTTCTATATCCCATCCAAGTTTCCATATCTTCATTGTAAACTGTAATATGTCAGTAGTAAGCTGCTTTACAAAAAGCTATGAATTATTTAATATTTGATGATAAATAACGAAAGAAGCACGATTAACTGACAATTCAAGGAATTTTCTCGTATTATAAAGAATGAATTCCTTTAAGCTGTCATTCTTTACGAATGTGTCTTAGTTAAGAATGTGTTGGAATCAGTTTGTGCACCTTTATGGAGAGTTTAAATACCCTAGCCAAAAACTATTTGAAAGTAGCAGTTTCTAAAAGATCTTAAGGCAGCATTAGGATTCAGAACGCAGTAAGTATCAGAAATTATAGTAAAAGTGATGTTTGAGTACTTTTACGACTTCACCAGGGCTGATCTTTTTCTGCTTATCATTCCTCAGGCTGGTGTATCCTAGATGCGCTAATAACAATTCTTTCTATGAATAGAAAGCCATGAACTAGAGCAATGAAACATTTCAGGTACTCCTTAAGAATATGGCAGATGCTGTATTGGACATATCCAAAAGTGGGGTTGCGGTTAACTTGTTTGTTGAAGATGGCCTCCGCTGAATAACTCTAAGTGTTATCTTATTCTACCGTTTTTGCAACAAATCTATTCTCCATTCAAATACTGACCTTCATCTACTTTCCAGAAAGTGTTACATTTAAATCATTTAAATTTCATAAATAATAAATAACGGTCAGATAATGTTCAAAGAAATAAAGGCTGTTTAAAGGCCGAAGCGTCTCTATGCACAAACTAATCGGAAATAATCTTCATAATAAGGGGATATACTGTTCCATGCATTCTGTAGTCCGATAATGTGAGACTGGATACTCCCACAAATTATCAGTTTACTCACAAACAATTTATCGTGGTGCTTTATTTAATTTTTCTTAGTAAAAATCATCCTTTTATTTCTTTAGACATTAATGATCTGTATATGTCAAAGGTGTACCGTAATAAGTTAAGTACATGAGAATTATCACATAGGTGATATGCATTATTATTACTATTATTTACTGCCATTATGTAAAAATATTTTTCCTGCCAACTCATTTCAGATCTCAGTGTGATCCAATCACAAATGAACGAATTGAAACTAGAATAGATACTTATCTGGATGGCTGTCAGTGTCATCAAAAATTATTTAAACGTCGTTGTCGTTGTAGTTGTCCAAAACCAAAGAATAATTCAGTTTGCCAAAGTCGAGATGGTTTATTGCGAAAAATTAAAGTAGTCCATGAATTTACAGAAGATCAGTGTACTTGTAAAGCCAAATATTATGTTCAGTCATCGCGTGTACGCTGTAATGAACCACCTAAGTTAATTAAGATTGGTCAATGTCATAAACTGCCACAAAATGAATCAGAATACGTGAATAAAAACGATCTCTACAGAAACATATTTTGGATGAAATTGCATAGAGTAGGATGTCAATGTCAGTACAAACGATTCATGGAACAGATACCCTGCTGTAAGTCAAAAACCAAAAGTGACTGAAGTTTTTTCTCTTTCAAAGGATTTCAATAGTTAATTTATATATTCGTGTGAAAGTTTGTGCACAAAAAATCTATTCTAAACAAATTGTTGTAAATTATAGACACATATAATCTGAAAATATCGCCATGCACGTTCTTACTTATTCACTCTTCTTATCATTGCATGAGATAATACTGATTGTGTAATGTCGGAAAATTTGCTATTATGAATAGTATGATAAAGAAGGCTTGATAGTACATAACATTTCATTTCTTCTTAAGTGATTATATACGGTAGCTTTTAAATGTTCAAACAGTTATAACAACTAGGCGTTACAAAATCCAATTGCACACGAAGTCCTTTGACCTTTTAATGCAGTACTTAACTTAAGTACTGACAGGATTCATCCTAATTTATGCTACTAACAAAAAAAGTATTGTTCGTGGATGTTAATGTGCCAGCATATAACACCAAAAATATTAGTTATTTACGAAACTTAGTACCTAACATCAGGTAAACTCAGTTACTTTATTATGTTCCACTATCCTACACTGCATGTGACCTTATGTTCTCATACTCTTATTGGCCTAGTACGACTTACTAATTATTACTTTAAAGGTATCAACTCAGGTGAAGTATTTCTTTTACAAACTACATCACAGAGCTAACTAAATTTGATTACTGTATTCAACCTTTAAAGCACTACATGTAATTTAATCACTCAATTAGCATACCGTTGTGAAAGGAAATAGACTGTCCATCATGACTTATGAACAGGGTAAAACTTCACTACTGAAGCAATCCAAGATATAAATACAACTCACATAATTCTACTGCGGAAAACCTTCCTTGTTTATTCTCAGAATCACTCTGATAGCATATCAAACTTCTAAATAAGGCCTTAAACATTCTGGAAATTCTAGGCAATTTGATACAATATTTTATTAAAGTTTTGGTCTTTTTTCACAGATTGTTCACCTGATGTCAAAGAAGAAAAGTACTGCGTTGATGACAAGATATTGGAAATTAGAAAAACTGAAAGAAAAATAAGCGAAGACAAGAAACAGTGCGTACGAGTGATTATTTCGAAAGTTCGTAGACTTATATGTGAGTAAATTTCATGTAATACCTGTAAATATTGTTATAAAATATTAAACATGCTGAATGACATTCTAGATATGGGAAATAATTATTACCTTGCCGGGTAAGTGACAACAAAATGAGCAGTTGTCAGAATTGGCGTTCTTAGGATTGCCTGTGGGTGTGTAGTTATTTTTACTAGATTAAATATTGTATGGTTAAATATTCCCTTACTTATATAATAGAATTAATCAACAAATATTAAGGTGTCTGTTACACAACTAACAACAGACATCTGAATTAGTAACTGAATAAATTCTCTGTCAAAAACAGACATAGCTGATGCTCACCAAACTTACCTAGTCAAATAAGTTGTTGCTGCATCTCTTTAAAAAGAATCATAAGAAACACCTAAACACTTGGAAAACCCTATAACGACATCCATTAGCAGTCGGGACTTGGAGTAAATATGTATATTTTATCTGTCTCATGAACTTATTATCTTATGTCTATACATATATATACTCTGGTAAATGTGTCAGTGTGACAACACAAACTGATAAAACTGTTCTTCTAACTCAAAAATAGTAGCATAAAAGATAATAATATAAAAACAAAATATAATAAAACAACTCTTATTTTTACCAATCTTTGCAGATCTTGGAAAACCTGAATATGATAAAAGATGTAATCCTAAGACTGGTATTGAAACAGTTAGGCAGAAGTTACCATTTGTTGAAAACTGCAAACTACGTTATCGTGTAAATGTGCAATACCGTAAATGCAGTAAGTAAAACTGGAATTTTTACCCAGTGTTATTTTCACTTGCAACAAAATCACTTAAGTATTGGCGAAACTCAGCTTTCCGAAGTAACTGGTTTAATTAGTATCGACCATTTCTGTGTGAATATTTGTTTATTCTGATTTGACACTAGTAACTAGTGTGATGCGTCTAGTCCTCTCTTTGGTGCAGACTGAATTCTATCAGTCAGGTTGTAATGTGACCACCATTCTAGGTAGCTCGCCATCACAGTGTACATTGTTTGTGATGATATGAGATGGTTGGAGGCAGTCGGCAAGCTACCTAGAATGGTGGTCACATTACAACCTGACTGATGGAATTCAGTCTCCACCAAAGAGAGGACTAGACGCATCACACTAGTTACTAGTGTCAAATCAAAATATCCACTACAGTCCTACAGGAGGTCAATCGCGAGCCCGAATAGCTCAGTGGTAACGTCTCTGACTGCAGAACTCACTGGGTGACGCGGGTTCGAATCTCAGAAGGGACATGAGTTCCTTAAAGGTCGCAGATACGCCTAGCTGACGAGTGCCAACCAACACGAAACCTAGGTCCAAGGCTTCCTGCCGACTGCCTCCAACCATCTCATATCATCACAAACAATGAATATTTGTTTATTTAATCATGCTGTTCTTCATTATTCCTGTTATCAAAGGTCGTTCCACTTTTTCATCCATGTTGTCAACAGAATCATCATTATTATCGTCATTATTATTGTTCATCAAAAATTCGCATTCGAACATTAATAGACAGAAGACAAGTAGTTCAGAGAAGAGTCTCTTTTCGGCGAATTCATTTTCATAGCTGTACAATCGCAAATATATATGGTTGTTTTGTATGTGTGTGTAAATTAAATTTGTCAAACGAAAATACAATTAGTAAGTTCAGATGAATTGGATGTTGATATAAGAGGGTGGTAACAAAAGTGATGAGTTGTCACAAACGACTGTTAAAGAAGAGTTACGTAATAAAATGAAATTACAATTTCGATACAGAAAAGAAGACGAAATTTGCAGTATAAAATGATATCATTCTATTTCACAGGTTCTCATCAGCTGCAGACAACCTGAAATTACAATGGTTATATAAATGATAATAACATACTTTAATGTTTGAGTTATAAAGTAACCTACAAAGTGAAGATCAACCTTCCAAAGACAGTACGATTCCGTCTTCTTTGCATCCCAGAAGACCTAACCATTAAGCTATAGGAACCAGAACTGTGCATACAAAAGAAAATTATTCAACCACTTCTACTCCCATGGTAACAACTCTGTTGATTTGACTTAACTTTTCTTTGTTTGTTTGTTTGATTTGACTTGACTTTTGTTTGTATGCTTATTTTTCTACTTAAAACCCTTGTGTAATTCCGTATATTTTGTTCCCATGTACACCCTGAGTAAAACTCTTTCGTTGAACTATTCATGTTATTACGTCACTCTTCTTTAACAATCGTTTGTGACAACTCGTCACTTTTGTTACTACCCTTTTATATCAACACTTAATTCACCTGAACTTAATAATTGTAATTTCGTTTTATTACGTAACTCTTCTTTAACAGTCGTTTGTGAAAACTCGTCACTTTTGTTACCACCCTCTTATATCAACATCCAATTCGTCTGAACTTACTAATTGTATTTTCGTTTGACAAATTTAATGTACACACACATACAAAAAAACCATATATATTTGCGATTGTACAGCTATGAAAATGAATTCGCCGAAAAGAGACTTCGCTGAACTACTTGTTTTCTGTCTATTATTATTATTGTTGTTATGAGTAACGGCACAATTTTTATGCACAGTCTTAAATGAATAGTGTTGCATGACTTTAATTAGAGAGAAAAGCCTACAATGGCAGTGAAAATTTAGCTACCTCAATTTTCAAGCAAGACAGTATAAAACATGGAATTTCCAGTAATTAATAGCAATAACCGAAATAAACATCTGCATGAGAAACCTCAACATTTTAGAGTGAAAATTTACAAGGTTTGCTGTCTAGGTGGTTATGTAGCTATACTGTACTCATTACCTTTGACTGTATTGCTTCCCTGAGAAAAATCCTCTGATTTTCCAGATAGATCTCACAGAAATGTTGAAGTGGAACGAACAGCCAAAAAGCAAGTCTTTAAATGGCACAATGAAGGAATAACAATATATTCTTGCTGCGGGTAAAACACCGAAAGGTTAAAATTAATTCATTTATTAAATCCACCAAAATGAAAGAATTAGTCGAACATAAAATACCAAAGATTCAGAATAGAAAAATGTGACTTAGAAACGGGGATGTGATTGTCTGGCTTAAGCACTTCGTTTTTAACCAGTAATTAACTAGTTCAAGTCCTATTCCGCCTGCTTAAGCCTGAGTAAATGGGCAGTATCACTAGCCCTCATATGGTATGTATGGTTCTAAATCTGATGGATGAAAGATCAGTGCAGGGTAATTAAGTTGAAAAAAGGTTTTGTTTTAAATACAACATGTTGGGGTAAAGGGATTAAATTGGCGAATATATAGGCACACCAAATCGAACATGAGATATAAGTGCCTAAAGCATAACAGCTTTGTGAGGTTTTTTTATATTTACTAATTAAAACACTTTTATATCTCAAATGAACACGTTCAAAAAACCGTCTCAGGTAGTTTTCTAAAGACAAAAGCTAGAAGTTAAATTCTATGACAAATGATTTTCTGAACCGTGTGAGATACCAAATTTTTCACACTGAAATCATGTGCAAAGTGGTTTTCAAGCTTCAGCTGACTGGATAGAAGTTTCGGACAGCTGTAAATGAATCAGGACTCTTGAGTGTCAAATACTATTGCATTTCACAGTTTCATTTTAATTCCATAGGTCTGATTACATTGAATGACGAATATAATAAAAGCGAAATCAGTATCTGAATCACCTAGCCCAGGTGGTTGAAGTCAATCTCATGAACCAGTTTTAATCACTGGAGTGTACGCTAATTTTGGGCAGATTTTAGTTTTTTCCTACAATTCACATTTATGTATTAAACTTTCAAACGCTTTATAACACTAATCTGTTGTATACACTTCATCCTAAATTGAAGAATGTAAAACACAACCACGCTTAATTCGTCAGTCCGAGTGTTCGTCCAACTGCAAAGTACGTTTAACATGGATAATGGAAAGAATGACTTTGGATGGCAAATGTAAATATTATTATCGTGTTAAAGAGAATGACTGCTGTTGTCCTTCAGAGAAGAAAATTGGCTCGTTTTGCAATCGTACAAATGGTATGCTTGATATCGGGTACAGAAGCTTCAATCTAGTTAACGGGAGATGTGTACCTAAGGATAGATTCGTTGGAAAACAAATAAGTTAGTTTGCTTTCAGTTAATGTCAATGCAAAATACTTGTTTCTTATTTATCTATGAATTTTAAAGTTTACTTCTTTTTAAGGGAATTTTACAGAATGATTCAACCCACAAAAAATGTGGAATACCACTTACATAATTTCAGATTCTAACATTTTGTATCCTAATATTTGGGAAACGTCATCGTGAATGTAAATAACTTATTTACGTATTCTGTGCCTACAAATATGCAACCTATGTTTCAAGTTAACATCTTAATCAGTTTGTATTACACGTTGTTTTGTTCATTATACGGTGATTTAGCCAAAGTCAGGCTAACTTGTAAAGGCACGAAATACAAGATAATTGTACCTTAAGCTAGGATAAACTACATTATGATTCAAGAAGACAGATTATTTAGCAGTAACCTGAATTCTTAATAAGTATTTTGAACCTCTCCTGTGTCAGCTAAGCCTGCGATTTCCGTTCCAAGGTGTTTTCGGTCATCAATCTACTAACAGGTGAAACAGGAAGTGTTTAAGAAAATAAACAATCTACCACTGTCCAGTAACTTCACTCCTATTTTTGCACCATCCTAGTCCAAAGTATTTTTCAAGTAATAATTATCACTTTGGGGGTAGGAAACACTTTATATATTTAAAACAATGCTACGAAAAGTATTTGAAACCTCACCATGTCACTTAAAAAGAATGATTCTTACCGAATTAACTTCTACTAATGATGCTTTTTCAAAAAATGTCCATGAATTTGCCATACGAAAATATTTTTCTCGAAGATACACTCAAAATAGTAGTGAAGAGTGTTGACTACATGAAATAAACACAGATTACAATTTACTGAATGCCCGAAGAAAGCTTTCATTAAAGTGAGATGTCAGTAAAAGTTATGTTCTAATGTAGATACACAGTTGCAATCGTACAACAATTTCAGTCTAATATATACAGTAAATTCAGTGAGTCAGTTATTGCGGCGTGATAAGAAAATAAATCAAAGAATCATATTTGACCATCATCTTTTCAATTAGCATATCGAATATTCTCAATATAATTCTCTAATCACTATCCTCGGACACTTCAAGATGTAACTCCTCAGAGGGTGTTACTCTTTTCCACGTATTTTACCTATGGTCTGCTCATATTTGGAAAGAAATAAAATTCCTTTATCTAAATCTTTATCAAATATCTATTTATAAAAGTTTACTTACTGACACAGAATCTAACTCTGTACTCTACTTGAGCAGTAGACTTGAATTCGACTCAGTACTTGTCATTCAGGTATTGTTAGAAACATAAGCATTTATTAACTTCATATTTTCGAAAAGCAGTAGTATAGACAAACATTTCAATGAGTAATTCGGATAAAGAATATTATTTGTGATCATCTTCAGATGGCGATGGGTTAATAACTACCAAAATGAACTTAAATGCGTCTTGAGTATTTGATTTTCTCTAAACTAACCGAGAAATGATCCAATACGGATATTAAAGAATCGCCCAAATTTTGCTACTTTGGCTGCTTTCTTTTTGTAACGAAAGCTTCTCAAAGACTTTTGAAACTTTAGTTATCTGCATAATTAGTTAACAGCTGGTTGTTGTTAAGACCTGGTGTTTCTGTGATCCTTGTCAATCAGAAATAAGAAAGGAGAGAATTCTGTGTAAGTGTAATTATTAAGACAATTAAAAGAATTATACAATGAAAAGTAAGCTGATCTGGGAAATTTTTTAGATTGAACAAGTGATTAGAATAATGGCGAGTGAAATAGGTCTATAATCACTGCTTATCCTTCCTTAAATCCCTGCTTAAATAAGTTTTTAACTCACGAAATTGCGACAAAAATGTAAAGTTAGTAACGTAAAGTCTTTCTAAACCGATAAGTCTTCTGAATCTTTAAACTCCTTGTTTATGCTCACTGAATATATATATTTACTAATAAATACCATTTCTTCTATTCAGTTTGTAAGAGAAATGAGAAAATTGTACGACACCAACAACCAAATGGATGGGTAAGAATCGAAAAACAATTTTATATCCGTGATGGCTGCACCTGTGTTCAGAAATTCACAGTAGATTACGACAAATGGAGTAAGTATTAGTAAAATTTCTATTACCTTTACAGCGCCCACGTGGCAAATAACTGTCTGTTTGATGATATATCTGTATTATTAGAAGTATCTCTTTATTTTAAGGTTTATCTGTTGCACATATTGTCAATGCACATCTAAATATGTTGCATTCTGAGGGTAGCAGTCTTCTCAGCGAAACACAACAAGTTACTTATTTAATCTCTAGAGTTGCTAGCCTTTTTTAAAAGATGGGAACCTTGCCATTATTATATGATTAAATTTCATTGAACTTAGGGTATGTATATGTTTGCGTAAGTTTTAATTACCAATCTGGTGGCCATAAGCGTGCTAACAATAATTAATCAATTTGAACATGTCAAACAGGTGATAATTAACCAAGAAAAACTGAGTAAACCGACCATTTTCTTCTAGGTGTTGGAATTTGGTCGGTTTCACTTTAGATCATGAAGTGACATCACAACTCTTTGGGTTTCAATGGTCCTCTAAATCACGACAGTTCGTGATCTAACATGAGACCATTGTCTAAATTACATAATCTAAATGATGAACTGTTTGGCAGATAGCTTTTTTTTGATTATAGCTTGATTCCACACTGTATTTTTGGCACAAGTATGGAATTTTCAGCATGTGATATCGGTAGCCCAAATTTTGCAAGCCGACCGTGGATATCGGGTATGCGTTGGCAGGGTATCGAACCCTGGACCATGTTAATGGCCGCTGAGAGTTCTAACCACTGTGCTTCCGACGCACATACAAATGTTTATGCAGATGCTGGTATACACATAATTTAGAGCAGAAGCTTTGTACTTCAGCTGTTCACAAAGGCAGACTATTTCCAGATCTTCACACTGAGTAATTTCAATAAACTTATTGATTAGTTTTTCACTATGATGTTATGCTTATGTTTCGACTACTGAATATTCGTTTCGTTTCCCTGAATGACGCAGGAAATACCACCTCGCCTCACACTAACCAACGTACTCCTGAGACTGCTTTGCTTTCAATAGTAATGAAGTTATATATTTAATGAATGAATGTGGAAGACAAATAGAAAATTTCAAATCAAGCTAAAACATGTAGAAAATGACAAACATCACTGATGCTACTTATTGCTTTTAATAAGCACTTTAGACGTTTCACCCTAACTAAAACTCTTCATCTTTACCCATTGTGATAGTACCAATAAGGATACAAAAACAAGTTGTCCCAAATTTTGTGCATTAGACTCCTGAACTAGTTGTGCGATGAATGTCACTTCTTCTTATATTGATCTGCTCTCACTTTTGTCAAACTTATGCAGGGTATAATCCTTCCTTAATTTCTGTCTTAATTTATCGCTGAATCTCATGTTTATGACAATTATTTCGTTGAGACCTGCCGTAATACTTCAGGCACATGTTTCATGGTTTTTAATGTACAAGATAAAATTCATTCAGCCTACTTATTAAGACGAGATATCTTTTCTTACTCTAAGTGGTCGTAATATTAAAAACACCCTTTGATTTTTCACTAAAGTGATTATCTCAGCTTCAAGAATTGTATTACATTGGAGAGTTTTACAAGACAGTGAATTCCTTTCACCTGAATAGCCATTAAACCAGGAAAGAATTCTCTAAGGTTAAGTGTGCATAGACCGAAATTCGACTTCTGATACATAACACTCATGAGTGTCAATTAATAGAAGCCTGAATTATACAATCTTCATTTATAGTCCGATACAGTCTATTGTAATACAGAGTTACTTTACCACACAGATATACCAAATATCTTAATCTACAGAATTCAGTACAAAATAAAAGACACTGATCATTCTTCATTACTTCTGTGACCTTGTTTTAAAATCTTATTGCTTTAATACTACCTAGTTGAAAAGACAGGTAAAATTTAAGATTTTTTTTCTGACGATACAGACTGTCCTGCACCAGTAACAAAACGTCGATGTATCCAAACAAATAGTGAACAATTTGTCCTGGAAACTGTTTCCACCAAATGGAAGTTGTCTGACAGTAAACCAATTTGTTCACGTTTAGATACAATTATTAATAGAGTTCCAGTTGATTGCTCAGAGGAATATGTAAATAAATCGGATAAATGTGTACTAAATTTGGGTCGTCACGCTTTTGTGCGCGTTGATCAGGTGACTACATTTCATGCGGACGGTTGTCGATGTATTGAAAATAATGTTCGCCAAGAGTTCACTGTCTGTAAATGTATACGTCCACATAAAGAAAAATCTTGTCTTTAGTAAGTTATATTGATATTCCGCATGCTACTTAAAAATATAAATCATGTTTTAAGTTTTATAATATTTCTAGATTTTATTTTATTTTAATTACTATATATATATAAACTAATGAAGCAGTTTTAATTTTTGGATTACTTGTCAAGCACAAATAATATTCTTGATTGTGGTAGGCTGGATCATACGGCAAACCGTTGACAGCAAGCAGACTACCATATTTTGGACTGACAAGAAGGCTCTAGAAGTTGTGAACTCATTTTCATGTCACGTAAACTTGAAGACCTACAGGCGGAAACTAGTAGGCTGGTAGGAGAAGCAGCAAAGACAAGACTTGGAGTGAACATAGAGAAGATGGAGGTGATGAAGATGACCAACCATCGAACATTAATCGCTATCAGCAGGGTAAATTTGTAAGAGGTCACTTCCTTCACTTATCTAGGCAGCATCATTCCAACTACTGGCAGTCGATACGGATGAGGATATCAAAATCAGAATCAAAAAAACAAAACAGAACCTCATCATTCTGAAATCAGTTTGGAAATCTTCTGCACTCAGTATCAAGAACAAAATTGGGATTTTCAACACCAATGTTAAGTCTGTCGGTTCTTTTGTATAGGTCAGAAACTTGATATGCGCGTCACGTAAAGCCTTTTCAACAGCCTACTGTAGAGTTTCACCAACAACTGCCTTCGCTCCATACTGAAGATTAGAATGACCAACCACAAAGAATTAGCAAAAAGGAACTCTGGGAAACGGTGAGTTGGGCGATCAAAAGTGATATGGAGGAGATGGAAGCTTACTGACAAACGTGTAGTCAGCTAAAGACAATTGCAGATAACAGGATGCAATGGAGATGTGCCACTGAAGACCTATGTTGCACTCAAAACCCAAGGGACTAATGATAGTAACATCAAGTGTAAAATCATAGCTTTGAAATCTCGTTCTTATAGTCTTAATTCTTCACCTCATTTCTTCGTACGGTAGGTTGAATTCTCCACTGGGAGACTTTGAAACATTATTCCTACATTTTTAGAGTTAGTACCTAAAATCTGCTAACTTGACATTCGATTGAACTTTATGTGAATATTTAAGAGATGCAGATATGCTCCACAATTTAAAGTTTTTCTTATAGTTGAGTTTATCTGTTACTACCCGAACACAAAATCAGACATTCAGGTAACTGATGTTAACTACAAGGAGTTCTTTATGCTTTTTATTATTATTGACTTCAAAAGAAATAAGGATGAATTCCTAAAGGCAGTACTGTTGTCGTCTTGCTATAATGTTGTAGATCTGGAGATACAACTGAATTATCGCTTCAGGCGTCATAAATTTTCATGATTTTCTATACTGTTTAGAAAAAAAATACATGTCATTTGCGCTTAGATGTATAGATAAATTTACTACTCAGAGTTTAAAAAGATGATTCTGATGCTATGAGCTTTTTGTCTCCATCAGATCTGAACCCAGGTGTTCAAGAAAAGTCGCTTAAGTTTGCATGAACTTTTAGTTTAGCTGGCAGTGAATTACTGTGGTGTTTTTTCGGTCATATTTATAAAATGATCAGGTTATGGAAATAAGACGCTTTGTAGAAAGTTTTCTTTTATTACATCTTAGTTTTTTTGAAAGCCATGTCTTCGTTAATCTCTTCTGTCTTATATTTTAACATACCAATTAAAATGTGATACAATATAGCATTGTATCAGTTATACTGAATGAGTATGCTGCCATGATTCTTTCATTCCTTGCTTTACGAGTGGAGCATAAGGCCTCAAGTTTTGAGGTTTAATTGACGGTGATTTTGTTGTTTTTACAAAGGAGGGTTGCCAGCCTCATGCAGAAGTCTCCCTCTTTTCCGGGCTTACTAATAGTTTAGGTGTACTCCGGCTGGGAATCGAACTCAAACCACGTTAGTGTTTGGAGTTCATTCTACCATTGAATCACTAACGCATAATGCCGACCTGTTAGGGCCACTATATGGCATTTCAGTCAGTTCTGATGGTCATATATTTAATTAATAAATACTTAATTACTTTAGTACGTATCATCAGTCCCGTTCTTTTACGATATCGCTATTACTATGTTTCATCTGTGCAGATTAACAAATCTGAGTTTGAACATTACTGAAGAGACTCAAGTTGGATAAAACTAGCTGGCTTAGCGTCGGTGGCACAGAGGTAGAATTCTCACCAACCACGCATATGGTTTGGGGTTCGATCCCCGGCTGACACACTCCTTTACCTCACTAAGCCATTAATAAGACTGGAAAACAGAGAAGGTTGGGCCTGAAGCTAGCAACCTCATCCCGTAAAAATGACTACCACCGCTAATGAAACTTCAAGCCTTTAGCTTGAAGCCTTATGTTCCACTGAGAACGTAAAGCAAAAAATCGGTAGTAAAATGATAAAAAAGACTAAACTGGTATTTGGTTCACAGTGGCTCCCTAATGATGTTTATGCACCTCAGAAGCTATTTCTGTGGTACATCTAGAAATAAATTGAGCAAGCTAAAAAGTACTGAACAGATACTACTGCTATGCATAAACACTAAAAATTGCATACAGCACCTTTATATTTCACCCAGTATTCTGATATCTAATAAATTCGAAAACAGAAATGAAAATGAATACATAACATAGAAGATTTTTCATTTTGCGAAAAATTTAAAATAAATGGATGTATTTAAAGTCTGAACAAATTATTTTCTTCTGTTTCTGCATATTAGCTCGGAAGGCATTTTAACCTACCAAAATGTTCATTATGAAGTCTCTGGAGATAAATCACGTTGTATTCCACGTCGAACTCGTCAAGTGTTTAAAGTTGCATGTTCACCGATAGGTCCACAGTATAAAGGTAGGACACAATGTGATCCTAAGACGGGCAACTTTTACCACTTATACGAAGAAAGTAAACGAGTTGGTTGTAAGTGTGTGAAAAATGAACTACGTATTCCTGGGAAATGCAAATGTCCCAAACCAACAACTGAAATGAGGTTTGTATTTTTCTTTATCCTAAATAATTTTTGAGAAGTATCGATTTATATGTTCAAATGTTGTAGGTCATATTCTTATTTTGTAGAATATCAATGATTATTAGATTGTATAGATAATTTAAGTAAGTTTAAAGTTTTCAGTTTAAGATTGTCTATTTAAATAGACAATCTTTTGAAGTCAAAACACTATTTTTGGGTTTTTATCGTAAATGTATGCCATATGCTAGTGATGAACGTCTAAACTGGTCTCTCAGACAATCGTTTAGAAGATTTATCAGAAATATTTATATATATATTTATATTACTACATTATTAACGAATTTATAATTAAAATAATTTAGCTTGTAAGTACAAAATATCAATTCGATTAGTAATAAAGGTGTTTCGTGTACCCATGGAGTAACTTTAAAAATATTTCACCAATTACTTTAAACTAATTGCGGGAAATTTCGTAGTATACCGTCTTTTGAAAAACCTGAATAAAGTGGGAACAAAATTTGCCATACGAAATATGTATCATTTTAATTGAGGGTTTCCTTGCCTAGAAGCCCTGAGTTTTCCCCTAGAAAGCTTGTGCAACTAGTCGAGATGTCAACTCCAAACTAGTCTTAAGAGAAAGCATACTCGACTAGACTGACGATGCCTTTAAATTAGATGGCCTCAGAAAGTACCGAACTGGTCGGTTGTTTACTCTAAAGTGTGGATCATAGGTCAATGTCGTACTGTTGAAATGAAGTGATGCTATTAAGGTGTTTGGCTCAGACTACTAATCAAACTATTAGTTCACCGTGGGGAGTTGAGGTTGACATACATCTATGTTAAAGACTATATACTGTAAATGGAGATAACAGTATAAATAAGACCAAACCTAAGTTCTGTCATACTTGTGAGTGGCTTAAAACAATGGCAACTGATTTTCGGCAGTCTTGCAATGTCAACCCTTTTTCTCCTTCAGAAAATACAAGATGTCATCGGATTTCACGGTGTGAATACCAAGTGAGAATTGACCGCCAGCATGTGTTTATTTTCACTTCATTCTCTCGTCACCTTAATGTTTGTCTTTTTCACTACTTTGAAATCTATTCTCTCTCTTCACTAAATGTTATGCTATGTAGACTTTGATAGCAAACTCAGTTCTTGAAATAACACAGGTGGTTTCGAGAAACCACCTTTTTACACTTCCCACGCCCTTGCTTCACGTGATATCATTGACCAGCTCTTACCGGCGAACAATCTAGTATTCTAAACCGTGCATTCTTCAAATGTTTGTCAAAAATATGTGTGTACTGTCCGAATTCGATTATGTGACTGTACAGTGACTGTGCATATATATATATATACATATATATATATATATGTGTTCATAAATGTCCGATAGATAGCTGTCCTGTCCTTCCTGGAGTACTTACCTAATTACACTGTACTGCTCAAATAGCTCATAGTTGATAGTTGCATCTTCTCTGTTAGGTAAAATGTTACTGTTTCAACAAAATAGGAACATGAAACATACTTATTTCTTCTTAAATTTTTTCTGCACAATTACTTACTGTAATTTAAACGGTGTAAAAAATAATGTTTATCAAGAACCTTATAAACGATCAAAATGATCAAATATTCAGATGTGGCCAATATAGAAAGGTTTTACTGAAGAAGTAGACTAGCTAAGTTGGGGATGAAAGGTTCTAGTTCATACTTTCAGACTTTCAGTCCAGCCAACTGATAATGCTTATCATTCACTACAGCTGTTGATGCTTACCCCAATTTCCAGACGTTGTCCAGCCTGGTGAACATCAAATCAAACGACCTACATCATTCTGCCTGATCCGCTTTTCGTTCGCATAGAATCTGGCCTTAATAAGGCTTTTTTAAATAAATCTTCACCATCACCCTTTAACAATTCTGTCTGCCTTGTTCGGCTATTAACTCTGAAGAAGTCACTGAAAATAATAGTTTGCCCAAATACTGAATAATCTCCTTTGAAATATGGATCCAAAAAATTGTGTTAGCACTTAAACAGAATAAAAATTATTGGAACAATTTATATTTCGTGCATGTTTCACACACTTAACGATATCTGTTCTTTCAGATGCTCAATGCAAAATATTCAACAGCTAAATACAACAACGTATAAATTAAGCTCTAAAGGAACATGCACAAAATCAGAAAAATTACAATATAAGTATATCAAATGCCCAATACCTGATGAACTTCTTCAGGAGTCACCAAATTACAAGGCTGAACAAAGTGGATTTACTATAAAACATATTCATAAGTGTAATTCAGCTGGAACTTGTTCACGTGTAGTACGTGAATACAAGATTTACACAGATAACAAATGTAAATGTATTATTGATAAAAGGCAATATAAAGAGGCATGTTGCTGTCCAACAGAAAAAGATGTGAATCAATTTCAATTATCATCTAATCTATCTCAACAAGTTTCTTTCAGTAAACGGTGTGATGCAAACAAAGGCGAACTACTGACTGACACAATTAAATGGAATCTCGAGCATGGTAGATGTTGGCCAGTTTTACATAGGACCGTTCAACCTATAAGTAAGTAAATAGAAAGTATGAATCATAATTATATGGAGGAGGAATCGGCTTTAACGTGAGGTATTTAGTGCTCACAGTTGCCTTCCTCGTTAATTGGGCGAAAATGATGCCTAAACTGATGCTGAAAATTCTACCAAAATATCGAATTCTTGGACAGTAACAAAACCTTTAGAATAATTGCATATGTTTTACTTAGGAATATGAAATACTGTACTGTCTCTTTTAAAATCGTAGTTTGTAGAATCTGTTAGTGGTGTCACCTTATTTCAAGGGAGAAAATTATAGTTGGTTTAACAGAACTCGAGTAGAAACCGCGAGTTGTGGGTCCAAGGGTGATGGGGAGGAGATCGAATGTGAAGAAGATGAGAGCTGAAAAAGACTCTGGAGAAGTTAATGAAATGTCGATATGCTGATGAAGTCCTCCGCATCACTCGGAACCTAACAATATAATAATAACAGTTCTTAAATAGTTCGACTGATAAAAAAAATAAGTTGTATAACAACTTACACTGGCTGGATAAAAACGGGTCAGATGACATTTTGCTGATTAATATTACGAGAACTTTGTTAAAATATAATAAAAAGAGATATTTGCCGAGAAAAATTATGAAAATTGCTAAGATTTTACAGCATGACAGCTGACATTTCCTTTACTACTGGTTAAGTCTTATTCATAATCTCGATAAAGCTCAGGTACTTGTATTGCCCTGCAAATTTATCAATACCCAAATAATTCTTGCGTGACAACAGTTAAGACTGCGTCTGTCCTGCACACTTTTATCCCCATATCAATTAAAATAAATTTTTATGAAGAATAAGTTCAAATTAACATAGTGATTTAATGAATACATACAACTACTTTTAAAATGACGGTGTAAACTTACTCCTAGAAGCAAATTCTTCTAAAAATATTTATTACTGCAAAAACTCTTCGCACTTAATTCAGTTTAGAGGTATATTTTTAGGTAAATGCTCTTCATTTGGATTCCACTTATTTCTCCTGAACGTAAAAAATATTCAAATACAATTCAAGTGTTAGTTTTTTGCATACTAGTATTATGTAAATGATGTTTTATTACAAACAGTAATTACTATCCTATAAATAATTTTTCACTACTGTTGTTATTTATTTTCAATATTGAAGTTTGTAGTAGAAAAGAATCTTTCAAGCCAATCGGCTTTTGTCGTTCTGGTCAACAGAAACATTTACATCAACGTGAGATAAGAGTTGGATGCGAATGTCGACTGGATAAACGTGTTGTCATGATGCCATGTGGTAAGTTGACAATATTTAAACTACTTTAGCATGTGCAGTGTAACTTAAATGATGTCTTTACTTATTGAGCATTATAGTATTCAACAAAATGTCATTACAAATAACCGCTACTGCATCCATCAGCTTCTGTTACTAAAACTATGATTCATGTCCTTTGCATTTGAGACTGATACAGCTAAGACAGCGTTCAGAATACATACTGAAGAATTATTTTAAACATACTACTGGTATTCAATAACTGTTGCAAACACGTATTAACTATCAGTCACCTATGCATTGAATATGATCGGTATCACGGAATATATTGGGACAAACCGTATGAACCGAGTGAAATACCCTCTTTTAAATAGTCTGTTACCCTTTCTAAATTCTTAATGAAGTCACTATGCTTTGGACACCGTAGATAAAGACACCTTTACTGTAAACCTTATAGATATACAGGAAAATTCCAGTTTCAAGCTGTAATTCTATATCTGCATTTAAAGTAAATTATTTAAATTAAAGTGAACCAATATTTCAACAAACCAACCAAGAATTTCCTAGAGAAGAATAACCTGAATATGACTACATTAATGTTTAAAAATACTATCTGTTGTGCTTTGATTCAAAATAACTGTGACGTACAATCTAGCGCATTCACTTATGGAACAACGCAGCAGTTCAGAATAATTATCTTTTAAACTCTACTTTGAATTAGTTATGTTTTCTGAGCTGGTTGATTTAACTGCGAAACTTTTGTCGTCTCTCTGGACAACATCTTCAGTTCAGGTCTTAGTATAAAATAAACTCATTTTTTTTTTATGTCAAGTTCCCATCTATTTCTGGTGTTTAACTTGAATAGACATGATCTCATTTTACATTTGATCATAACCTGACTAAGATCAACTGCATCAACTGGTGATTCCGTATGTACACCTTTTTCGATATACCTCATATAAAAACCATATTCACTTTCGCACCAGTTATTTATTTCGTCTTTCTATTATAAATAAAGAGTTAGGCGATCTGGCCTGACTAACCCGTCAAAAACCAAGCACTTTTCTCTGGCCAAAATGACGGTGTTCAACAATGATTCGCAAAATGAATAGTAGTCCACCTACTTACCAACGAATTTATTAATGTTTTTTTAAACTTTCTGATACCTTCCAATGAGTTAAAGCCTAATGTTACGATACATACAAAAGCATTAAAAAGTTTCATTACTATTGTCATACTTTCCTAAACAATCATAAATTATAATACAGCGGAGAATTTTTTGGTACAATCTGTTGTGAAGTTCACTTTTTACGTAGAAGAGTATTAATATCTGTTCTTAGTTTTGATTGTTTACTGAAACTGTTTTATATTATGCTGCTATTCTCATACATTTGCCTTAAACAACCACAAATTTCATCATAGTTACAATTTAATGAATTTTTTCAAGACTATTTTAAATTATATACTACTAACAACTGATCATACATCCTACTCTGAATGCACTTGGTTAATTGACTGCAGTTATTGTAAAACGAAAATAAGGTGAAATGCATTCACTTCATTTTGTGTACTTGTAATCAAACACCCTGGCAGCTGGTTCAAAATGTGCATACATGCTACTGATATAAAATGTTATTGGTAAATGAACCTATTTAGTCCAGTAAATTATGGAAATGCAATGGTTTCTGGATTAAAACCTCATTAGGATTACCATAATTCATTGAGATTTAAATACATCCTGATGACGAATTCCAAGTAGGACGAAACTCGCGCTATGGATTTGACTGTTAGCCACAATTCATTAGACGGCAAAATGACTCTTTTCATATCCAAACATCGAGCAAATATATTTGTAGGTGTTCGACTCCTTTAGGATTTTAATTCTAGTTTTCTTACTTTTACGTGTTAAAAACATTTTTGAGTATTTATCACGAAAAAAAACATAAGATTAATGCAATCTGCATCATTTAGGTGTAAAAATCTGTATCATTGAAACTATCTTCAAAAAGTGAAATGGAATCATCACTGAATGATTGACTTCACTCATATATCGACAATCATTACTCTTTACTGGAGTTATAAAATATGCAACATATCTGTATATACGTAGAATTTAAACTATGGTTTGCGTCAGTTTTAACCTTTGAAACTGATGAAATTTATCCGTACTCCTTCATTAGTACATTTTAATGTATATGCGGTGAAGAAGATTTACTGTACCATCCATCCATTACTGGTCCAAAAATATGCGTAATGAAATCTTGAATTTTTCTAGTTTTTAAAAACTTGAACTGCAACATTTTGTAGGTATAATGTGCTGTAACAGTAAAACTGATCTTATTAAGCCATTAACTTACCACATGCAACTATTAGATAATGAACATACAGTAGTACAATCTGGGTTTGTTTTAAATGGATAAACACAAAAGATTCATTTTCTGATATTGATATTCATTAAGTAACTACCTCAAACATTCTTCTTAATCTAATGCCTACTTTTGTATTGTTGTCATTATCATGTTACTAAATGAAAATTTTACATGTTTCCAGCTTGCGATCCGCTTGGCAATGCGGATGTTGTCTTCCTTGTAGACGAGTCCGTGGACAGTAGACAAGCTGATTATTTAACAAATGTTCATAAAGTAATGAAACATACAATAAATGCCTTCTATGAATCGTCTCAATCGACCAATATGGATGAGTCATTACGTTTTGGTTTACTTAAGTATTCACTAAAAACAAAAATTGTTTTTGATTTGAAAAGTTATGGTCGTCTACACAAAGTCTACTCCGAGTTGAAGAAACTAATACTAAATAATGGAAAACAATCTGATTTGAAGCTGGCATTAAACTTTGTGAAGAGCAAGGTAAATATATAGTTTGACGTGCGCATACACCTTTTATATAAAATTTTTGATCAAAACTGGCTTCATTTATGTTGAAGAATAATCAGAGAAAAATGACAGTGTAAAGGATAAAATGAAATCATAAACAGGTATCGGCTGCTTGCATACACAGTTATCTCTTCCATAATTTCTTGATACTTTTATGCATTGACCGCTAATTGAATTAATGACACACTTTTTACTCAAGTAGTGATCTGTTCACAATGAAAACTTAAACAAAATAGGCAGCATGCATTTTCAGATCATATTTTGAAAACTATTAGTCAAATCAGATCATAAATCAACTCTTTGATTAAGTGACATTCACTGACCATAGTGCTTCATTGAGTGGAGCACATGCTAAACAGTGTCTGAGAAAAATATGAAGCTATCAGTTAACTGTGGGAAAATGTAAGGATACTTGTCTGAAAAAATAAAATCATGTACACTTTTTTCATTAACTTATGAATGGCATTGCGATTACCTTCGCAGTGCAGCTCAGATGTGTTTATTCTACTCAATAATAAAAACAACATATTATTGGCTTTGCTGTTTTTACTTCTAAGATTTGTTTCAAATAATTTTTTGTTCTGATTTTGATATGAGATAAACAATAAAGCGCACGCATTAAGGTATTCTAATACACTTGAAGTCAACAGTGACAATAAGACCTCGTTCATCCGCAAAGCAAGATGTGTTTACTTCTCCCTTGTGAGAAGTTAAAAATAATTCTAGACACTACGTACTTAATTGAGAAATCATTAAACGGGTTGAAATTTTAAAACCAATGTTTTCATACATACAAAAGACGAGGGATCGCTACCCATCACACTGAGAAACTTTTGTTATTTTGAGACTTTGTGGATAATTCTAGTCACTGACACTCTGAATAGCAAATGAAGTGAGCTATCCCATAACAATCTACATTAAATTACGCCCATTTCAAAACATTCAAATGGTTGGAAAAACAGCCATGTTAGTCTTTTTAAGAGTTGGAGCTTAAAAGTGAACTTCATTGAATTTTGTTAACTAAACGTTTTGAAGTCAAATAATCTAAAAAGATCTTTTTTTCGCTAAATTTATTCGTAGCTTTTCAATTATTTTCATGCTAGTGATAGGATTTTTTAAAATCTGTAATTCTATTTCATTTTATCACTGTGCAGATTATGCCTCAAACGCGTCCTGGAGCACCACTTTTCATTTATATAATAACTGATGGGTTTGGAAACCAAATGCCAGCTGTTAGACTCCTGACTGACTACCTAAAATCACATAATGTGCAAATAAATGCCTTGCTGCTTACATCATCGGAGAAAGCTTATGACTCAAACTTCTTCAAACAATTAGTCTCTCCGCCAAGTTCGCTTCATTTAGTTGAATTAAAAACCGATTCTGATCAGTTTTCACGTAATTTAAGCAGAATAGCGGACACATTTTGTAAAAAAGGTAAGCATAAACTCTTAGAAGATAATATCGGTCATTTAATGTCGATGAATTACATAGCAGTATTCAATATGCTCGCCTTTTCGCAGCTGTTTAAATGATAGATTACTTTAGTATTATTTTCGGAAATAATTCCACATATGGCACAAAAGAAATACATTAATAATAGTGTATTAACACGTGATTCACTACATCCGATTTCGGTTTTTTAATAAAAGCACGAAAGCTATCTGAATTTCATCCTAGAAATATGTGTAACCATAACCAACATTGAGCAGATTAGCAAGTCTCACTACGTATCTTGAATGAAAGCGCTTACCATTCTATGTTTTGCTTATCAATTGTTCGCCTTCAGCCTGTCCATTAAATTATCAGAGGGAAAGTGAATGTTCTTATGATACAAACTGTATTGGACGTACTTACATTTTTATGTACCGCTTCGATCCAGTCAAAGGTCAATGTGTTGGGAGGACGATCTTGAGACACAAACAATGCTGTAAGTTCCAGTTTTCTTAATTTTACCATCTTAATGGCGAACCAAATTTACCATATATCCTCTTTGTCTCGTATAATGAATAGTTTCTGATGGAAGATCTCCTCAACAGGTTCTAGTTAATAATATAATCATCTAATTCTGAAAAATGTTCCAGTTTAGTAGTTACTTTTTCTTTTTCATAATCTAAGTGATAACACACAAATGAAGAACGTTCTTCTTTCTTTAATTGCAAGTTCATTTTAAATTTTTAAAAATAGTACAGCACAATGTTTAACATAAACTGAACATTTGTAAATGTCTAAGATCGATTCCAAATTAATGACAAGGTTGCACAGGACAGGTGATTTTAGTACATGAGGAAGAATACCTTAAAATCAATCAAAACCCCACAAACACAGCATCCGGACATTAAACTACTGCCCATTTAGGACTACCTTTAGGATAAATTTCCCTACGTTTTAATGAAAAGTTATCTTAAGTTGGCGCAGAGACAGATACCCATCTGTATCATTGAGTGGCTTCGATGCTGTACTCCCTGTTGATGAAGCATCCAAAAAAGCTAGAGAATCAGCATTAAGGAAATCAAAAATCACACAAATCAAAAAAATTCAACAAACTAATTGAAGAAAAGAACACAACAAATGAAACTGATGTCAACGCTTCATCCTCTCTCGACAGAACAAAGTGGGTGATCAACCTCTCATCAAGGGAACTAAGCTCTAGTGAGATAAAAGTACTTGAAAAAGGACTAAATTTCAACGTGACAGTTAATAAATTAAAACCAGAGGATGTCATTCCTAACATAGAAGTAGCACTAAGCTCAATAGATAAGACAACAGCAGAAGAGGTTCGAGCACAATGTGCATTAACCCTGAAAAATCAAAAGAAGGCAAAATCAAACTTAACAACATCGGAAAGACTAGCTTTAATTAGTCTAAAACAAGATAAAAACATCGTCATTACAAAGGCGGACAAAGGAAACTCGACAGTAGTCTTGGATAAGTCTGACTATATCAAGAAAGTCAGTGAACATATTGAGATGGGTCCATATGAGGAAATGAAGAAGCCCGTAGATACAATAATGAATAAGGTTAAAAAATCCACGGCGGAATTAATTCGCAGAATAAAGCCGTCACTGCGTGAGTCTGAATGGTTCAACTTAATGCCTAAAACTAATAATGCTAGTAGAATGTATGGCACTATTAAAATACATAAACCAGGGTGCCCCATACGACCAATAATGGATTTTAGGAATACTGCTACTTATGAATTATCAAAACACTTAGCTCTAATATTATGCCCCATTAGAAATCGCTCAAACTCTAGACAAGCTACTTCATTTGAGATGAAAAATAAACTAAATGACATTCAACTAGATAATGATGAAACAATGGTTAGCTTTGATATAACCAGTCTTTATACTAACATACCAATCAATATGGCCTTAGAAACAGTTAAAAAAGAATTAACTGCAGACCCTGAACTCACTTATAGGACGAAACTACCCATTGATGGAATTATTTTAGGAATTCAGTTGTGCCTCAAATCTACTATCTTTAAATTCCAAGGCAAAATATATAGACAAACAGAAGGTGTAGCAATGGGATCACCAATATCCCCTATCGTAGCAGATATATTTATGGACAGCTGGGAAAATATGGCTCTTAATACGTTTAATCCTACTCCAAAAATATGGTGGAGATATGTGGATGACACTTTCACAGTGTTAAAAACAGAACATATCTCTAGCTTCTTGACACACATAAACTCACTAGTGGAGGGAATAAAATCCACATTTGAAACCGAAAATGAGCAAGGAGAATTAGCTATGTTAGATTGTAAAATAAAACGAATAGAAGAAGGCAAACTACACACTAGTGTTTATAGAAAACCAACGCATTCTTATAGATATTTAGACTTTAATTCATCTCATCCTTTAACTGTGAAGGCAGGCTTAGTTAAGTGTTTAACAAACCGAGCAATGGCACTAAGTAGCACAAAAATAGACCTAATTGATGAGATAAAACAGATAGAAGAAGCGTTGGTGTTAAATAACTATCCTATAAAATTCATTAGGAAGATTGAGAAAGGCCAAAAGAAAGAGAAAAAGAATTGTGAAACTAGTAATAATAACATAAATAAGAGAGAATATAAGTCATCTACAGTTATACCATATAAAGACGGGACATCTGAGACCCTACGTAGGATTCTAAATAAAGCAGGAATTAGGGTGACATTTAAACCTACAAACTCACTCAGAGAGAAGCTCTGTAGGTTAAAGGACCCAGTTGACCCAATTAGACAAAATAATATAATTTACAAAATACCCTGCAATGACTGTAAGTGAGGTCAACTACATAGGTCAAACTAGTAGGTCAGGGGTAGTCAGATTGCCAGAACATAAGAATTTAGCTAAGGTAAGAATGGTTGACCCAGAGAAGATGAGTAATTTCGAAAAAAAGGTCAGCAATTGCAATGCATGCATTAGCACACAACCACACAACAGGGTGGGAGACGGTTAAAATTCTAAAAAGTAATCTAGGTAGGTGGAGAGCGAGAGAGGTTGATTACTGAATCCTTGTTCATCGAATATACACCCAACACATGCAATAGGAATGACTCATCACTCATACTCGAAATATGGAAAATATTACTACCAATCAAATCAAGTGAAAAACAATGGAACTATATAAATGAATTTAGGAAGTCATGTGATTACCTTGATATGATTATGAGCAATAAATTGTGCTCGAAACGCCATCACTAATCATTAATGTGTAAAACTCTGTGACTATCAAAACAATTTTCACCCATAATGTTACAAACGTGTTTCATACGTCTGCTGTGTGTGTTTACATTGTTAACTCCGTTACTCGACGTTGTACTGAAACACCACCTTCTAGGTTGCATGCAACAGGTTCGACGAAGGAGTGTGTGTGAAAATAATCATTTATTCCTGGATACTATAAATTGGCAGCTAACGTCTCAAGGTTTCTGTGAAAAGTACATTACCAGAAGAGACGTTACAGGATTAGCAATAAGTCGTAAGCAATTTTAATGATACATATATTTATATGAATTTTTGTTTTTATTACAATTTTTTTGTATTCTTGGGCATCATGAGCATCTTATTTACTACTGTTAATTTCTCAGTTAGTAGGCAGTTACCGGTAGTCTTTTTGGAAACTTTTCAATTTTCTAGAATATTCATACCCCTGAAAAATTCCAGGTTTTGCTATTAGGCATCATTTGACTGCTTGTGTAGTAATCTTCTACAAGAAGTCCAGAACTGCGCATAATAGACTGAGATTAAGTGCTTCTGGCTCTTCACTATTTACCAATCCCTTTTAGAATAAACAAACTGTACGTGTCGTAAAAGACAATGAACAGCTGCAAACTGGCAAAAATAGTTTAATCACACTGGTATTTAAATACTTCGATAAGAAAAAAGGGTTGATTATACGTTTTGTTTTAGCTTAAAAATCCTCAACAGTACAAACTTGCGATATTTATTCAGAATGAAGCCTAGGAGGTATTTAACGAGTGCATAAACTTTGATATGCGTCGGTGGCATAGCGGTAAAGACGCTCGTCAACCATGCACATGATCCGGGGTTCGATCCCCGGCCAACGCATTCCTTTACCTCGCTAGGCCAGAAATAATGCTGGTAAAGTGGAAAGGTTGGGCATGAGGCTAGCAACCCCACCCTGTAAAATAAACACTGCTACAGAAACTTCAAGCCACTAGCTTGAAGCCCTATGTTCCACTGGGGAACGTGAAGGAAAAAATATAAAAAAATAAATAAACTTTGACAGGACACAGCATCTTACTACTTTATTGATACATCTGAGTTAATCTTGAAACCCTTAGTAATGCTTTAGTTTCTTTTGTTACCTTGAGGAGAGTTGAAAGAATTGGAACTCCTATGTCACAGGAAAGTGTTTAAGTAGTTAAAATCAAAATCTGTTCACTGTTTGAGATGAATTACAAAAGAGTGCATTAGTTTTTTCTATTCATCGTACTGGATTGTGTTAATAGTGAATATATTAAGATATAATCTATAGTATCAAAGCAACGTAATTATGTTAAATAATTTATTGTACTTGTGTTGAATGCACAAAAGCACAATCCTGTTGTTAGCACTCATCTTCACCACTGCTGGATAACAGAAGTATAGATGTATTAGGCATTAATGTAATAAACATTTCACCAAAATCTTCTACGTTACTCTCAAAATTATTTTAAAAAAATATGCATTGAAGTTCCATTCGTTTCTAGACAGTTATTTTGTAGCATTGAAAGTGATCTTTCATAGTATTGCTTTATAGTTATTTTAATCACTTTCCAAATAGTCTTAGAAAAAAAAATTCACCTATCTACGATGAATGCAATATTCATTTCTTTTTTTATTTGTAATCAAACCTATTGTTCTGCTTAAACACTGTTAAATGAAATATTTCCGTTTAGAATGTACTCCAGCAAATCAAACCTTCATCAAAACATGTAATGAAAGAGGCGAAGCGGTTCAAGTGACAATTCATCGTTACCTGAAGAACTGTAGATGCATGGTTAGTGCTTTTGTTCTTTAAACTTTTTATAATATTCATGCAGTTTACTTCGGCGTTGATTATTTTGTATACACACACGAAATATGTGAGGTAGTCATCTCTTCTTTAGTTAACAAAAATAATATTCACTTCGTTAAATTATGACACTAAGTCTGGCTAATAGTTTGAAACCTTGCTAAGCTTGACTGTCAGAAACTTCTCATTCATTTCATTTGAGTGTTTTATTAAGGATAACCTCTTGGCATACTTTATTTGAATGTTTTACACTGTAGTGTGGTATATTATTTTACAATTTCATTATGGAATGGCTTTTCAGTATAACTAGTACGTGGTTTTTAAAAAAGTATGCCTTCTTACGAAGAGAATAACATTTTGGCATCATGCACTGATTTGTTTTCTACCATTTTAGACTCAACAAACAGATAAAATTGTCCGGTGTCGATGTACCAAGAAGTATAATACTAAAACATGCTTTGGTGATGATGTTATGGTACATCATTATCATTACGAAAGACTTCTTGATGGTGAATGTTTGCCACAAAGAAGAGATGTACACAAAAAATTGGGTAAGTTAACATACACTTTACTATGCAAATTAGCAATTGAAGTGTACAACTGTGAAATTTTTTCTCCGGAAAAAAAGTGTAATGGACATATCAACAACAGTTAAACTTTTATCATATTTCAAATAATTCATTTCCTTCAGGGAGGGATTTCCTATAAGCTAACAGTATATGAAGTAAAAGAAATTTAAAAGTATTCTAATCACCATATTTGAGATAGGATAAATGAGACTGCAATGAAATTATCCACAAAAATCATGAAATTCTTATTTTTGTTACAGTTAGTACGTCGCATAACCAGATAACTTCACTGGTTTTTTATCCAAATTTTGAATACCGAACAACTGTCCTGCATGTGATAACTCGAATTAATTACAGTTTACAATTTATTTAGGATAGTAGGCTATATGCCTGTGTTAATCCTTTCGATTTGTTGCACACAGGAGGTCCAATCTCGCCTTGAATGAATCAACGGATGGCGCTGATACGACATGTTCCGGTAGGGAGTTCCAATGGTTCACAATTCGATGCGAAAAACAGATCTCCAGACGCAGACGATTCGACCATGGTTTTTGAACCTTGAGGTGATGTCCTCGCAATTGGTTGGTACTAGAGGGAAGAAATAAATTAGATAAATTAGCTCCAAAATCATTTCTTAGGATACGGTATGCTAGATTAGGTAACTCCTAAGTCGTCTGTACGACAGTGGAAATAAACCCAGTCGACTTAACCTCTCCTCATATGAGAAGGTTGAGAAACCCTTCATTAGCTTAGTTCCTACTCTTTGCACCCTTTCTAATCAGTCTATTTCGTATTTAAAACACGGGCTCGCTGCCTGGATCCCATATTCCAAATGAGGTCTGATATAAGTCGGATATAATATACGAAATATATCAGCGTCAAAGTTCGCAAAAGCCTTGCGTATGGCCAATAATATTCGAAAACCCTTAGTGGCTGCAACTCTACAGTTTGTTGCTGTTTTCAAGTCATGTTGCACAACCACTCCCAACTCCTTGTACTCAGTGACCACTGGGAGAGTAATGCCGTTCATTGAGTAATTGTGCACGTGACTATGAGATACATGCATAACTACACTCTTGCTTAAGTTAATCTCCAAGGCCCAGTGCTTACACGAATCACTTAACAAGTTTAAATCTTCCTGCAAAGCAAGTTGGTCACTGTCATCGTGTAAAGCCCTCCATATCTTGATGTCATCAGCAAACAGTAAGCAGGATGACTTAACTACCGATGGAATCTCATTAACATAAATCAGGAAAAGAAGTGGGCCTAGAATTGTACCCTGAGGAACGCCACTCTTAACCGATTCCCATGTTGATAAAACCCCGTTAACTCGTACTCTTTGTCTTCTGTCCTTTAGAAAGTCTTGAATCCAGTCGGCAACCACTTTATTGATTCCCAGACTACCTAACTTTACTAGAAGACCTGAATGAGAAACCCTGTCAAACGCCTTGCTAAGGTCAATGAATATGGCATCCACCGGTATATTAGCATCAGCTGAGCTTGCCCAACTTTCTCTGGCCAAAAGAAGGTTGGTCAAGCAAGAATGACCTGCTCTAAAACCATGCCGTTCCACAGCGAAAAGTTTGTTCCCTTCAATGAACTGAATGATAGCATCACGAATTATTCTTTCTAGTAGTTTAACAACAATACTGGTCAAACTAACAGGACGATAGTTCTGAACTAAGTTTCTAGATCCGGTTTTGAAGACCGGACTAATGATGGCATCTTTCCAGTCTCTTGGACATTTAGACTGGTCCAGAGACATATTGAAGATTACCGACAATGGCTCGGCTATGTTTTCAGCCAATGCTGTTAATATACGTGGTTGGAGTTCATCAGGGCCACTGGACTTACCAGGATTGAGCCTTAGAAGCCACTTTAGGACAGTATCCTTTCCAATGTATAAGGGTGCCATTTTCAAGTTACCTTCTGGAAAAGATACAAAGCTGGTATCAGTATTATCAGAAAATACTTGACCAAAGTGCTTGGACAAAGCCTCAGCCTTAGTCAAGTTATCCTCAGCCATGTTTTTCTGGTCATCTTCAAGCATAAGAGGTGAGATAGCATCACTCTTACGTGTTCTTCTCTTGATATATGAGAAGAGTCTTTTTGGGCAGCCTGGTGAACTTTTAACTAACTGGGTTTCGTAAGCTATCCTTGACTGGTGAATCAAAGTTTTACACTGGTTTCTGGTTTCACAGTATTTCAGCCGGAACTGCTGTAGCCCAGTAGAAATAAAGAGATTCCAGAACCTTTTTCTCCGTCTTAGGAGTGTTACAGCTTGTCTATTTATCCATGGTGGCCGATTTGTTGGTCTTTTGGGAACCCTCCAGGGAATGAAATCAGTGGTAACCCTCTCAAGTGTATTCTTAAATATATCCCACTCATCTTCAATGGATGAGACAATATTGACTGACCAGTCGGCAGTTGAAGCACGCTCCTTTATGGTGACTATGTCAGCATGCCAAACACTAGGTCGGGATTTGGGTTGAAAACTGACTAAATTGCCAGCCCTTAAGTTAAAATCTAACACCCCATGATCACTGTTTGCTAGAGGTGGATGAATAACTAGACCATCCACGTCGTCGTTGTCATGAGTAAGCACCAAGTCCAGCAAGGAAGATCCTTGGGTAGAACCGAATCTTGTACTACCTAAGATATGTTGTGTCAGGGCATTTTCCATGGTAGTCAAGAGTAACCGGCTGTCAAACTTATTAGTGGATCCTGAAGATGTGACATCTAACCAGTCTATATGAGGTGTATTAAAATCACCTAGAATAAGACAGCTACTGTGTTTACTCCATTGTTTGAGGTGATCTTAAATAAAGTCATCACACTGACAATAGGGACTTCTATACAGAACTCCAATGAGTAGAGTGCCAGTTGCAAAGCTTACTTCACAGCTGATTACCTCACTTGTCCCACTGTCATGCGCTTCAGATTTCACGGAACGAACATGTAGGGAGTTGTTGATGTACAGAGCAACCCCGCCACCTCTACGACCCTTAACTCTGTCGCTGCGCAAGCAACTAAATCCGCATAGCTCAGGTGTGTCATCTAATCCAGAAACCAGCCATGTTTCAGTAATGGCCACAATACTTGGGCTAAGGTCTTCCACTAATACACCTAGCTCGTGAAATTTGTTCCCGATACTACGTATATTAGTGTACACTACCTTCAGGCTTCCTATGTGGTCCGGATTATCCACACAGGTCTTGGAAGCATACGTTTCCAAGACCTGACTATTTGAAAACCCACCAGTTTAAGGTTAGTCTCACCATTTTTAAGTTTTGTTTCCAGCTGGGACAAAACTTCTTTTCGTTTAAGTCTGTCTTCAAGAGATAAATCAGGTCTGACTGAAATTCCTGACCCGGCAAGGTTGTGTACATTAGCCAGTAGATGATTCCGTTCATCAGGAGAACCTAAGACTACTTTAAGCAACCTACGCTGATTAGAACATTCATCATCTCTTTTGCCTATTCTAATCAGCTTTTTAATCGATACTCCAGGGAAATTCGCTGGAAGCATCTTCCATATTTATTTATTTATTTGATTTACAGCTTGATTCCACACCGTATTTTCAGTACAAGTATGGAATTTTCAGCATGGATATCGGTTGCCCAAATTCAGGCATACCATAGATATCGGGTGTGCGCCGGCAGGGGATCGAACCCCGGACCATGTGCATGGTCGGCGAGAGTCCTAACCACTGTGCCACCGACGCATATATAATACTACTCACTAATTTAAGGTCGTGATCGTGCCTTTTTCACGGGATCAGATTCTTTGGACTCTTCTAAATTGCCAACAATTATGTTAGAGTCTAAGGAGAGCTTGATGTATTTAGCAGTGGCTACGTCTTTTCTCACCACTATTGATGCAGCCTGGCTACAGATGACAGACGTTTGCCTACCATCAATATTACTATGTTTCTTCCGATTGTTTATTTTTGTTACCCACTGATCATCTGCCTGCAGTTGCTTCTCAGGGCTGCTGCAGTTTTTGATGGTACAATCGAGATCAGTGTCTGCACCACCTTCATGGTGAACTTCGCTTACAGTGTTCTCTGGTGCTGAGATGCTGTTTGCAGCTTCTGTTTTGTTACCTTTTCGCTTACTGAGACACTTCGAACGCCTAGTAGGTTTTACTTCCGGGGTAACTGGGATAGTAACCGCCGGTGTGGTAACATTCATGATGACACTTACTGCGTCATCTTCAGACGGGCAGTCTGTGTCACTATTACTAGCCACGCTATCATCAGGAAGTTCCATGGCTTTAGACAGTAGTTCGTGAGCCTCCCTTATCAAAGTCATCTTTGGAGATCAGCACATTCTGCACATCCGGTGGCATGTTGGAGCACTACAACGTTTGTATGCAGCTGGACGTAATCCAGTACACATCTTATGATGCCACTTTTTACACTTATTACACTGTATTCCATCATCTGCCAAAAAGTAACACTGCGCCCTATTACATTTATGTGGTACTTTTGACATAATGAACTTCTACTGGAAACAGCCAAGACAATTTACCCAATATAGACTATATAAGTGGTTAAAATCAAAACTTAACAGACAAAAGTCAAGTTAGAGGGCAACTCTAAACAATAGGAACCCAAAACGAAACGACCTAAGAACGCACAAATAACCTTGTCAAGGACCAATCAGAAGGCTGAAAAAAACGACAATAGTCGTCCCAGGCAGCACTAAGAGCTAGATAATAGGCAATAATACGCATGCCCTGCGCTTACGGGTAGCCCCAATATGTCCCTTCTGGAGGCTGGTGTCATATATCCCCAAAACCTATTGCTGGAAAACACAGTCACCTGATCAGTTGCTCAAGGTTATTTGTGCGTTCGTAGGTCGTTTCGTTTTGGGTTCCTATGGTTTAGAGTAGCCAGTTATAGTTTAAAAAAATGTTCTTGAAGTGAATAACACAACAAAAACAGCGATTTGTCAAATACGCGAAAATAAGTGAAAAAGCACTCCCTTTTTCAAACAGCGCGCTAGTTGTTACGGCACGGTATTCAACACAGTTCTCAGTTTTTTTTTGCTTTTAACTCTTGCATGTTGATTTAATTTTCAATGCAACCAAAATACTAGGCGACATACTAATGACACCGAATGTTTGAATTCAACCGACAGTTTATCCTGTACAGACTCTGATCAAACTACAGAATTGTTAACTATGTATCCATTTGTGTACAAATAACAGCCCAATTTCCCAGAATTTCCTTTAGAAGTACTTATTGCCGACTAAAATCAATTGTTGTATACTGTTCCACTTAAATTATTTAATTACTCCTGTCTTCATACACTTAATTCAGCAGGAGTATGTCTGTCATCCTTACTACCACTTTCAGGACAAATGGGTTTACTGTTTAACCTAAATAGAGCTTATACTAATTTTTGTCATACTAAAGTCGTTGTTTTCACCAGTTTATCACTTGTATTGCATATTTTCTCTCGTTTCACCTACGAAACTTGTCAAATATAGCATTTAAATGAAGACTTTTTTTAATTTGAAATATTTGTACTTTCAGCCTGCAAAAATCCAAAAGTGTACAAAGCCGGTTGTGATTATTTGACATGTCAACAACGCGTAACAGTTGTCACCTATGTAGCTCAAAGATGCAGATGCAAACGTTTTGTACAAGTTAAACACGAAACGTGCTGTAAGTTAAGTCTCTCTATTCATTTGTTTTCATAGTTATTTATTTTGCAGTATTAGAGTTTTTGCAACATGAAAAATATTAAACTACGGTTTAATTGTGTAGCGGGATTCATTTCATTACACTTACTGTATTAGTTAATTTGAGACTAACAGCCTAATCTACAGAAATTATTCCGCATTAAGGTTTGGAACTAATTACTGATTGTTATTTGACAATCTGTTATAACAATGGACCCCATATTATAGAGATTAATTTCACCCTTCTAGTTTTGATTATTATTTTAGTTAAATACAGAATCTGACACCTCCAACAATCTTATTACAATGATTTGAACATTTTAAGGATCCTTTTTCAAGAGCTCAAATAAATGATTATTTATTCATACAGAAAATCAAAATAAGTGATTCAGCGAATTCACTTTCAAGCTGTATAATCGTACATATATGGTTTTTAAGAAAGTATATCCGGTGAGAGAATTGAATCAACAGTGTGAATACATAAAATAATACGTACAGTACGAAATGCGATTGAAATGACTCGAGTTTTGTCCAAGAGGGTACAAGAACACTGTCCAGCATGGTTACGAAGAGGTAGAAGTGGAGCTATTAGAAGCACAATCACTTATCATCCAGTCGACGCTGATCACTCTATTTCTACAGCCTAAATTTTAAAGTCGCCTATAACCTGAAAATTAAACATGCCCAAATCATAACGTATCCGACTCATCTGTATTACTGAAGCTTTGACCGTCGAAATAGAAAAGAAAGAGTTCAGTGAATCCCTCCAACTTTCATAGTCTTAATCCCACTATGCCAGAGTATAATAAACGTTGATCATATTTTGCCTCTACTTATTTTTCGATTTGTTTATTCATTTTGCATACTTTTCTTTTATTACGTCAGTTGTTCCCGTTACTATTCTAACTTTGACATGTCTCCGGAATTATTTAACTCGTCTCACTTGTCATTCTACATAAATTTTGTTTTGCAACGTTAAATTGCATGTTATCAATTTTCACACAATGCTGCGTAACGTCTTTGTTTTAATTTTATTTGCCTACTAATCCTTTAATTTTACACCCCCGCTTCTATCGTCTATACATCCTATGAATTGTCCTATATATGATATTAATTGTTTTGCCCCTTGATATTTAACTTTGATTGAAATCACAAACATTTTTATTGCATTTCATACTATTATTTTATACATTCACACCTTTGATTCAATTCCAACACCGGATATAATTCCTTAAAAATCAAATATATACGACCATACAGCTTGGTAATCAATTCGTTGAAAAGAGTCTCTTCGCTGAATCACTTGTTTGAATTTTCTGTATATCCTAATGGGAATTTCCCATGTATTATCTATTGATAAGCAATCTTGGTACTTGTTATCGAGTGTAACGTTCATCTAAACTACGGAATTTTGATCCAGTTATATATAAAGTGAAGAACAGCTTTCCAAAAACAGTACGATTCCGTCTTCTTTGCATCGCAGAAGACCTAGCCATTAAGCTATAGGAACCAGAACTGTGCATACAAAAGAAAATTATTCAACCACTTCTACTCCCATGGTAACAACTCTGTTGATTTGACTTAACTTTTCTTTGTTTGTTTGTTTGATTTGACTTGACTTTTGTTTGTTTGCTTATTTTTCTACTTAAAACCCTTGTGTAATTCCGTATATTTTGTTTCCATGTACACCCTGAGTACAACTCTTTCATTAAACTATTCATGTTATTACGTAACTCTTCTTTAACAATCGTTTGTGACAACTCATCACTTTTGTTACTACTCTCTTATATCAACATCCAATTCATCTGAACTTACTAATTGTATTTTCGTTTTATAAATTTAATGTACACACACATACAAAACAGCCATATATATTTGCGATTGTACAGCTATGAAAATGAGTTCGCCGAAAAGAGACTCTTCGCTGAACTACTTGTCTTCTGTTTAATATATATAAGAAACAAAATTTTTTGGTTAAAATGAAGATATTCAAACTTTCGGTGAATTCATTATCATAACCGCATATTCGTATATATACACATACATATGTATCATACAAAAGAATATTTCACATTATTTCGGCAGATATCCTCCAAGAAATAATCTTCATTGATGCAACTGTCATTTTGGCTGTTTCTGTAACTAAATGAAGCATTGTAAACTTCCTATAAATAGCAGTTTTACATTTTAGTGAAGCATAGTCTCAGTGGAAAAGTTTAAGTTTGACTTCACACTTGTATTACTCTATGCTGATGATTTTTATAATAAAATATGACGTCATCGGGCTAAAACCATAACGTGATGTGTCCATACAAGAAGGGCATTAACTGGTATTATTAATATAAGTTCCATTTAACGAACAATTCGTTATCTCATTCATTTTCTACTATTCTTTGTAAACATTTATTTAAGGTTGTAAAGGAGATCGTACAACAAGTTATGCTGGTTGTAAACACAATGACTTAAAGGTTTTTGAAGAAAAAATAGTGGATCCGAAAGTGAATACGGGTTCTTGTGTTCAACGTGTCCGTTATTATTTCCAACCGATAAGTGAGTTATTTGTATAATTAATTTTTATAAATAATGTGACTGTCACTTCCGAAAGTTTTGTCTATAGTATTTTTTTAAGAGGATACCAAAATTTTATTTGAAATGTGTGCACTGCTCTTAGTCAACAGTGTTCAGTAGTGAAGGTGTTTCAGTGTTTCATGACTATCTACTAATTAAATTACATAGTGTAACAACAGAAGGCAAGACACGGAAGCCAAAGTATATTTTCCATTAATCAAACAACTGTTTATATATTTACAGTTTATACTCGTTAACCAATCACTGAGCGTGTAATTTTGGTTTACATCAAACGACATGGTACAGAATGTTCAAATATACATCGTATTCTGTTGTTAATGCAGTATATAACCGTGGGAACAGTATTCTGTCTCTAACATTAAATAGAATATTGAAATAAATATATCGCATTCTGTTGCTAATACAGTACTGAACTGTGGGAATATATGAGAATAATATTCCGTTGGCGCATTCTGTCTGTATCACACCACCACAATAGTAGTTTTATTCAGATGAATAAGGTGTCAATCCTTACCACACTGTCATCAACAAAAACAACCTTAGATGTGTAAGATATGTAGAGTTGCAACTGAGGTTTCGATTATTTGTGTTGTGTGTGTGTATCCAGCCCAGATCATAAAAATAACTACATTTATACTTGGTAATTTTCTGTTTTTCACTTCTTCAGTACATTTTTGTAACTAGCGTTTTTTAAGACTGGCTCTTTCGATTAATAATAACTAATAATAATAAGTCTTATGAAGACTTTAGAAATGAAGGTGAAACGAAGGATAATTGAGGTTTGTAGTTCGAGATGTGTGGCAATAATTGTCGAATGCAATTTTTAGCTCTAATATTTGATTATGAACTTTTCATTCCCAGACTGATTGGATTCATCAGCAAGTATTTTATAAAAATGACTCGGTAATTTCTTCCAAAAGCGTTTATCAACAATTTACTATTTAAGTAACTTGAAAATCCCCATTCAGTCATATAAAAGAAAAGAAGGCGTTCAGCGAAGAGACTCTTTTCGGCGAATTCATTCACTGAGCTGTACAATCGCATATTTATACAATTTTGTTTGTGTGTGTACATTAGATTTATAAAGTTTAGATAATTATGTAATATAAGTATTTTTTTCGGCTTGGAGACAAACGTTAAGATGGAAAATAAAATAGAATTGATTAAGTGAATTGGATGACTATTTACAATTTGCCGCTTGCCCAATCTTAACATTGATTTGTATTATACCAAGACTTGTGCAAAGCATAAGTTTATTGATGTTGTGAGTCAGAAGAGTGAAGTATGAAGATTTTAGCATGTGCATCCTGCTTACGTTGTATTTCAGTTTTCTAACTTCTATCAAACAATGTACCAGTGTTGAGTAAGCATAACATCACATTATTATTAAAGCATTCCTATGTTCTCACTGGTGAGTTTTATACTTCAGTTGCAACTAAGTGTTATGACTTTAACCGTAGCTGAGGTGTTACACTGAAACAGACATATCAAAAAGTTCTGACTAGGATGAAGAGTATATTAGTATATTTCAGAAAGATCATAAATTACCTGTGCAGCTATTCTCTTCATATTTCAGTGACTCATAGAATATAAATTAAAACCAAAACGGACCTCAGGTTTTCATTCGTGTATAATTAAGCACTCCAGATATGTTACTAAACAGATTTCCTTAGCTCTTATAACAATTTTCAACACTTCAGTTGGAGAGAATTAAGCATGTGTATTTACCAACTGTTTGTTTTAAGTGGATTCACACCAGTGTGACTCTTTCATTACACAGATTGTTTACTTTGAGCATTTGTAAAATATTTTAAGGTATATCTTAATTTCATACCTTTTGGCATTCTAGTAACAATAAAATAACAACCTAAAAACGATAAATTGGAAAAATAGGCTGATACCAGTTTATAAACTGGCTTCTTTTGGAAATAATCGTGGTTTTCTGAGACAGTCACTACTGCTTTTACTAGTTTCATTTGTTTTGCTTTGACGTTTAACCATAGCTGTATACTTCTTTACTGTGTATTAACAATGATTTGGTTGGACAGCATATTCATTGTGAGTGGAAAAGTCTGAAACTGCAATAGGCTAAGTAAAAAGGTACAAAACTTCGGTCTCGTTTTCGGCCTAGTTCGTAACAATTTGTCGTTGTAGAGATAGTTATACTGATAGTTATGAGCAGGTGGTTTAGTTGTAGGGGTTTTTCATCTCAACCATAACAGGTGCGTCTTTTTTCCCAATTAACAAAAGCACTGGGATGATCTGTGACTTCTGAAGGAAACTATTTTAGAAGCAAGAACGAGAAGAAGTAGTTGGCCTGACAACTATCCTTCGCCCAAGTGTTATAGCTACAAAAATTAGTCGACCACCCTATTAACTGGACAATGCGAATTAATTCACATACACTGACTAGTTTATATTGTGTGCAACACAATGATTTGTTACCGAATATGTAAATGTAAGTAAAATCATCTAGATATAGTTACAAGGTCTCGTCTCAGCGCAAAGTACGTACGTTTAGTCGCTTGATATAATATAATTAACTGCTTAGATCAAAATATATATTGGTTAAATTCAATACATTTTCCAATCATCTCTCCATCATGTATTGAAATCTTTCATTGCATCAAGCTTGTCCAATCAAACCGTTAATAACTCGTCACAGTTGCAGAAGATATGATCCTAAAGCTGCCAAGCAGGGAGAAGATGGAATCGTTAAAGTTGATCCAGCCCTCATCTATAGATTCGTTGAAAAAATCGAATGGAAAACCCAAGATTGTTACTGTCGTCGTCATTATGGATCTTACTTTGAAGCATGTGGTTGTGATGAATCAGTTGTTTTCAATGATTCGATGAGAATTAAACAGAAATGTGATCCACAAAGTGGTGTTATTGTAACTTACAGACAAAAGGTGAGACTAGAAATAGTTGGAGTTCCAATTGAATATACAAAGTTAAATCGCCTGAACAAACTGTCTGATGCCGTTTGCCGAACACATTATGTGATGGAATCTGCAAGGAAAATAAGTAAGTGTCTTTCTGTTCATTTGTAAAGTTATACTCTGTTTCACATGTCAAAATTCTATTTTGCGAAATTCCTATGTTATAATTTTGCCGGTATAGCAATTATTTTGCTATATCACTATTACACTCTGAAAAAAATGACAAGATTTTCCTTAAAAAATCTATTTCAGCAGAAATCATTAGTATATGAATACCTAACTCATTCTTTTTCTCAGTTTGACGTCTAAATTTTCACGCTCTTTATATTAAGTTATAGAGGCGTAGTATTTACCTAATATGATTATGTGTACAATCTTGATATCGTCATTAGTGTGCAGTTAATAACTGTATTTCATTGTATGAAGACCTAATCTCATAACAAACATTGTTGTTTGCATATATAGGTGTATATCTTAAACAATTACAGCAGAACTTTTAGAACACAGTAATTCCTAGATTCAAAATAACTTTCGCAAACCACACAGTTTGCGGACTACTGTAGTATTAGTGATGTAACTCTCTCTAGTGAAATTTTTTGATAATATAAAAAGTGGTTGCTGGTTAGACTTTCATTCCATTAATTCACCTTTCTGTTTTGCAGTCTGTCCTGATACAAAAACTCTTGTCGGTCCCTGTGAACTTGCTAAAGACGGACGAGCATATAAGACAGTTAAAATTCATAAATGGAAACAGCACAACTGTGTTTGTCAAAATTTGCCACCTGAGATAATGGAAAAACAATTATGTGGTTGTCTGCGTTTTAGATTGCAAAAGAAATGTGTATCGTCAAAACCGGAAGGTCCAATGAACAAATTACAGGTATACTTTATTAGGGAGGAGTTACATACAGTTAAATTACCGTCCGGTCAATACAAAAACGAATGCAAGGTTGAACAGACAATGAAGGAAGAGATTATCCGTGAGTCTCAAGCATATTAAAAAATTCAAATTAGTAATTTTACTTTGAAAATATAATCATTTACACAGTTTATGAAACTAAGTAAGAGTCATACGGTTATAATCAATAATTAATGGTGATTAATGAAAAAAAAGAAACCAAAGACTTTCACATATAATAGATTAACATTCATTGTCTGACTTACAGAAAAACAGATCGACTATAAATCTAACACCTAATTGTGCCAATAGGACGCTCCATATAAGAGATATAAAATCACTGGGATGTTATTGTTATTTTTCACTTTCGTTCCGAGTTGAACATAGGACATCAACAGCACATCTCCACTTTGTACTGTTTTCGGCCGTCATCCACGACTGACCAAACTCTCTCATCTCTTCCTCACGCCATCTCCTCTATGTCACGCTTGCACCAACGACCCACTCGTCGCTTTCCATTTGGATTCCACTCGAGGGCCTGGTGTGCGATGTCATTCGGCGGCTTCCTCAATGTATGTCCTCCACTCTCTCCTACATATATGCTGAGCAATCGGCTTCTGGTTGGTTTGTTCCCATGATGTCTTCTGGTTTATTCTTTCTGGCCGTTTGGTCTTCAGTATGGAGCCAGCGATGGCAGCTGTTGATGAAAGTCTGCAGCGTGTTGTAAATCCTTTTCGTGACACTCAGTGCAAGTTTCTGACCCATATAGAAGAACCGACTTCACATTAGTGTTGAAAATGCAAATCTTGTTCCTTACGCTAAGTGCGAAGATCTTCAAACTGGTTTCATGTTGATGAAGGCGTATCTCACCTCTCCGATTCTAACTTTGACATCTTCATCCGTTTAGCCTGTAGTTGCGACGATGCTTCCTAGTGAAGGAGGTAACCTCCGTTAAATATATCCCGTTGATGGTGATTGGTGCCGGTTTTTGTTGCTTCTGATCGGTTATCTTCATCACCTCCGTCTTTTCTGTGTTCACCCGCACTCCTGTTTTCGCTGCCTCTTCAGCCGGTTTGGTTTTTGTTTTCGCTTGCAAGTCTTCGAGTTTGTGTGACATTAGATATCCCGACCAATAGCTGCTACCTTGACGTGGTGGTCGGGCTTGCACATCGCAATGACCCAACAAGCTACACTGGCTGGAACTATTATTCCTGCAGGTCCAAACATACCAGGAAGGTTGTTAGGAAAGCGACTGGACTAAAAGAAGTTACCGGCACAGTGTATGCTGGTGATCCGTGGGTGAAGTCGTACTGCTGGGGAACAGGGACGTAACAGCAGTGAGGTGCTTTCCTCCGATGAAGACCAGCATGCCACCTATGCTGTCTCTCGAATCTGGAGAAATGGGGTTAGGAAAGGTCGACCCTAACAATTGTACATCCCGACTCACCTCACGGAGGTCCATAACCGGCGGTGAGTTTACTAACACGGAACCAATCTAAGAAACCAGTTCATGCAGACTGTGTGTGATCAGCGTCAAACAGTTGTCCCCTGGGCTCTGCGGCCACGTAACACTAACCCTCTTTCTGTTTCAGCTACCCAAAGAATCAATCAACTTCCACGATGTGAGCAGCCACCCACACACTTCCAAGAGCACACGAAGCCTCCCAGATCATCATTCCCCTTTACCCACATCATCTTCATCATCTTACTCCCCTACTACAGTCAGTACTATTCTTCAGGCTAGTGAGTCATCTTCACTTTACTTCACCCTGTGACCACAAACAACGATGAGAGCCATAGAAACACCACCGACATCTTCTTAAAGCCACGTTCACAAGTTCATATAGTAGCATTTAACGTCAGGACCTTCTACCAAATCGGACAACAGGCGTCACTAGCAAGAAATCTAGCACCTCGAGCCATGGAAGTATGTTGTGTTTCGGAGAACGCATACAAGACCCGAGTGTAGCCATTCACTTACACTCACCAGTTCAACAAGGTGAATCTGCAAAATTCACTCTAAGGGTGTCAGGAGACCCCTCAGCTAGCTTGTGAGGACTCGCAGGTTAAGGGACAGCACTGAGTGTTAGGACGGAAAAATCACTTCTTGACTGGATCCCAGTAGACAGTTGTATGTGTGCGGTCCATGTGAATGGGTCTGATGGAAGAGGAGGGTCGGTGTTACCCATCGTTTTCGTTTCGTAGTCTCCGCTTACGCCCCAACAGCTGCAGTTTGGATGAAATAACGGATGACTTCTACCTGAAACTGTCTAATTTTCTGCAGAAGGCAAAGCGTTCAGATATAGTTGTTTTAGCAGGCGACTTCAATGCCCAAGTAGGGAAGTTGTGCCAGACTGAGAAGTATGTAGGTGGCACGTATGGAATTCCCTGCCGACGAACCGACAACGGTGATTGTCTTCTACAGTTCTGTCCAGATAATCATCTGTCTCTAGTCAGCGCTAACTGTAGGCACAAAGAGAGACACTGTGTAACTTGGTGACCTTCATCACCAAATCAATGTTGGACTCAGATAGACCACATAGCGATAGGGAATCGTTGGCGAGGGTCAGTAGAAGACTGCTACTCCTACTGGAACACGTGCGTAGACTCCGATCACGCTCTGGTCCGCGCACGTCTGTGCTTAGGACTAAACAGACATAAGAAATTGCTGGCAGCGAAACGTGTGTCTGAAGTCAACAGCTGGACTTCCCCTGATGAAGGCTGGCACAACATACAGTTAGCTGTAGACACAGCTGTAAAGCTGTTAATAACCTAAAACCAAAAGTTAGTAAGAGCCATTGCATCTCTACCGCCTCATCCGAACTGAATGACGCGAGAAGACTTATTCTGGAAGCTACTCAAACGCAAACTAACAAGAAGTCTTCGTAACGACCGTGAACAGTGGTGGGCGACAAAAGTGAAAGAGATGGAAAAGGCAACAACGACTGGTAACACCAGACACCTATTTAGACTTATGAGGGAAACAATCTTTGAGAAAAATGGCACCATAATTAGCTCCCAGGATGAACGACTGGAACGGTGGAAAGAACACTTTGAGGAGCACTTTGACTGGCCTACAACCACCCTCAACTTACCCAGCATTCAACACTTTCCTGAATGAATACTATATAAACACCGTCCCTCCGTCCCTAAGTGACACTATAGACCCTAGTCTGAAACGAGGCAAAGCAGCAGGACCCGATGCAATAACTCCAGAGGTATTTAAGTACGATGGAGGCAGTTTAATGTCCACTTTAACTAAGGTACTAGGTAGCGCCTGGGAATCAGCGATAATCCCGTCAGGCTGCTGTAAGTCACTGATTATCCCAACACACAAGAAGGAAGACAAGTCTCCCTTTGATAATCACAGGGGGATTGGCTCGGCCAATATGGTAGCTAAAGTTCATAATCATGCATGCAAGCTGCTGCCCCCGCAGCTCGATCCTTGAACATTTGATCGAGTCTGGACACCAAGTCAAACCAGAAATAAGCTTCAAAGTTATCTACAGAATACAGAATAGCAATCTTGCTAAAAATGTACGGATCAAACTTCTCCACATCGCAGAAGCAATGGTAATTCATCTGCTAAATCCTGAACTCTGCATACAAAAGAAATTCGTTCATTCATTAAATCTACAATGGACGTAATCTTTCTTAATTTTAGTCTTACTAATTATACTATTTTGTCTTTTGCATTTTATTATTTCACATCTTCATTTATTTCATTCTCTACCCCACCCTTTTGTAATCTCTACCCTCATTAACAATGTTGCTAACTTGACCCACGTCCAATTTCTAGTCAACTATGTTACGTCATCCGATTAACTTACTTATTTTCGACTGTATTATTCTCTACCTCCACCCTTATTTAATTTTAACCATCACTCATTAACACTGTTGCCAACCTGACCTACTCTGAATTCTACTCAACTGTATTACGTCATCCAATTCACTTAATCAATTCTATTTTCTTTTCTATCTTAACGTTTTTCTCCAAGCCAAATAATACTTATATTACATAATTATCTAAACTTTATAAATCTAATGGAATTAACCCTAACTCACTTCAGTGACTCAGGGATTGACTTGTTACCGTCAGGGAATAATCTCGTTGACTTAGAATATGCATGAGGATGATATAGTCCTTCTAGGTGAAGACGCTGACAAAATGTATGGTCTTCTGAACACCTTGAGCTGCAATCTGCGAATGTTTGGCATGCCATTCGCTCCCGCCAAATGTAAGATGATGCTACAGGACTGGACTAGTCTAGATTACATTGACTCCAAGCTTAGAAATAGGGAGTGAAGTGGTAGAGCACGTTGACTGCTTCACTTACTCGGGAAGTAGCATCAGCCAGCGCCAACGGGTTGATCACGGACGAAATCTCGGCACGGATACGCAAGGCTATTTTCGCATATGCCAGTTTACGCCATCTCTGGCGTGGACGTAATATCCAGCTATCGACCAAAGGGCAGCGTACTGCTCAGCCGTCCACCCCATCTTCCTTTATGGCTGTAAGACCTGGCCATTGAGAAAGGAAGATATGCAAAGGCTAGCTGTCTTCGATCATAGGTGCCTGCGTTCTATCTCCCGTGTGAAGTGGTATAATAGGGTGAGCAGCATTGAGGTTAGGCTTCTGTCGAGCGCTAGTTAAGAGAAGGAAATCAGTAGACGAAGTGGTTGTAAAGTTACATCGACTGAGATTATTAGGATATGTGTTAGGCATGCCTAACCATCGCCTTTCTCGAAGAGCAATGTTAGTCAGCTGACATAGGATCAGGTTGGAAAACAGCCAGTGGTGGCCAAACCAAAACATGACTTCATCAGTCAATGAAATCTACAACACTTAGTTTAAGCCACGTAGGAAGGTGTAGACTTCCTGGTTGGGGTCCTCGGGACGGCAGAAACCAATGGCTGGAGACAATTAGTGATATGGCTCAAAATCGTTCGCAATGGTGCAGGTGCATCCACTCCTTGTGACTTATAATTTACAGTGAAACTGTATTGTTCTTCGTTATTACTATTCCTTTTGTCTCATATCCCTGTCTACTGTCTCTATTTTGCATTTCTTCTACTTTCTTCTCTTCCTTTGTGTGTTACATGGAGTGTGGCGACTTTAACTGCTGCACATCGGTGGAAAGTTCTATGTTGAAAACAGACAGAAAGACATTAGACATATATCATCTGCGAAACCCAGATCTTCTAGAGTCTTCTTATCGGCGGTCCAGCGTATTCCTGACTCCTTGCTCCCAACAGTCTGACGCATAATCCAGTCCACCACAATTAAGAATATCATCGATGATAATAGGCAGTCAGCTTGTCTTACTCCTGTATGCACTTCGAACGCCTCGCTGAGTTTTCCGTTTGTGGATCACCTGATACGTGCCATTGTCATATAGTCAGCTGTCGAGTGAGTTTGATAAAGTATTAGATGGTTGGAGGCAATCGGCAGGAGTTTGATAAAGTCTAAGGCACTGCACGCTGTAGTGTTGAAGTAGTTTCCAAATTACTTCTCGGTTAACGCTGTCTGCTGAAGGCCTATGCGAATTCGATGAAGTTGGAGTACAGGTTTGACTGCCATTCTATGCTTTATTCCGTGATGACGATGCGTAGAGTTGCAATTTGATCAGCAAATGATTTGCCTTTCCTGAATCTAGCTTGTCCTGGGCTGACGGCGTTCTGCATCCAGTGCGCCCTCTGTTCTCTCCTGGATGATGCAATTTAGTATTTTGCCTGGCGTGGAGAAGAGCACGATTCCAAGCCAGTTCTTGTAGAGGTCTTAGTCGCCCTTCTTTGGTAGTCTGATGAGGTAGTCCTTCTTCTGATTGAAGGCGCCTTTTCTTCCCTCCAAACCTTTTGCAATAATGGCGTGAGCACATCTGCCGCGGTCTCTAGGTGCTTCGGGGTGGGGGAATCCCGTCTAGTCCTGCTGCCTTTTAGAACTTCAGTAGCATGACTGCATTCAATATTTCCGCTTTTGTTGATTGATTGGTGTTCACTGGCAGGCAGTTCTGTTCGTGCGGCCGGTAGAGCGAGCTGCAGCTGGTGGTCGATTTAAGAGTCCCCTGAAGTGATCAGCACATTGTTTGATTTGTTTCTCCTCCTCCATAATTAGGTTCCCTTGAACATCTTTTATAGGTTTCACTTGCATTGATCTGTTCCCGGGTAGAGACCCGGTTATCTGAAGTAATGTTCTGAGGTCTCCTTCACGTGCAGCCTGTTCTGCTTCAGTTGCCAGTATGTCGTAGAATTGTCGTTTGTCTTTCCTAGCACTCTCCTTCACTTCTCTCTTTATTCAGTGCAGTGTTCATTGAGCTCAGCTTCTCCTTCTCTTGCCCATCTTTGTATTAAATCATTTTTTCACCATCCTCCTCTCCTCTCTATTAGCTTTCAGGTAGGTATCCATTGACAGCCATTCCTTGTCTAGCCTCTTCTCTCTTCCTAGCACAGTCGTACACGTTTCCTTGAACTTCACCTTCAGTGAGTTCCAATGTTCTTCTGCACAGGTTTCCTCAGTGATGCCACGTAGTATCTCCGACTTTTCTCTGATGTGATCTGTAGTGAAGGCATCTCTTGTGGTTTTTTCCTTCAGTTTCTGAATATTGAACTTGAATTACAGTGGACTGTCAATAGTTGTTCTGAAGGATTTCAGCTTTACCTTGAAGGTTCCTTGAACTAGATGATGGTCTGAGCCCAAATCTGCTCTCCTCCTCCACTTTGTATCCAGCAGGTTGCATCTCCACTTTTCTTGAGACTGATGTGAAATCTATCTGGTTCGTGGTGTGTCCGTGAGTCAGAATCCATGTATATCCTTGTGTTTGTATGCGCTTCCTCCGAACCCCAAATCGTTGAAAGAGCAAAAGTCTGCGAGTAATTCTCCATTCCCATTCATTTCTCCGAAAGAGAGCCTCTCGACCCATGATGAGTTCTTTTCCTGTATTATCTGCTTTCAGTTCAGCTGGCATTCATATCGCCCATGGGAATTTTGATGTCTGCATTTGGGATATTGCCCATTACTATTTGTGGTTGTCTGTAAGAATCCTCCTTCTTTTATTGTTCCGCGTTGTTTGTAGGTGAGTAGCATTGCATGGTAATTGTTACCTTCTTTCCTTTGGAGTTGAATCTTGCTGTCATGATCCTCCAGGATGAAATTGGTTCCAAATGCATCAGGGCTTTGGCTGCCACTGGTGACATCATGATAGTCACTCGCTACCTCAGTGTGCTCATGGTTGTCGTCAGGGTGATCGGCGTTGATTACTGATTCACTAGTTGACATTTTTCATAATTCACATCCATTTTATCTGCTCTGGTTGATTCCCAGCACTTCTATGCCATATCTTCTCATTCCTTTGGCTACCTGGGCAGCTTTCCCAGCCAGCTTCGTACATTGTAAGGACATTCCACTTTCCCGTTCTTATTCTTGCTTTCATCGAGAGAAGACACATTGGCTGGCTGACTGGCTTCCGGAAGACTTTCACCAGCCCACGTCATTTCACCCCTCCGATTCGAGCGAAGAATAAGATTTTAATTTGAAGTTTTTGTATTTCTAACATATTTTCTGTGTGTTGAAGTTTCTCTAGCGGTTTGAAATATTTAGTGGTGTGGGGTTGCTAGCCCCAGGACCAACCCTCCCTCCTTATCCGGGCTTGGGACCGGCTAGAAAACTAGCGAGCTAGTTAACTAGGCGAGGTTATTGGGACAGAGGTGTTTCACTCTTATTACTTGACAATCTTTACACTACTGAACAGCCTTTTCTCCTCAAATCCATACTTTCCATGTATGAATTTGTCTATATTTTCTAAAAAACCTGCACCACTACCATGTTGAAACCTCATCCTGTGGTTCGAAAAAACTGTCACACTGGATACACAGCAAAGTTACAATTGTAGTTTTGTTTTCTAGACTTTTTCAGGTTTAAAATGTTGTTTTCTAAGGGTCTTAAAAAACACTTCACTGATATATTGCATAAGGAGATAGAACATATTCATTTTCGAAGACTAGTATTTACTGAAAAAACTTGGTCTTCATTAACATCAAAAACATCCAGTTGTCTCTTATCCTTAGTTCAGATTCCTCTTAAGTGATACAATTATTCCACTGAAGCAGCTCCTGGGATTTGAGCGACTGTTATGTCTACTTTCTACGGCATAAACCTTCATAGATTTACATTTTAGTATCGAAAATCGTAAAAGTGCTTCAATTAGTTCTGAGTCATATTATGTATTCATTTAGTTTACTATTAACACGTAGACTCTGTCACACAAATGGGTTTTTTTGTTAAAAACATCCTCAAACTAAATATGATGAAAGCAAAGAGGAATCAGACATCATCAACTAAATTCCACAACTGTATGCGGGCTAATTCCCTGTTGTAAAGGAGTGTAAAACATATTCATTTTATCCCGAGACTTCTTTTCAGTGAAAAACAAGCTAAAATGTACATAGGATTAGTGAGACGGTAACACACGCGTTTTCCGCTGAAAAGTACCAAACATTGTGACCGTAGTTTTACAAACGGCAGAGGGTAAAATGGTGGCATAAATATTACAATTGGCACAGAAGGAAACTGGCTGCTTATATTAAGTTTGGAAGGCGATTTTAGGATTTCAGCAACAGTGTACGATAAAACACTTGTTCAGATATATGTGGGAAGAAAACTGTATAACACTCACCGCGTAGGACAACGTTTGGAAATGAACTAGGATAACACAAGTTAGTTAAGACCAGTGGGTCAAAAAAGGTATAGCAGAATAAACATTTATGAAATAAGCTCAATAATTTCACGCCCGTAGTTCCTTTGATTGGTTTCAATGAGGCAGTGACAAAGATATATGCAGGATAAGAAAGTAATTACTTTGTTTCATAACTACTCTTCAGTTATTAATCCCCAAAAATTTCAGAAGTTATAACACACCAACACTGTTTAAACCAAATGACAGTTAATGATATTCAGACAGCTAGTGGATCGAATAAATTTGTCCAATATGCAATAATCTGTTATGTTATTGGACGTAGTTCTAGCTTTCGTTGTTAGTAGCAACAGAATGAACAGACTTCATCTTCATCCTGCCTCGGTGAAGAGTTTTTTCACTAATCGACATCTAAAAAAAACTAATTATTTAATTCGAAGTGAAGCGAAGGCGACCAAAGGATGGAATTGAGATTTTATGCTTTGATAATGAAAATTGTGAATAAAATGCTAAAGTACCTAACTTAAAGCTTTTCTGCTTTAACTAAAACTAGTTAATTTTTTCATCATTTAGAATGCCCAAAAAATACTCTTCGTTACTCACCGTGTAAAAAGGGTACATTGGTAGTAACTATGAAAGTCTACAAAATTGATAATTGCAAATGCCAAGAGTCCATCCAACGTTTACAGGTACGATGCAAGGTGCCTAAGAAATCAGCAAGCGTTGAACACGCCAAATCAATACCTACCAACCAAATGCCACATGTGCGACAGCCAGTTGCGGACTGCATAGATTTACTGTCTACTGAAGAGTGTGTACAACAGAGTCGGTCACCAGACAATATCTGTAGGACATCTAATACTGTATCTGACTTGCTATGTCGTCGAACGTGTCGTAGATGCATAGGTTAGTTTAACTTTTGCTTCAACTTATTCTTATTTCCTGTAAACCCTACTGCTCTTTGATTTAAAATATTCATTCTTTCGTTTTGAAATTAATATTATTCTTCATTAAGATTAGGGTCTAGTTGTTGCGTAATGAATGAGACAGTTTGTATGAGATCTCAGATTTGATAAAATAGCCGAAAATTCTACTGAAAGTTATGAGTAAAAATAAGTTGACTCAGTATCAGTAAACACTGAATAGTGTATAATGGAATGCCAAATCGATCAACGTTAGGGAGAAAAGTTTGACATCAGTTCACACTTCTTTGTAAGTTTGATTTCGCTAGACTATCTTGTATTAGGTAATACTTTCCTCTACAGAATATTTTATTAAACCGTACAATGAATACACTTTCTTTACTTGTGCTAGTGAATACATTCAGATAGAATTTGTGTTGCACAGGCTTCATTAGTGAATATTAAGTATCAGCGTAACTTCAGGCTCTCATGCTTTTTGCAGTTCAAGCAGACTCAGTCGTTTGAAAAACACGTAGTAAACAAAAGTTTTGTCAGGTAATCCACTGAATTTATTATCTGCTAACAGTGGAAATACTGGTTTTCTGTTGCAGGTTTGGGTATTTGCATTAGGAGCTAATGTAGCGACTGACAAATTGGAAATCAGAATACTGGTAGTCAAGTACCACCTGCACAGTTTAGTGGTTTCCATAATCAGATAAAAATGTCATCTGTTTGTCTCACCCGTTGGGAAGGGCTTCTTAAAGAACTCTGAGTCCACAAACAGTCTGATTTTAACGCCTAGTTGTTTCTGAGTGAGGCTGGAAGTTCAACTGATTGAATGCAATATTTTTTTTATTGCAGAATGAAGTAGGGTACTTCACTGTGTTATACAGTGGTTAAAGAAGAAGGCTGTGGATGGAATATAAAATAGGAGAGACCAAGTAATTCAGAAGAAGTTTCTTTCAAACGTAAGCCATATATTCAAACATGATTGAAAGCTCCAACTTGACATAATTTTCCAAGTGCTCCCGAGAAATGTCTGTCTGGTTTTTCATAAAAAGCATCATTTTCTTCACAGGGACAGGTTAGGTCTGTCGAACCATAAGTTTGTAATATGCTTCTAAATGCTTCATACTTCATACACATTAAAAATTCAATCAACCAAACTAATGTTCCTGCTTTATTATCTGAATGTAAATTTAAAATAACTCATGAAAACGATATAATTTACCGGTCACTAAGGGTTCCGAACTATCGTTTTCTAAAAAGGACAAAACTAATTGCCGCGTCCATAAGAGCTAATCACTCAACAAATTATCCCATGTGGTACTTCCTCAAGTTGACAGAGGTTTAACTAATGAGTCATTCAATTTAAGCTGCAGACAATTAGGGAACTCATAAAACTTTTAGTGGTTCAAATGTATAAGATGCTAAATGGAAAAGAATTTATTACTGTATTAAAGCAAATGTTGAAAAGTATTTTAGTCTACTGTAATTAACGCTCGAGATCGGTTTTGTCTATTGAATCCTGATATTTACTTTACCATTCTTTGTATTTTGCCATAGATTGTGAGCTGAACAATATCAAATATGAATTGACCGATAAGAATTACCTATGTTTGGATAACATTCAAGGTTTTCTGAGCGGATTTTTAATTAAATCCATGGAATCGACTCTGGCTTCATGTAAACTAGCCTGTGCTAAACACACTGGATGCTTAAGTTTCACTTATTCTATACCGACATCAAAAATGGGATACAAAACTGCTAAGTGTATGTTGTACGGAATATATCCCATAACTGTTGAAAAATATTTACAGCAAGAAAAAAAACGACAACCACAACAGCCCACTGACTCCCCTTCACAACAAAGTGAAAAACCCTTTGATCAAGTATTTTCTTCTGCAAGTACTGAAACTTGCCTGACATTCAGGAAAATATGCAAAATCAGTAAGTTATAAAATTTGTAAATACTATCCCACATAAAATATAGTATTATCACTGAGGCTACTTCACTTCTTTCTGTTTTTCAAACGTTGAATGTTTCTGCTACAGGCTGCAAAAACAGTATATACATATATGCACATATATCCCTTAAGTTCTGAGTGGGACACAAAGCTGCAACAATACATCTCCATTTCACTATGTCCTCTGTTGTCCTTTCATAGGCTCTCATCTGCTCTCACGCTCTCTCCCATGCCACCGTTGGATGTCAGCCTCGTCGCTTGCTCTCCTTTTGTGTCCCACTCGAGGGCCTGGCGCATGACTTCACTCAGTGATCTCAGCGTACCTCCAGTCTGTCTCCATTTCTTTAGCATATTTGACAGCCGATAGGTTCTCGATTGGTTAGTTTTCAGAGTTCCATGTTACTAATCCTTTCTTGCCATCTGATCTCGAGTATTAGGCGAAGACAGCTGTTGGTAAAAGTCTGCAGGATGTTGGAAATGCTTTTGGTGATGCACATGCCAAGTCTCTGAACCAATTAGAATCACTCACTGATTTCACACTAGAGTTGAAAGTAAGAATCTTGTTGTTTGTGTTGAGTGCAGCAAATTTCCACTACGACTTCAGATTAACGAATGTCCACCTTGCTTTCCCAAACTTACCTTTGACATTCTCCTCGGTGCTATCTGTAGTTGAAATGATGCCACCTAGACAAGTGGAACTAGTGGATTCCTTCAAATTTCTGCTGTTGATGGAGCTTGTTGTTGTTCATTATGGTATTTCCACCAAATCTGTCCTTTCCATGTTCGCTTGAAGTCTTGTCTTTGCTGCTTCTTCCGCCAGATTATTGGTTTTTCACCTGTATATTTTCGATTGTATGATACATTAAGCCAAGATCATTTGCTAAGTTCAAATTTTCTAGAGTCTTGTCGGTTAAACGTATACTGTCTTCTGGTTCCTAAAGGTTTGTACAATGACTCAGCCTGCAACAATTAGGAATATCACAGATGGGAGTAGGCGGCCTTGTCTTACTCTTATCTTCACTTCGAAGACTTCATTGATTTTTCCGGTGCGAATCACTTAAGCATGCGGTATCACTATACAGCTGTTGAATGAGACTGACAAAAGTTTGAGGCATTCTATAGAAATGATCCAGTTTCCAAATTACTTCACGACCGACACTATCGAAGGTCTTTTCGGTGTTCATGAAGTTGATGTAAATATATATATATATATATATATATATATATATATATATATATTCAGGTTCATCAGCTCAGGTGCTTTATAATAACACTGAGGACTACAAAGTAAATTTTAATTTTTGACTTGATGCAATGATAATGCTTGCAATACTGTAGTAAAAATGCTGAGAATTCCATTCTGTATCACAAGTACTGTTTTGGAATAAAGCAAATTATTATTATCATTATTATTATTATTACTACTGATATAATATTACATTCATAACCCTAATAAAATATTTTATGTGTCCTGAGTACTTATGAGACAAATGCAAGAGAATTCTAGATTAGTGTTTAATTATTTTTTTAATCGCACACTGGTCAGTAACTAGTGTAATGTGTCTAGTCCTATCTTCGGTGCAGACTGAATTCTATCAGTCATGTTTACAACGTGGCCACCATGCTAGGTGGCTCGCCATTACGGTGCACTGTCAATTGTTGTTATTAGATGGTTGGAGGTAATCGGCAGGAAGCCTTGGATCTAGGTTTCGTGCTAGTTGGCACTCATCAGCAAGGCGTATCTGCAACCTTGAAGGAACTGATGCCCCTTCTGAGATTCGGACCCGCGTCACCCAATGAGTTCTGCCGTCAGAGACGTTACCACTGAGCTTTTCGGGATTGACCTCCTGTAGGACTGTATTGGGTATTTTTGATTGCACTAGACTGATAGAATTCAGTCTGCACCGAAGATAGGACTAGACACATTACACTAGTTACTGACTAGTGTGCAGTCAAAAATATCCAATACAGTCCTACAGGAGGTCAATCGCGAGCCTGAATAGCTCAGTGGTAACGTCTCTGACTGCAGAACTCACTGGGTGACGCGGGTTCGAATCTCAGAAGGGGCATCAGTTCCTTCAAGGTTGCAGATACGCCTTGCTGATGAGTGCCAACTAGCACGAAACCTAGATCCAAGGCTTCCTGCCGATTACCTCCAACCATCTAATACCAACAATTCATAGTGTTTAATTATGCAACTGGAACGACAGAAGACAAGGACCAGGCAGCAGATCGTTTATTGAGAAAATCAAGAGATATTTATAGATTTTCATGTGCATTTTTATTAGCTTTATTGTTAGTGGGAAGCAACCTCTTCTGATTGGTTGTTTTCTTGATGAGGTTTGTTCTGTTATCTCGTTGTGGCCGTTTCTTAGAAAGTTAAGTCACACATATGCGAATCATATTTGCACACGTTAAGCCTGCTGTGATTGGTTGGTGAGTTCCTCAAGGTTAATCTTTGTCATTGTATTTTCATGAACCCGATTCGGGACGTAAACATTCACGTAAACTATTGTCTACAATTTTGGCTAGCAAACAGCTCTCACCACACAACTGCTGATATCAGAAGTCCCACTATTCTTTTTAACATTACATTCATTATTTTTCTCTGTTACACAGCTTGTTTAAAACCACAGACTAAGGAAATCTCCAAATGTGAATGCAAAGTTTATAAGAGTTATTACGGTAATCCACTGAAGTCACCGAAGTTTAAAAGTTCTTTGCATTGTTTCAAAAACATTAGTGTTGAATATTATATTCAGTTACAGTCAGGTGTTTGTCAAAAACAAAACTGGCAAGGTTATACACCATGCAGTAATCCAAGATACCGTGATTTACACATTAGAGATCAAGTTAACTGTGATAACATGAATCCAACATTATGGTGTGAAGCACAATTAGCTGCAGATGAACGCAAGTGTAAGGACGACGTTTTCAGCCAGGTGAGTTTTGTTTATTTTCAGTTTGAGTCTACAGCAAAAAAATTACTTACCCATTTTTTATCTCATAAAGGAAAGAAAGAGAATCTGTATGATACTTGGAAATCTCCAGAACATCTGAAAGTCACATATACAAAGGTGTAGTCATATAGAGCATATCTAATAATTATCTGTGGCAAAAAATTTCTCATAAATGCACCTGTAGACTAATCTTAGAGGAATAATCACTGACTAAATTTAATAGGCACCGATAGCCTAACTTCTTAATTGATTGATGGAAATTTATTAGTAGTGAAAAGTAATTATAATGGATTTTTTTCAGTTTGCACATTCCGTTCATGATACGAAATTTAGTAAAGAACCTGAGAGTGTGCTTATGAAATCTTGAACTCTGACATTTAGTGACTCGGCTTCAACTTTCTCAGAGAAAAATAAACTGTAATTATAGGCACGTAGTTTTGATGGCTGATACAAGACATCATATGTAAAGTTTCTTACTGATTACCTTAAACTAACTGAGCATAACAATACATACTTGCCAAAAAGAAGTATAACTGACGTTATTATTTTTGGATGAAAGTGACGATTGAGGTTGTGGTTATAGACGCTTGTAGGCATAAAATATATTGCCAAGTCTATAACATATCTCATGTTTACTTTAAGCAACAGTTTGGATGGAAAAGACGTAAACTAAAATAAAATTAAGCTTTTGTAGAACTCAAAGTTGATTGTAATGATAACTACAATCTCAAAATATTTAGACCACGGTATGTCACCTATGTAACTTGATAAATGCTATAAGATGTCTGGTGCTAAATGATATGAATGACATGAAGTGACTGATACCTGTTATTTGTACTGTTTACCGAAAAGTAGTGATTTCAACACTAAATACGTGTTTCACAATATGTGTCAGTTTTATCAATGATTTCCATGGACTGAATCACTTCATCTCAGAAAATATACAATCTAGTTGTTTATTACTATTATTATTATTATTCCCTTGGCTTCCAAATGGAACATAGGGCCTGAGTTCCTTGATGTCTATCCTTTCCCTCCGGTCAGCCAGCCAACTGATCTTCAGGATAATGACAACCGTTTTTAAAGTCAGCAGAAACTTTCCAGAAATGCATTACTGATATAAGTATAAAACTTGGGCACTGTGGTAGAGTATAACTCCATTATGGATAAGATTTTATTTTGATAAATCAAACAGTGTTGTACAGTAATATTAATTGATGACGTTTCCAGAAATGCTTTTGGTGACAGGCGTGGTATATCTGTGTCCCATACAGAAGCACTGAATTGACACTGGTGTTAAAAATTTAGATCTTATTCATTTTGTTGTATGCCGTAGATGTCCATAACGACTTCAAATTAGGAAGTACCTGTTTTCAATTCTGCATCAAACCCTGGCTGCCTTTAACATCCTCTTTATTGATACTGGTAGTTGAGACGATGCCGCCTAGGTGGGTGAATGGAGGAGTTTTGTTTATTTTCGGAAGGTCACTGACTGTCACTCTGTCTGCTGTTGATATCTCTGGACAAGTTATAGGTGGTGGTCATATTAGGAGTTCTTTGAAGTGGTCAGCTCAGAGTTTCCTCTGTTCCACTTTTTTTTGGTAAATGTGATTCCTTCACTAATTTTCAATGGTTTCATCTATCTTGACCCCTTCTCTAGTATCGACCTGATTATTTGATACAGCGTTGTCAGGTTTGTCTTACGAGCCGCCTGTTGTGCTTCAATTTCACGTGTGTTGTGAAAGCGTCTTTTTTCTTTACTAGCACTCTTCTTCACTCCTTTGTTCAGTGAGTTGTAGATTGTACTCAGCTTCTTTCGATATTCTCCACTGTACTGGTTTAACTTCAGCCCCAGTATCCTCCTATACCGGCTTCCAGGTACCTACATTCGAACATTCATTTTCTTGCCTCTTCTTTCCTAATGTATCTATACAGGTCTCATCCCATGTGGCTTTCACAGAGTTCAAGTGTTCTTCCACATAGGTTTTCCCAGTGAAGTTGCTTCATCCCTCAAACTTTTCACTGATGAGTACTGTGAAAGTGTATAATGTAACTCTGCCCTTCAGTTTTTGGGTTTGGACTTGAATTGTGGTCTATATGGCGTTTCTTAATACGCTTTCAAACTAATCATGAAGGTTCTTTGCAGCTGAAAGTGGTCATAGTCCATATATGCCCCTCTTCTAGATTTCGTATCCAGTATGCTGCATCTCCACTTTCTTGAGGTTCCAACGATGTATAGCTTAGGTCTTCAGGTCAACTTAACACAATCTTTCACTCAATAAAGAGATTTGCGTCAAATATTTAGCTGTTTTCAGCTGACCCTAATAATTATACTTAGTTTTTAAACATTAATTGCGTGAATATTCATAAAATATTTAACTAATTCCACAACGCTGCAATGAAACGTTCAGCAGGTTACATTACTATGTGTGTGTGTTTTCTACATTTATAAAAGCTGTTCACTCTCACCAAATAACTCCCGAATTCTCAAGCTTTTGTTGTATGTCATTGTATTCCACTGCATCTCTTTTGACATGTAAATTGCCGTCTGAAAACTAATATAAAGTTTATAGCATATGGATGATATGGTATCTGGATTAATTTTTGTTCAGTAAAGTGTTGTGCAAGAATATTACTGTCATTATTGGACCTTATGCTATCTGATAAACAAAATCCGTTATGTAACCACCTTAGTCACATTCATCGAACATACAACCACTTCTCTCATTTGAACTCGACAGATTTGGAGCTGAATAAGTATGCATCCTATTTGAAAGTGACTCCTCTCCTCTAGCTGTAATTCCACTTGTTGACAAATTTTTTCATTCCTTGAGTTCTAAAAACAAGAGAAGGTTTCAAGCTTTTTAAGTTTTAGCAATGATGGTGTCGTAGTTTTTGCAGGGTGGGGATAATAGCCTGAAGTCCAATGCTTCCTTGTTTTTCCAGCTTACAATCGGATAGTAGGCTAGGCGGTTTAGGAGTGCATCGGCTTGGAATCGTACCTCGATACCCCAAGCGGCTTGAGAGCATTCTACCTCTGAACCACAGACGCTTAGTTAGCACAGCCCTGTTTAAATCAACTTTTAAATATGCCCAAGGGCAATCTTGGGCTTCAGTTTTATAGTTCCATGAATTGCACGTAACACTTCCTTCTCAAAAAATCTCCTTGAAGAGATACTTTTAGGTTGAGAAAAGGTTGTTATTTAAAAAATTCCACTTATATTTTATCACGAGTTTGTATATTTAGATTCAAACACTTATAGTGCGGATATCTTGTATGTAATAATGAAATATGAACTCATCTTATGATGAAAATTTGTTGTCCCATATTTTCTTGCACGTATAACAAGTTGAAATGTTATCCCACATAATTTAACTTTTATTTACCAATAATTTGTTAGGTATGTTCAAAAACATGTGGTCTTTGTACATGTCATGGTGTCAATGTATTCAAAGGAAAATGTAAATCTACTGGACAAAGAACTGACACTCACATTACTTATAAATCACATCCAGTTCATCGAATTTGCTACGTAGAAATGAAGACCTATTTGAAGACATGTGAATGTGAGTTACTCTTAATCCATTTCTCCACTATTTAATAAATGTTAGACTACACGTAGATGTTACAGCTTTTCACCACTGTACTAGTCCAAGCACTTCTGTGTTTGTTCCAGTTTTTTGTGATGTAAAACAGATTGGAGAGTATTCACCATAAATAGGATCATTTTTATTTGTCCTTTCAGACTGCCCTGTTGGCTCATATGAATTTGTACACAAATGTGATAAACAGAGTGACTCACGCATAGTAAATCAAATTACAGCAAAGTTAATTCAAATTCCTTCAAATATTGATGGAAAACCTCAGATTAAGTGTTCAGTGCAAACAAAGAATTATAAATTCCGATGTGGAAACTGTTTGGCTGCATACTCAGATAAACACTCTTTATCTCCATGTAAACGCGTAGCTTCAAGTTCAGTACCGTATCAAATTAACCTCACTACAGAATATGTAATTAATGAAGGTGGTTGTTGTAAAACACGACGGTGAGTATCATTTGTTTTGACTTATTAATTTATAGATTTATTCTCTTTCTATTCATTCTGAGTAATTTCAACGTCCTATTTAAGCACTATCAGTAAACTCTCGTAAGTGACTGTGTCGAAATAATGCTAAAACCTGTAACTTTGAATCCTTGATAAAACAGTTAAGAATTTCGTGGTTTTCTAATCTATTTGCTTCTTTCTCTTACCCTGATAAACATCAGTCAGTCTAGTAATATTAAGTCACCTCCACATTGATAGTCACTATTTACATTGGTAGACCTCATTGGTCATGAATTCTCGCTAAAATTCCAGGCAACTACGTTGTGTAGCCAGCCACTTACGAGCATAGATTAGCTTTCAAGAGTTAGTAGTAATACACTGGCTGAAAGTTCCGAAATTCGGAGATACACAATCTTAATGTATTTTTCAGGTTTCTGCTGTGGGTCTGTGTTAATACTCATTGCCAATTGAAAGCCTAATGGATATATACTTTCACTCAACAAAGATCTACTCAGCCTGGTTACCAAATCAAACAAGTTAATAGGCAGATACGTCTACAATAAAAACGCACCCATCTATCTATATCTTTTTGATGAGAAAAAGTTTCCTACTACATAATTTAACGTGATTAATACACCCACCCCACCAAAAATAGAAACTATTCATTAGACTACTTAATTTAATTTTAGATTTTGCTGTCGATTGATTCGACCGAAGTGCTCGGTTTCAGGTTGACATGTTGGCTTCTTGTGCAGATGCTTCGGTCCAATCAATCGACGGGAAAATCTAAAATTGAATTAAGTAATTAATATGACCTGTTGCACACGAGGTGGCTCTCCTGTGGCTCAAGGGGTCTAGTGGATAACGCTTTGGCGTTTGAAACTATGGGCACATGGTTCGAGCCCCGGTGGGAACATCATCACTCTCTGAGGAATGCAGGTACATGCAACTGACGAGTCCCAAGTGGGATGAAATACGCATCCTGGATTCCACTGCTAGTCACCATCCACTAATTAATATTCATTAGACTGATTATTTAGTAAAAGAAATATTAAATGGATATCGAAGTGAACACACTACGACTTAGTGTCAGAATAAGCGCGAAACCATTTGAAGTGTTGAAATGCTTTAAATATCTGAAGAACTCTTTGCTTAAATAAAGGCGTTTTCTTACTTAGTTCAATGAGAACCCATGGAATGCATTTTTGTATTCATATGATTTTCAATTCCTGGCACTTTTACAATATACTTTTAAGTGTTAAATCAAAAAGAGATACTTTTTTTTCTGTCTAACTAAAGAACTCAAAGACAATTCAACTGTGCTAACTGCCCACCTCTTAAAGTTAAACGCACTTCATGCTATAATGGCCAGAGACTGAAGCATATTATGTTCTTTATTCGACCATGGGTTAGTTCATCTGTGCAACCAAATGAATGCATTCGAAAAATTATCACAAGACGTGAAAAGTGTACAGCAGATTATCACACATCTGAAGGTAATTATTACATTTCTTTTTATTTCTTAGCTATATGTCTCCATGATATTTGTTACTCTGTAGAAAATTTAAAATAAAATCATTAATTTGAAGTCTAATAAATTGACAACAAAGTGAAGAATAACGAGTATAGAGAAACTGTCGCACAACGGTAATTATTCTCAGCAACTTTTGATATAAAAATAGATACAAAAAGAGTTTTACTATGACTAAGTCTCATATCGTGAAATATTTTAACTGATCCTGACAATATATGGAATAACGAAGAGGTTAGAAGGAGAAAGAAGGCTGAGAAATTTGGAAGGCTGCAGTTAATCTCCATCCAATGAAATTAACGAAATCAACCTAGTTTGAAAGTTGATATTTAGACATAAATATCTGCAAAAATATTTCAATAAATTTAAATGGGATAGACAACAAAACGCTTTGTAGTCATAGAAAGTCAGAATCAGAGAAGTCTGGATTGTTGCTTAGATAACTGTTGCAATCTACCCACAAATTGCATCTGATTTATCGTATTTATTATGATTATTATTATCAGATCCATATTTTAATTTCGTCATCAGTCCTCTACCACTATATATATATATACCTTTCAGCATCCCGATTGAAAGGTTATCTTAGATAATCTCTCCAGCTAATAGTAAAATTATCAAGTAAATTTTCGTCGCCATCTACTGATCGTAAAACAGTAAAATCCATGTTTGCTTTAACAATTACTGGAAGAATATTCTGACTAATCTTTATTTTTTTGTTTAGTATCTATTTTCTCTATTAACAAAAATGCAATCCTACTGAAAATTAGTACACACAATCAAGAGTGTCTAGTTAAACCATGTAGGCAAGAATTATAGATACTGTTCCGTTGTCAAGCATAAAGAGAAATGACAAGACAGATGACAAGAAATCAGTTAGAATGATATCAAAAATATCTCGGGAATTTATTCTAATACAAGCTTATAAAGGACTCAAATGGAGATAGTAAATTTAAAATATTTACGAAAACACTTTAAGGTCATGGATTCGAAGTTCTACGTAGTTGAGAGATAGACAATGACATACAAGTCTAAAAAGCGAAGAAAAAATATTCAAATTTTTGCTCTCTGAGAATACAACCAAGTCAAAATACTGAGTAATTACTGAACTGTTTTCACTTAGTCCCAGTGTCTCGTACTGCTTTTAAGATTGAAAATCTACTCAAAATGCGTGAATACTTTAATAGGTGAGTTATGACACGCAATATAACTTTGTTGATATTCGAAAATGCAATTAAGACGACGAGTCGTAAATAATCTGACTTGTGTTTCAAATTTTTGTTATTGACACAATATTGTTTCTGTTGTGTTTCAGGGGAATGTCGTGATATACTCAGTCATAAGGATTGTAAAGTTATTAAACAAAGTGGTGGATGTCAGATAAGTTCATATGAAGCTCGTAATTTATGTGCTAAAACATGTAGATTTTGCAAATGAATAATAAGACCTCGTCGTTACTACTAATACACTTTTTAAACTTCGAAATAAAGCAATTCCAATGATAATTAAAGTGTTTTTACTATTTTTACTACTAAATGCAAATGTACCGTACACGTGGTCATCTGAGAGAGAGAGAGGTTTGGAGTTTCCGGTGAATTCAGTTTGTTCATCCCGAGAAGATAGCTTTTTACTTTATGAATGTGCCTAGTATGCAAAAACAGTAAACAGTAAGGGTATAACTCCATAATGGATAGGATTTTATTTTAATAAATCACACAGTGTTGTACAGCTGAATTAACTGATGACGTTTCGAGCAAAATCCTATCCATTATGGAGTTATACTCTACCACAGTGCCCAAGTTTTATACTTTTATCAAAACAGTAAGGGTGTTCAGTTAAATTTTTGTTCTGTATACATAATATACCGATTGCCTGCGCTTCATTAAAGAAAACGATGTAAACGAATCACAGTTTGGCAACACGCTCTCAAGATCTCCACTGGTTTACACTCCCATACAAGAAATGAACTATCTGTTTCTTGCACACGCAGTTTAAATCTCCCCTAAAAGATGAGGAACTGAAAGAATCGAATTATTCCTATCTTTCTTTTTTGAAGGTCAAGATGGATCATATTTTAGGCAGTTATTTTTCATATTTCGTTTACAAATCTTTTGCCAGATGTTAACCTTAAATTTCACTCCATTGTGTTCATTTATATTAAGTTAGTCTTTCTATAGTTTGGTTTGTAAGGGTTTGTTATGTTTTTACGAGTTGATCACGGACTGATATCAGTTACAGAACCATTGAAAACCAGGGAGTTAGTCATTTAAAGACTTTTAGTCGGTCACGATGCTCCTATCGGGTTCAAACATTGCACCAGCCGATTATTCGGCTTCTTATAAAGGGAATCGCAAAAATAAGGAGGAGGTGGAAAGGATGCTTTGAATAAATAAATAAAAGGAAGAAAATCGGAATTATCGGGGGGGGGGGAATGTGAAGATGACGTAAAAACTTAATAGTGTCACTTCGGTAGACGTTTATGAGCAACAGTATATACTCCTTCTGACTTCTAATATAATTAAAAGTAAGCAAATATCAATTCATTTCACTATTTTACAGAAATCCCATACTATTCCTTTCAGTTTAAAATGCAGTGGAAATCCAGTTTTGCCTTGATAGTTTTCAGAAAAGGTGTGGGAATTACATGCCACAGTAAAAAACCTGACTGGTTTACAATGCGCTAAGAGAACTGAACTTCCTAGCGTAGACGATTTGATTGTAAACTTTATAGCAATGCACTCGCAAGTGACCACTTCTACATCAGTACTCCAGTTGTTATTGAAGCTCAGTAACACTAATACGAGGTCACCTTCGAATTCCCAGTGTGATAGTGGAAATAAATCAAACCGACTTAGGTGCTTGTTGTTTTCTAAGTGGTTAAAAAGTCTTTTGACCAATTTAGTCTGAGCTTTTTGAAAGGCTTCATAGCCACCATCTCACCATTCGCTTCAGTTTTAACTTCATGGCTTTAAATGACTACTTAATCACTGCTGTCTGTAACCTTTGTACTCCTAAAGTATGTTATCTATTTGAAAGACGTGTTCATTGTGCAAGAAAATTTTTCACTGAGCTTTTAACTTTCATAGGTCAAACGGGTGCAAAATGCCTTCTCAAAATCCGAAAGCACAATGTGAACACAGCGCGACAGTATACCGCATAGCTGTTTCACACTGTTAGCATACTAGTGAGTAAATAACAGACTTTTTGAAGACATGTGCAGCATTATTTGCAGAATGCTGTTAACAAGTGTATTTCCTCTGAAGCAATTTTCCTCCAAGCTTCTCATCACTGAGAACATTCGGTGCAGCCACCACCTTGAGGACGTGATGTTGTGTGTCTTACTTTCACCCAAATCACCGCTGTTAACACTGGAATCGGAATCGCTGCACTCTTAGCAAACGACTGAAGATTTAGCGATAGTGGCTTACTGACTAGTCAGTGCAAGATAAGATTATCAGTACCTACCACAAAGTAAGCAGATGCGCCACAAACCTAGGGGATTTAACAGTGGCGATCTCGAAATCCATGACACTACAGCGGAAATGTACCACTTCAGATTGCAGTCAACCATTGGAATCCGCCATAATATACAGTCAAAAGAAACGAAGAATGTATGGAAAATTTGGCACTTATTATCTAGTGGTCTGAAGAATGGTCTCTTCGCTAATGATGACTGCCCATTTGACTTGATGGATAACCAGTGTCACGTCTTCGAAGCCCCAGATTACAAGGATCTGGATGACAGTGTGTATTCGGAGAAGAGGAATACTAAGTATGAGCTTTGTGATAACTATCTGAACTATCTAGCTGTTGAAAAGTAGCTTGCAGATGAATGCTACTCCTAGTACACCTTTTACGTTGGTTACTTTAATGATCATTCTTTCTTAGTTCATCAAAGTATACTGGATTTCTTCAGGAAGTGTCTGATAATATAAAGGAGCTAGGAGGTGCAGTTCTGTCTTTTATGGATAAAGTTTGTGAAGTGCAGGCCAAAATACTTAGGCATATTCACTTAAGGTATGCTACTGTAGGGGCAGAAGAAAGACTTGGTAATGGACACTTTGTTATGGAAAAACACCATATTTATACATTTTTAATCACACTGAAGGTCGGCTAGGTCAACAGACATTAAACTATTCTGATTGGTAGTCGATTTGCCGAAGGTTTGTCGGGGATCAAAGAAGTTCGTCAACTCAACTGAACCTCAGACGTTTTGCGGTCAACGGTCAATTTGTTTATTCGTGCGGACTGAAAGACATGGTGGTAAATATAATTTTCAAGGGACAGGAGTTCGGCAGCTTCGCTGTGGTGTGATTATCTCTCTTCAAATCATCGTCAACAAATACATCTTTCAGCAGTCGTAAGTGTTATTCTTCCTTCGTTAGTTGGGGCGGTGTTAGGAGCAGCATTACCACCAGGTTATATGTGCGAGGCTGAAGACTGAGCAGGTAGTGGGGATAGAGCTCAGGTCTAGCGAGGTTGATGACCACACGTCAATCGTGAGCGTTACATCTAGTCGAGACCAACTGACAATGAGTTCAAAATCATTCAAGTAGCCTAAATAACCGGTTTCCTAGAGGTTAAACCTTGAGGGGAGATGTTGGCAAATTAGATTTTCTCCTCAGTACGACGCAAACCAAATCCATATTTGAGAGATAAATATGCCTGTCCCCACGGCCACTGACTTAAAATGTTGTTTTGAATTTTGGATGCTTCTTACCGATCCACATCTTTGCATTAATAAGAAGTCTCGTCAGTCTCACACATCGCACTACTACCCATGTAGGCAAACTTGATGAAAATGACCACGATATCAAGACACCCTTCTCATGATTGTGAATACTCTGGATGTTTTGACGAAACATCTCGTTAAATGAAATACTCTGAACATGCAGGAATAAGTGTTACTCCAGTTTCCGTAATTAATACATTTTATATCTCCGGACTATCCTTCAAAGTTGGAAATGACACCCCAACATCGACTTGTCGCTTGCTTAGTGCTGTACTTGACGAACGTTTCGCACGACTGATGACTTATAAGGGGAGTGGGGATAAAAACGTTGTTCGGGACTACACCTTTCAAATAACAGTTGGTATGTAGACTTTTGATAAGAGCAATATTGGTGCTAACCATATGTTCACATGCCATTCTTCGTGGACAACTGGAATTAGGAAACAATGAAGAGGAAAGAGTCAACGTCGTAGTGAGAACCCCGAGAAATCGGTGTCGTGACCAACAACTAAGGGAGAAGAACGAACCCTGATCAGAAGGGGTAGGCAATATAAATAGATGTTCGATTGTTATATTATATATATATATATATATATATATATACGCATTCAGTCGTATGCTTCGTTCCATTTTATTAAGGAAGTCATACCATGTCAGTCAGCCCGTTCATTGTCAATGAAGTAATTTCTACAATCAATTCTGTACACATTTTTCCCGTGTTTACTTCACCAAAATATACATTCACTTCACCGAGAATACCCATTTAGTCATGAAGATAATAAATTTAGCGAAGACAGTTTTCTTTATCGTCGAGAAAGAAAACTTCCTCGCTGAATTGTCTTTTATGTATTCATTTGCATTCAGTATATTATTCCAACCCTGCATTCGCCTTATCCTATTTGACTGAGTCACGGAATAATAAGGAGATTTAATTTTGAGAACAACTGTCATTATGCTTACTTGTTGGAGTGCGAATGAGTTGAGTAGTCAACATTCAAGTTCAAAAGTTGGTTATTGGTCCATAGAATACTTGGGAAGTAGTGAGTGATACGTTCGTTGAAGACGAGGAAAGGGTAAGAAGTGGGTTGTTAAAATTTCAGTGGAGATGTGGAGAGTGAGTATTTTATGTTGCACTTTACCCACCTTTTGTCCACGCCTCAACCAATCAAAATCGCTCACTTAGCCCACGTGTATTCTCCGATTGAGCTTACTGTCAAAACCACTGTAACCCATAACCTTTTACTTTATAGTTCACCAAAGATCAATTAACCTAGGCTTCTCCTACGTATTATTCTAGAAATGTCGAATTCAGCATATCATTTAAGTGCTGAGTGGCTTGTAGATATACTGGAACCTTTATACTGGATGTTCAAAATGACTTTGTATTTGTTTGAGATATGAACTTAACAAATAGAACTATTCATGAAAAATTCCCATTCGAACATTAATAGACAGAAGACAAGTAGCCTATCTTCTTCAGTTGAATTCCGATGGCCTCAGCTGTATGTGGAAGACGAAGTCGTCAAGTAAAATTAATATTAGTCTAAGTGCGACACATAATTTCGAATGCTTGATTAGCATAAACAAGGTGTGCTAAAACAGAGTTAAGAATGGATCTTGTTTGTCCCTTGCTTAACCATGCAGGAAGATATTTGGAAAACCAATGATATATATATGTATAGCGAAGGAGAGAGAGGGAAACCGAAAGTGACTGACAAACTTGTTCTTCTGAAGTTTCCAAGGTAGTGGATAAAAACGACTGAGTAAGGGACTCAGTGAAATACAAACAAGCAAAATGTGAAAGTAATGGCTTGGCATAACGTATATTTACCTGCTTAAAAAGAGTGTGATTCATTAAGAATCAGCAATGTGATTCTGCCAAGTTGAACCAACTTCCTGTTTTCACTAAAAAAATATTTATTTGACTTAATTTCAAGCAACAGTCACAGTATAATCACTACAATTATTAGATATCTTTTACCTGTTCAAAAATGCAGTAACAACAACAACAGATTATTGAGTAAATATTTTGAGGTCAGTTTGAGAACTAAAACATTTGGATCCCTTATAAATAAATCCATTCTTAAATCAAATATTAGAATTTTATTTATAAATACCAGTGTCTAACTTAATCAATTGATACTGTCTAAGGTTGTCCACCAACTCGACGATGGATTTCTGAGTGCAAACAGAATTTCCGTTATCAACGAACAATTACCTTTAAATTTGTTAATGGAACATGCGTTCGACAAGAGAAAATTGGTAAACAACGTTGTGGTTGTCCACAGCCTATAAATCGTATCTACTGTGATGGTAATGGACGTTGGGTCAAATGTAATACACAGTATGTATATAATCCTAAAACGCACGTTTGTCGACTGTTGAAACATTGTGTACGCTGGTATGATGAGTGCCCTCGCCCAACAAATCGTATTGTTTCACAGTGCAGTGCAAAGACTCAATTTAAACATGTAATACAATATGTTAATTTTGTGAGGAACGAAACTAGTTGTAAATGTGTTGCTGTAGTCAAAAATGAATGGACGGAGTTCTGTGGTAAGCAAAAAATGTATTCTTAAACCCTGAATGTATTCTTTTTCTTACTTTTTTTCCCGAATCCCCAAACAACAGACACGTTTTATGATACTAGTGTCAAACAAATAATTATTTGAATTTAAAATACATAGAATAAAGATGGTTAAATATCGTTATATCATATTAGTAAGACTTCTTAACAGGAATATTTATCTCTGTAGAAATCTCAGACAAATATCATTATTGTTACAGTTATTAGGATGTGACCAAATGCTTTGGATAAGTGATATACCATATTTATGTGATCTCTCGTGCACTAATCAACTTGCTAATAGCCTCCAGAATGAATTAATATGAGTGAGTAGGTGGTCAGTTACAACGTTGGCTTACAGTTTCCTTCTAAACCAATATATGATTGCTTCAAAAGTCATTATATGAGATCTGATTAGTGGTTCTTAATACATGAGTACCACGTATTCAAGAAAATGCTAGGGTGAAATGAATACATTTTAAATGCTCCTGCACTCACTTATGGATTTACTCATCCGAAACATGGTTAAATAATTCTGTCTACTTAAAAAAAACCTCCTTAACATCTTCAGATATTAAACTTCTATTTTACGTCACCATCATTTCAAGGACAAAATTGATATATCTCGCAAATTAATTAGAAATTCAGTATTTGTTTATTTCAACATCTCAAATGATTGTCAGTCTTTGATCACGCCAGAGAAAAGAGAGACATGAATGCAGAAATAACTTCTTCCTAAAAAATAACTTTCATAACTGTTCATTTGTAAATACACAAGTTGAAAAATAAAGTGTCATTTATGAATTCTTGGTCAAAGGTTACAGCATATGTAGAAGGGAAGTGAAATCGTGTTACACAATAAAAGGAATGACTTGATACTGAAGATGAATAGAATAAAATAATCATATGGTAAAGTTATCTAGGTAACTGAAATACAAAATACAGAGTTGTATAGCGTTAGTATAACATCAAGGTTATGATAGGGATGATAAGTATTTCCTTAGGAATCCCTGTTGTGTTGTGGAATTTTAAATATATTCACCTGAGATTTCAGCCAGTTGACCCGACTGTTTATTTCTGTTGGTTAGTATGTACTAACTCGGTGTTGTGTTTACTGGAAAGTTGCAACACTGATGAAGTACTCAGTAGTAAATACGAAAGTTCAACTTTTCAATAAGGGTAAATACACTGTAATCACCGTGATGAAAAATACTCAATGATATTAAAAGTATTATTATTAGCGTAAAAAACTGACTCGACTTCACTAGAACTGTCTATAATAATGTGCGAATAGTAGTATGTAACCAAATGTGATATTCACTGTAGTTTTTGTATCAGTGTGTTAAAGATACTTTCTTATTTGTTCATTAACGTTTTAGGATGCGACCATTTAAATAGAAAAGTTTACCAGTGTCGTGACAACATTATCCCAACTATTGGATACTGGAAATATGAATTAGTCAAAGGAGATTGCATACCAAAACGTATGAAATATTCGAAGCGGCTAAGTAAGTGAAATTTATTCCCACCCAAAAATTCAACCTTCACAATACCTGCTGACAAGAATGTACATAACTAGTTATCTCACTTACAGTAGGATAATAAATGTAACAAAAGTGATTAATTTTCGTTTATCTAAATAAGTAGGTAGTAGTTAATGTCTACGTTGAATAACTATCTAACTTCTATCAGTTAACTTTCAAGTGTGACTGTCAACCTAAAACATTCAGCATCACAGTACGCTCTAGTTTGGTTTAGATTCTTGTGGGATATTGGGGGTGTGGTATTAGATTTGATGCTTTTTCTTACTCATTGGTTATGTAAATGAAATCTCGGCTTAATTTAGGCTGTCTACAAAATTTAGGCCCCCGGAATTACTAGTTAGATTAAATTTTCTTAGTCCTAATTGATATCTTATATTTACGTAGTAAGTGTGATGAACGAAGCTAAAACAGTACTGTCTAATAAATAACCAGTTTCGGAAGACTGAATCGTTCACACCCTTGCTACTACCTACTCGTTGTTAAGACTGACAAAACTTTATCACAGTCGAGAGATGTGAAGTATTCGTAGGACAGAATAACTTGTTGCGTTAATAAATACCAGAAAATAAGTGTACTTTATGTTACCCCTTACCAAGTGTCAGATTTTCTGCATGGCACAATAAGGTGTTGTACTATCCAAATGAGTTAGTGAAATAGATTATTCTAGTAAACTAATATCAACACTGACAGGAATAGTAACATGTTTATATAAACGCTTCTGTTATAGTTTAAAGTTCTTTATATTTTTTCTGTGTAACAGACTGTCCCAAGCCAACTGTGCAAAATTATCCATGTGATAATGATCCAAAATCACCGAATCGAGGTTACAAAGTCAGTAAAATTCAACATTTCGTTGGACAAAACTGCAGCTGTATTCCAAAGGTGAAAGTAGAACGAAAGATTTGCAGTAAGTTGTCATTAATCACTATTTTTTTCTGGATTAATATGGTAAAGATATATATGGCAGCCAAGTGTCATGGTCAGTATCTAAGATAGGAAAGACACCTTAAAATGTATGAAGTGATAAAGTGTTTCGCTCAATATTTTGGCAACTGTAGACCTCCCAATGAACATAACGCACAGTGGACTTTCCTAGATATTTTGTTATACACTTTAGTCACATCACAATAAAATCTCACTCACCCATAGTCAAAATAAAATTTACAAAATTAATATAATTATGAATGAAAGCCAGTTTCAAAAATTTATAACACCTTATTGTCATTTTTAATAAAGTGTACGTAAGTTTTTCTATCGGACAACAACGTTTTCCCTTATATTCTCATATCCAAGCTTTTAAAAATTAAATTAATCTTGAATAAAGCAAGAAGAACCAAAGTCTAAGTAGGATAATTGACTATCATCTTATTTGGTTGGTTCTTTCCAAATACACACAGACCAAAACACTGTCGGTATCAATGTATAAAGTATTCACATACTTTAACTATTGAGCCATTAAACTTACCTAATTAAACACCATAATGGAAAGAATATAAGCGTGTTGGTGTGCATAGAGATAATTGGCAAGAGTATTCTGGAATCAGCAAAAGCATTAGAAATTAGAATTATATTATTATTTCCTTTGGTTCTCAGTGGAGCGCAGAGCTTCAGCAGCACACGTCCATTTCATCCTGTTCTCTGCATTCCTTTATAGGTGGCCCCAAAATTCCCCACTAGCCTTCACCTTCTTTCCAAACGATCTCCACCTTCTGACCGAAGCCTAAATTGTTTTTATCTCTGTAAGGGTTCTACTTGTGTGCCTCCAGCAGGATATCACTCAACAGTTTCTTCAAAATATGTCCGATCCGTCCCCAATTCCTTCTGTAGAATTTTTTGGAGATAGGTCCCTCGTAGGTTCATTTCCAGAGTTTCATGTTACTAACCCTTTCTGGCCATCTAACCATCAGAATGAAGGCAAGATAGCTAATGATAAATTGAAAAGAGGCTGAATGATGCTGCAAATTGAATGCAGATGTAAGACTAACAACATAGGTTACGTAAAAGTTGAGCAGAGACAAAACAAATCAGGTCAAGAGTGTGGATAAAGACAGAATTAAAGGTGACAAAAAAAACCTAAAATAGCAGAAACAACATAAATTTATGTTCACAAGACTAATAACAGTGTCTCTTTGATTGTACAGGTCCGATTTTAATTGTCTAATGGTTACCGCTTCAGCGATGTATTTTGAACTGTAACTTCGCTTAAATGGTTTTAAGCCTCAATTTTATGGATGCGATACATCATGGGGAGAGTGCTTGCACTGCTGAAGACTTTCATGCCTTTCCGATGCAAGTTTCATACATTTGGCTCCCTTGATGAATTTCCGAATTTGTTCAGATTTTTTGTCACAAATCTTTTTTTCTATTCGTTTAATACATGTACTTTAACAGGTACATGTAAGCTGACAGATGCAACTATGGGTGACATGGAATGGTGGATTAGTTAACCTTGGATTGTTTTAGTGAGCAACTTAATCCGTAAAGTGTAACTGCTTCGTCAGCTGGATAGGTCCTCTACGGAACTGCTTCTATTCTGCACTTCATTTTCCAGACAATTTATCACCTATAAGTCCAAGTTTCAAGAAGACAGGCTTTTTTCTCACTGTGTCTGATTTCATCTTCCCACTTAGCACAATTTTGTATTTATCAGTAAATTTTTGACGATACCCATTTTCTCGTAGGCACCTTTCAGCAATGGCGAAGTCTTCTTTCCTTTAAGCACATCCTTTCAGTAAGGGTAAACAGTGTTCTAACCACAGCTTTCTTGAAGCTGACTGGACAGCAGCTATTGGAATTTATTTACTGCCCAGGCCAAGAAGATGGAGGCATGACTAGTGTGATTATATATATATATTTTTTTTCTCGTAAAATTTCACCAGATCTATTGCAGGTTTTAAACTGGCACATTATTGACTATAAGAATTTAGTGATGAGTTTCTAGAAACCTAGATTACTGAGGGTAGTTTTAAAGCCGAAAAAGCGGATATTTCCCTCAGCTTCTATCTGATTTCCTAGGAATATAAGTAGTCATCAAAGATATTTCGGAGCAGTTAAGATAAAGGGGACCTACGGATGTCAGAAGTGTTGCTCAAGATGACACTACATTCCATCAGTAACGTTTTACTATTATACCCAAAGTGTTAGCACCACTGTCTCGAATTAGTTTGGAAAATTTGCTAAGACTCTTATTCATGTAAGATATTGTAACTGCCAGTAAATAACTGATTATCTAAGGATTCCGTAAGTGAAAACAAAACACGTAGATCAGCGAAGAGTCTCTTTTCGGCGAATTCATTTTCTTAGCTGTACAATCGCAAGTATCTATGTTTATTTGATGTTGATGCTGTTCAGCTGTAATTTATCAATATTATTGATTTGATGTTATTTAAACATTAATGTCGTTCATAAGACTAATTCATTCATTCATTATAATGTATATATAATTGTAGAACCTGATGATGAATTTATCGAAAAGAGTTCTCTTTGTTCAGTGTCTATTCTTTTGAAAATTTTAATGGGCATTCTTAATCAATTAAAATATCTATGTTTTATTTTGTATGCATGTGTACAATAAGCTTATCAAACAAAAATACAATTGGTCATAGTTATTTAAACTAAACAGGTGAATATTGGTAGTTGGAGTTACGTAATACGAAATCAGTCAAGAAAATTAGGTGTTAGTGAAATTAGGGTAGTAACAAAGGTGATGAGTTGTCACAAACAATTGTTAAAAGAAGTTATGTAATAATATGAATAGTTTGATGAGTGAGTTTCACTCAGGATGCACATAGAAACAAAGTAGATAATACAAAATTACGTAAGAGTTCTAAATGAATACAAGAATCATAAGCAATTAAAGAACAGGCAAAGAAACAAAATTAAGTCATCAAAATCAAAAAACCAAGACAGTAGAAGTGGTTGAGTAATCCTTTTTTGTATGCACAGCTCCGGGTTTTCTATGTGAATGGCCAGAGCTTCAGTTATACAAAGAAGACGAAACTGTATTGCTTTTGGCAGGTTATTCTTGACTCTGTAGATTACTTTGAAGGAGACGTTTGTTGAAATGGAATGATCAGTGTTAACCAGGTGTTCAATTATCGCACTCCTTATTGCACCACTATTACCTTTTCGCAACCGCGCTGGATAGTGTTCTTGAATCCTCTTGGACAGGGTGCGCGTCGAACGACCGATGCACCTGGCTCCACAGCAGCAGGTGAACTGATATATGCACATAGAAGTGATCAGATACGGGATCTTGTCCTTGAGGCTTCTGCAGATCAGTGGGTGACTGGAGAACACTATTCTTAGCGCTGCTGTAAAGAAAGTTCTTCTCAGAGAAGATGTGATCCTTCTCTTGATCCTTCTCCGTAAGTATTATATTATTATGATTTCCTTTAGTTCCTAGAGGAACATAGGGCTTCAGCCATGCGTCTCCATTGCGTTCGGTTCTCTGCTAGAGTTTTCACCTGGCTCCAGGTCTGCCCACATGCTTTCATCTCCTCTTCACATGATCTCCTCCAGGTCACCCTTGGACGACCAACTCGTCGCCTCCCTTTCGGGTTCCACTCGAGCAATGGCTTGTCTAGTGATGTCACTTGATGGTTTCCTCAGAGTGTGGCCAATCCATCTCCATTTCTTCCTGCATATTTGTTTCACAATCGGTTCCTGGTTGGTTCGCTCCCAGAGATCTTTGTTGCTGATCCTTTCCGGCCATCTGATCTTGAGTATTGAGCGAAGACATCTGTTAATGAAGGTCTGTAGCTTGTTTGAGGTGCTTTTTGTGACACGCCAAGTCTCTGATCCGTATAGTAGTACTGACTTCACATTGGAGTTGAAAATCCGGATGTTATTTTTGACGCTGAATGATGTTGATCTCCACACAGACTTGAGAGTAATGAAAGCTTGCCTTGCTTTCCCGATCCTTGCTTTGATATCCTCGTCAGTTCCGCCTGTAGTTGAAACAATGCTTCCCAATTAGGTAAAGGAGGTAGTTTCTTTCAGGTTCTTTCCATTTATACTGATTGCTGTCTGTTGTTGTTGGTGTTGGCCAGGGATCTTCATCACCTCCGTTTTCTCTATGTTCACCTGGAGTCCTATCTTCTCTGGATGCTTCTTCTGCCAACTTGTTACTTTTCACTTGCATATCTTCCAGTTTGTGGGAAATCAGACATATATCATCGGCGAAGTCCAGATCCTCCAAGTTCTTTGTGTGAGTCCATTTTATGCCTGTTTCCTCATTGCCCGCTGTTTGTCGCATTATCCAATCTACCGCAATCAGGAAAATCATTGGCGATAGTAGGCAATCCTGTCTTACTCCTGTCTTCACTTCGAAGGATTCCGTGAGCTTTCCGTTGTGGATTACTTGGCATGCAGCGTTGTCATACAACTGTTGGATGAGATGTATAATTGTCGGTGGCACCCCGTAGTAGCGAAGTAGTTGCCAAATCACCTCTCTCGATCGACGCTGTCTGGTGAAGGCCTTTTCAAAGTCGATGAAGTTAAGATAGAGAGGTGACTGCCATTCCAAACTTTGTTCAATGATGATCCGTAGTGTGGCGATTTGATCAATACATGACTTGTTTCTCCTGAATCCATCTTGTTCTGGTCGAAGTTTTTCATCCAGGGCTTGTTTGATCCTTTCCAGGATGATGCGGCTTAGTATTTTGCTTGGGATGGACAGGAGCATAATTCCGCGCCAGTTCTTGCATTGACTTAAGTCTCCTTTCTTTGGTAACTTGAATAAGTATCCTTTCTTCCAATCCTCGGGTACTTTGCCTTCTTTCCACACCTTCTCCAGTAGTGGCGTCATCAGGTTTGCTGTTGTCTCTGGGTCCACTTTCAATGCCTCTGCTGGGATTCCATCTGGTCCTGCTGCTTTTCCAGCTTTCAGCATCTTGATTGCATTCAGGACTTCTGCTCTCCTCGGGGGGTTGATGTTCACTGGTAATTCTGCTTCCATTGTTGGTATTGTTGGGCGCGTTGTAGGTGGCGGTCGGTTTAGTAGTCTTTTGAAGTGTTCAGCCCAGTGTTTCCTTTGCTCCACTTCTTTGGTGATTGACTTTCCATTTTCATCCTTCACTGGCTTAATTTGTGACGAGTTTCTGCCTGAGAGGTACCTAGTTGTTTGGTAGAGTATTGCGAGGTCTCCTTTGCCTGCTGCTTGTTCTGCTTCATTAGCCATGGCTTCATAATACTTTCTTTTGTCTTCTCTGGCACTCTTCTTTACTCCTTTGTTCAGTGTATTGTAGCTTGCATTCAACTCCTGTTTCTGTTGCTCGTCGGTGCACTGGAGAATCTTTTGTTTCACCATCCTTCTCTCTTCTATTAGCCTCCAAGTGTCCGTAGTGAGCCACGGTTTGTCCTGTCTCTTCTTTCTGCCCAGAACTTCCATGCAGGTTTCGCTCCATACCGTTTTCAGGTTGTCCCAGTGTTTTTCGACGCTGACCTCTTCACTAATGTTGATTTGTGTCTCAGCTTTGTCCTTTATACTTGCAGTAAATATATCCTTTGTATCCTGGTCCTTCAGTTTTTGAGTGTTGAACTTGGCTTGTGGCCTATCTGCAGCTCCTGATTCTCTGAAAGCTTTTAATTTGAGTTGGATTGTTCCTTGTACGAGGTAGTGGTCTGAGCCAACGTCTGCTCCTCTTCTTGCTTTTGTGTCCAGTAGGCTGCGCCGCCACTTCCTCGAGATTGTGATGAAGTCGATTTAGTTTTTGGTTCGCCCATCTGGTGACACCCATGTAGCCTTGTGAATATCCTTGTGTTTGTATACGCTGCCACCAATCACTAGTTCATTGAAGGCGCAGAAGCCGGCGAAGAGTTCTCCATTTTCATTCATCTCTCCCAGAGCTTCTTTACCCATGATGAGTTCCCTTCCTGTGTTGTCTGGTCCAAGTTTGGCGTTCATGTCTCCCACTAGTATTTTAATGTCACCGGCTGGAGTATTGTCTATTGCTGCCTGTAGTTGTCTGTAGAATTCTTCTTTCTTTTCGAGGTCTGCGTTGTTTGTGGGTGCATAGCATTGTATAATTGACACTTTTCTTCCTTTGGAGTTGAATCTGGCGCTCATTATTCTTGGTGAGATCGCCTCCCACTGTATCAGAGCCTTGGTTGCCGTTGGTGACATCATGATAGCCACGCCCTCGGTGTGTGTGTGGTTGTCTTCTGGGTGACCGGAGTAAATCACTGACTCACCCGTTGACAATTTGGTGAGTCCATTCCCGTTCCATCTGCTTTCACATATTCCGAGTACTTGAATTTTGTATCTTTTCATTTCGTTTGCGATCTGGGCAGCTTTGCCAATTTCGTACATGGTACGGACATTCCATGTCCCCACACAGACTTCTTCTTTTGACGCAAGGAGATTGTTCACGCTGAAGTTTCTGTAGCAGGTTTGTTTACAGGGTGGGGTTGCTGGCCTCACGCCTGAGTTTAGTCTTTGGGTACCTGAAATAGAAGAAAGGTTAGTGGTGCGTGACCGCAGAGCCCAGGGGACATCTGCTTGAGGCCGGTCACACACGGCCTGGTGTGTCTCAGTAGTGTACTTATCACTTCTGCCCTGTGACACGGCAGCAGAGAGCGCGGTCGTTGTTAATCCGGGCCACGGCCGATCCGGCATGATATCTCCGTAAGTATATCATTGGTAATACTCCTACACTATGTTCTCAGAGGAAATTCATGTTCACTAAAAACAGTGCTTGATAACAAAGTTGCTAAAGATAATCTAAATAAACGCATAAGTTTTTATGATTTTAGTGTCTAAATAAATGACATCGATTCATGTCATTAACCGCATTGTTATAATGTAACTTTTATTATATAGATTGCAGTTTAATACACCCACAAGTTGTTTCAAAACGATGCGAAAACAACAATCTTTTATTAATGAGACGGAGATTTTCAACCCTGATGAGAGATAAATGTTTGCACAGTGAAGCTGTATACAAGAAACCAATAAGTAAGTCTATACACATATTTGAGTTTTAAAAATAGGACAAAGCTACTGTAAATACCTTTCATCTTTATTATCATTATTTTTTGTTAGATAAATTACTACTCTAACACTTTTTGAGTAGCATTATTATAACACTAAAATAATTTTCAAGTAATGGTGGGGGGAATTTTGTTTGATTGGATGGAGAATTTCATCATGAGCTGACATCGGTTACAGAATCACTGGAAAACCCGGGAGTACTGGACATCTGTTTCGTCCTAGTTTGGGACTCTTCATCAGAGTTCAAAACCTAGGACCTTCTGGTTACAAGGTGAGCTCATAGACCATTACGCAGCCACTGGGAGCCGATCCAATGGCCCATGAATTCTAACTTCTGCCAATTCATGACATAGCGCAACCATTTCGCAATGTCTTCTTCAATGAGTTACTGCCTTATCGTCAACCTGCTGTACCCTACTGGTCACGGCTTCCCACTAGAACCCCAGGTCACTGCGTGAATAGAGCCGGTCGCTAGTGCGCATCAGATTAATTTTCAAGTATTGGTTTTGTGGGGACCAGTAGGGTACCTGCTGTACCTTTAATGGTCTATGAGCTCGCCTTGTAACCAGAAGGTCTTGGGTTTGAATTCTGGCAGCGGGTGCGTCCCAAACTAGGACGAAACAAATGTCCAGTACTTCCATGTTTTCCGGAGGTTATCTAACTGATGTCAGCTCATGATGAAATCCTCCATCCACTAAAATAATTCTAAAAAGTTCTGTCGTCATGCTTTCAAATTACTGTATGATATACCCTTTCAATTCCTCTGTATTCTAGTATGCATACAGTTTGATTGGTAAGCTCCCATTGACATTTAAAACCACATCATAAGGATCAAATTTAATATGAAGCCATTCACCAGTAATTTAACTGCGAAGTTAGTGAACATAGTGTTTTGTTGAATGTAAAGAAAACTCGACATCAAGAAATATTCTTTATCAGTTAGTTTGTGTTTACTAGTATACACTGAGTACTCAAGTTTCTAAAATTAATTTAGCATCCTGCCTACCCATAGTAGCTTCCGTGAATGTAAGGGCGTGCATGATAACTATATGAAAGCATGGTTACTGCATGTAATATTACTAATCTTTACTCAAAACAAACTTTCTTCAACCTAATTCATAGATTGTAAACCGTTGAAACGAATCAATGTTGGAAAATGCCAAATCGGTCCAGATTCCATTTGGACGCAGAAGATAGATGAATTAATCCTTACAGCAGTAAACTGTCAATGTGTTTGGAGAGTTAAACATTCCGAGAAGAAAATTTGTAGTAAGTTATACATACATTTTCCGAAGATAAGGAATGATATGATGAATGAAATTATTATTATTATATTTCCTTATAAAAGTTTCATCTAATCAAATGCTTCTAAGTGAATCCGACATTCTAGTTACACACTACTGTCTATACCTCAGCGCAGATTGATGCAAAGCGTTATACTACCTAATCATTGGATTTTATTTCATTTTATTTATGTACCAGTCAACACTCAAAAATATCAATATAATTTATTAACTACTAGTCCTAAATTCAGTTACATTGCTCAAACATAATCTGAATTTACAACTTTTAAGCGGTAAGTGGATGCACATAGTGTACCATGAAGCCAACATATTATAATCAACTGATGAATATTTGAACATGTTGTATAAAAACAAACAACAAAATATGTGGAGTAAGTCAATAAACCTCATAAAGAAAAACAGTAAACAACAATCCGTCATTAAGACTGAATAAACCAAAAAGGTTTGTCAGCAATATTGTAACCAAAGTAGCTATGCTTGAAAGTCATTCACATTTTTGTCACGGGAAGAGAAATATTGATTACTTGTACTCACTAATTCTGTTGATTTTTTGATAATGAAGAATTTTTTTCTTTTGATAAATGGATTTGAATAATTTCCATTTTTTATCTGCGAAAAATAGCTATCTCGTAGTAGATTTGCAGACAAGAGTACAGCAGTCTTTCCCCTTTTGAACTTAAGATATCATTATTGGAAAAGATTTCAAAGTCACTTTAGGAGTAATTAAAATACCCATCTATCATCATATTAGAACGTTTGGTTAACAATATGCCGAATCATTTTATGATATACGTTAAGATAATATATATTGTAGATTAAATTTCGAAAGCATTCCAACTTCCTGTATTGTATTATTATTATTATTATTGTCCCCTTAGATTCCTATTGCAACATAGGGCTTCAACTACACGTCTCCATTGCTTCTGTCTTCTGCTATACTCTTCACCTGCATCCATGTTAATTCATACTGTTTCAACTCTTCTTCTCACGATCTCCTCCATGTCACCCCTGGACGTCCCACTCGCCACTTCCTTTTCGGATTCCACTCGAGCTATGGCCTGACGCGCGATGTCACCCAGCGGCCTCCTCAGCGAGTGTCCAATCCATCTCCACTTTCTCCTGCATATTTGTTGAGTGATTGGTTCTTGTTTTGTTTGTCCCGATAGTTTATTGTTGATGATTCTTTCCGGCCATCTGATCTTCAGTATAGAGCGAAGACAGTTTTTGATAAAGGTCTGCAACCTGTTGGAAATATTCTTTATGACCGAATTCCTGTATAGGCTTGCAGAAAAATCAGTTTCACTTTAGAATCATTAGTAGCCTGCATATTGTTATGTAAAACAAGGTAATTTAGGGAAGCATACACTTCAGCATCAGATCAGCCACTTGGAAAATAAACATAAAGGAGCACTTAGAAAAACTATTTTGAAAGAATACATACAACATTTCCTTTACATATTTTATAGTGGTCTTTATATTATGTGGACCTTTAATCATAAAAATTCCTAAAATATACAAATGTTTTCAGAATGTCCAAATCCTGTGAAAAAACAACGTTGTATTAACAATGGACAGCAGCTGATGCATATTATTACAACATTTAATCTGGAGGGAGATAAATGCAAAGCATCTCAGCAAGAAATAGAAGTGGATCCATGTGCTCACATTAGAAAAGATTTCAGTAGAAGACCTCTATTTCATATTGGAAAATGTGATCCAACTACTTGTAAAGCAAAACGTTCTGACTACCGTTTCAGTGTTAAAAACTGTCAGTGTCAAATCTTACAGTAAGTAAAATCGCTCAGCCATTTTTATTCCAAGAATAATTTTGTTTATTTCCTTTTATTTACCTGTGATAGAAATACGTTTTCATTAACTCTTGGCCGCTCGTCAAAGCCTGTTAGCAAGTAAAAGCTACCAATCGAGATTAATGCAACTCAGTCTTAAAGACAGATGTGCACAAATACGACTAAATCATTAAAATTTTACTAAATCTTACGGATAAATCGTTTACCTAGAACAAACTACATCGTGTTCACATCATTCTTATAGTTATGAATGAAGTTTAGTGATGGGTTTTCTGTAGCACTATTTTTTGCTTACATAACTTTCGCAGGGTAGACTATAAGGATTAAATGTGAGTGATTAAAATCCCTTGAGTGTTTATTTAATTGTCTGGTCACTCACCCAATCTACCTTCAAGGGTTAATTACAGACAAGAATATGTAATCGTCTTACTCTAAGTTTGTGTTACTTGGTGGTTATTTTGATGAAACAAAAGCTGTGGAGTTTCATGCCATTGACGTGTTCGAGATCAAATTACATATTTTTCAAGTGCTAATTCTATGGAAATGGAAGTGCACTTAAAATGGTACCTAAAACCCCGCTTAGATTGCAAGTTTATTGGCACGTTACATTTTTCAAGCAACTTAATAATATATTAGAATAGTAATGAACAGTATACGTCATACGTTTAAATATACTAAGCATCTCTTACTGCAGTGTCAGCTGAAACACGAGATAGAAGGTCATTCATATACTAAGCAGAGAATTCTGCTGAGGTTGAAATAACCACTTTTCAGGATTAACACCCAATGATAATTAAACACACCATACCTATTCTGATTTTCAGAATAGATAACAGTTCAAGTTTGTCATCCAACTGCACATCAGTTTATCATGACTGTCAACATTATTTTCAAATGTAGTTAATTCAGTCTTTTAGTACCACGTAGATTTCTTTGACAGCAGAAGACAGAAGCACGTGGAGACGTGCAGTTGAAGCCCTATGTTCCACTAGGAACCCAAGGGAACAATAATAATAATAGATTTCTTTGATTCATTCACCAAAATTAAGCTGATTATTTTTTCAACCAATTAGGAGTTATGGATTTCGTACAGTTTATGCCTGTTATGTGGCTTCTTCTAATTAAATATTGTCAATCAATTACCCATACATATGCGATAGTAAATAATACAATAGTAAAAAGCAGTGGTAAAGTAACTGAAGAGTCTTTTTTAAAATTTGCACTTCTTTATATTTTGTTTCATATGTTTACAGAAAGGTGACTGACGAAATATGCTGTTGCCCAAAACCACTAAAAAAACAACCTGTTTGTAATCACCAGAAGAACATAATTGTACAGAAACAAACCCATTTTTCACTTATTACTCCAACCAACAATACACAATCATTTAAATCATACTGTCAACCGAAATCTTCACAGATTTCTATCCAAGTGAAGTGTGGTCAAAAGTTTCAGAGAATTCGGGTTAAACCGTGTGACGGTGAATTCCATCATATAACTGTATTGAAGCCAATAGTTGAAAACTGTACTTGTAGACAGAAAATTCTACAAAATCTGAAAATAAGATGTGGTGAGTTGTGCGTTTTTTCCTTATTCAGTCCATTTACTTCATAGCAGAATAATTATTCTTAGCGTAGCTCACAGGCATGAAATAACCCCTTTAGGAAACTGCACCCTACTACAGTACCTGAATTCTGTTTTTGTATTAGCCTTTTCTTTAAAGTACCAAGAAGTATTCAGAGCAGGGAGCACTTGAAACTGCTTGACTGTTATTGACCAAACGGTAGTCTTTTTCTTCAACAAAAGTTGGCAGTGATTGTGACACAGCTGAGTGGACAATAAAGTAGATTAATTGCGATGCTTATTTGCTTTCTGAGTAAATCATTGAGACAGTTATCCAAAGGCCACTGATTTAGGTCTCATTACTATCTTAGTCCCTTAATTAATTTTACCTCATTTATTCAAATATCATCATAACTTAGTTTGCACTTAAAATGATAAGCTATTCTTTAAAACGAAAAAAATGAATTTATGAGTGGACAGTTTCTCAGACAATCCCTTTAAAACCCTTATTCTCACATATTGTCATTTATTCTCCATCAAGAACTACTGGTGGATTACATACACCATCAACATCTATCATTTTGTACATTAAATTTTACTGATATATATATATATACATATATATATATACTGAAGCTGAAACCGTATCTGGTCTGAGGACTGCCCTAAATGTATGTCAAATTCTTCCATACTGAGTCAGCTAGGAGAGCTGGTTACTATCTTGAACTTAAGTGTGACTGTGACATCTTTACTCAGTTGCAGTATATGTAAGAGGTAAATAAATTTTCATTCTTCATTGAACTAATTAATAAGACACAGGCGATAACACTAACTATTGTAACAATAGAAGGCAAGACACAGAAGCCAAGGTATGTTTTCCATTGAGCAAACCACTGTTTATATATGTACAATTTATATTCGTTAACTAATCACTGAGCGTGTGATTTCGGTTTTCATCAAACGACATGAAATATAATGTTCAAAAATACATAGTATTCTATTGCCAATGCCATATTGAACTGTCGGAAAGTATTCTGTCTCTAACATTAAATAAAGTGTTCAAATAGATATGTTGTGTACAGTGGGAATAACATTCCGACTCTAACATCAAATAGAATGTTCAAGTAGATATATCATATTCTGTTGCTAATGCCGTATTGAACTGTGGGAATATGTGAGACTAGTACTCCGTTGTCACACATTGTATGTATCACACCACCACACAAGGACTACCATTTCAAGTCGATTTAATAACAAAATATAGTTATTATTTGAGAACATTATATGCATCCTTATCAATGTATCAAAATAAATGGTAAGACTATAAATAAAGATGATTAAGTAAAGGTCATTTCTGCTATGAGCCACAAGATGAAGATAGTTGGGATGTATATTTTTTTTCGAAATAGAAGTTAGCGATGAGGATAAAAACTATTATAAAGTATTCTCCCATTTAGAGTATAGCAGATATTCCAGTTGTGTAAAAAGTTGATGTGAAACCTTTGAAATAGCCAGAGGTAACATATGAAAAGATTACAGAATTCCTTTAGGCACGTAATTCAAAATCAGCTACCGCCTCGGTTCTATCTGCAAAAGTATAATGAGACGCTAGTGCATCAAGTTCCAGTTGCAATAAATTATATCCTCACTCATAAGTTAGACTTTCTAGCACTTCAACTGTGTGCAACAGATTTAGTTGTGTATCCATTTGCCTAATTATAAACAGAAATATGTTATTTATTATCGTATAATCATAGAAACTATAGCTGATCATGATAGATTCCATTATTTATTAAAACAATTCAGAGCATAAACACAAGGTGGTATGGAGAGCGACAGAGTAAAAGTAGGAAATTACGAAAAGTCGACAAGCAACTTTCGAAACTCCCCTTATAAATGTGAAAAAAATATGTTCACTTTCGAAGTGATGGTATCTTCTTATTTATATATTTCACCAAACATATACAATGAGATCAACCCTGATTGTGGTAAAGTCGCCATACGTTTGCATAGTTTAGTGTACTTTGATCAGTCTAGTATCCCTGTAAAGACAAAAAACTTGTAATTTTCAAAATAACCGATTTTTATATAAATTAAAGGTTGTCCAACCGCTGTACGTCATATTCCTGGAGCATGCATCAACCAGTGGGCCCTACATAAATGGGTTGGATTAAAAAGTGTTGCTACTGGAGGTGAAAATCCCTATCAAGTGACGGAGAAATCTTGTAAGCCTGAAATACTTGAACAAAGACGCATTCGATGTGCATGTCCACCTGTACAAGTGTTTAAAAAGTGCTTTAAACACAACTTGTTATCCATTCAACGTGTTAACTATAAATTGAACCAAAGACTGAATAACTGTGAAATGTACAAAACAAAAGAATTCAAGAGACTGAGTAAGTTCATTCTCATAATACCAAATTTTGATTAAAAAAAAGACATTATCCTCTATTTTGAACTGCTTGTCCCTAATCTACCTTGACCATACAACGTTTACATTCAGTAAAATATTAGCGTTCAAAGTAAGCAATATAATCTTACCATGTTCATTTGCTGATGCTTATAGTTATAAGCATGGATGTATTCATGAATGTCCAGTGTCATACTTCTCCAGTATGACAGTGACTGGAACCACATGAGATTTTTGAGTTAATTAATCCAAGCTTAGAAACAGCTCTTAGTGATCTAACTGCATTGAAAGTTAAACCTCAATTCAATCAGGTTTTCCTACTAGGAACAAAATTATTTACTCCGCTAGTTTCTTATTTCCTTTCAACGAAGGCTTCAAAATAAATGTATCCATTAATTAGGAATCTATTGTCTAATGATTTCCAATTTTTTTCAACTATTCACCAACATAGCTAAGAATGCCAAAAAAAATCTTTAAGACATACAGTAAACTAAACGTATTTTAAAATCTGCACTTAGTCTCAGTAAGTGAATGCTACCATCAAATCTAAACTCTTATTCCGGCCTGCTTAAACCATTGGACTATTTAAATCTCCATGCAACACACTGCACCTACTTTCCACCGTTTCTTGTTGTTTCAATCATCCAATTATTTTCTTGGATCGCGACATGAACTCAGACAAATTTATAATTGGCTTCCAACGTATCGCTGAACACTTCAAAAAGAGAATGAGGGGAAAATGTCGTATAGGATTGAATATGGTTACTTCATACGACATACTGTCAATGAATGTTTCCTTAAAGATTCAATTTTTATTTTTGTATACCTTTGCATTCTGGGCGGAAAATAGATCTTCAGAACTTTGAATTTTCGGGAGCAGAGGTTTTATTTGTAAGGGGTGGAGTTGACAGCTTCATTTCCGACCTCCTCTCTTTACCAGGCTTCCTACTGGCTAAGCCAGGTAAAGGAGTACGTAAGCCGGTGTCCAAACCCAGATGAGGATTCTATACGTGGTGTAAATATTTTGCAAGAAATTACTGAGAGAATCGTGTACTGTGTTTACACATATTTTCGAGAATAAAACTGACATTATGATAAAACAATAATAATTTGCTTTATTCCAAAGCATTCTAAAAAGTTAAATTTCATAGGAAAAATCTCATATGAACATTTTAACAGAAATGCAAATCAAACTGAATTCATGCTGTGACATGTAATCCTTTTTATCATGGGTAGGGAAAATGGCTGGTAATCTGAACTAAACGTAATCATGTGTGACAGCACTTTATGCCTACTCATTCTATGGAAATAACATCTCTGTGATTATGATTTTCTTTTCTCTTATTTACAGTTTGTCCCAAAACTCAAATAACACAAACTCCATGCGGTAGTAAACTAGAAAACTATGAACAACATGAAGTAGTCAAATTATGGTATGCTGATCAATGCAGATGCTTATTAAAGGTGATCAAGAAGAAATGGGTGTGCAATTGTCATGCACGTTATCCGAAACACGTCGTAAAGAAATGTCTGCCAAATGGATATCAACTACTTTCTCTGAAAACAACATGGCATAATCAAGGAAGAAGATGCGTGAATAAAACAGAGAGACAAGTGGAACAAATCAGTATGTCGATTCAGTGAATCTGATTTAGGCTTTTTAAATAGTATCTTTAGGAAAATTCACTTAGGAAAGATGCATTTCAACAAGAGGTGAAATGCTGGGAATTAAAGCTGACTGTAATAATAAGTGTTGTGTCATTTTATTCCGTAATATTATACGGTTTTTAACGTAGCTTGATGTATTACTAAAGCAAAGATTTCCTGATTTTATGCTAATCGGGATTTCGCTAAGTTTTTGTGCTCCAGTAGTTTGATTAACCGAGGTTACTAATTTGGCCTATACACACTATTGGCTAATCTAGGAATTATGTTGCTGTTTTGACTGATTCCGAGGGAGTTTATTCCAATATATCGCTAAAATGCGATTAATTTTTTAGTATTTAATTTAAGAATGAAAATAAACAGCTTGAAGTAGAGGATGTAGTTAGGTAAGTTTTTACATACTGTGTGGTGACTGCTGTTGCTGGTAGAACTTTCTTCTTTGATCCTATGATTAATGGATTGAGATAATTACCAAACTGGCTGCTGCTGAGCCAGTCTGACTCAAAAAGAAGATAATTTCATGGCGCTGGTCCATAATTAATGGTTATGTTGTAAAAAAAGGTGCATGATGGACGTAGAAAACACGAAATGTGTAAGCAGCCTAATCAAACCATCGAAGAATGGGAACGTAAATATAGATCATTTCCTCGACAGCAGTCGTTGTCATTTTTCAATCTGTCCAGTCACACAATGATATGAATGATTAGCTTTATGTCAACTTATCAGCCAGCGCCTCCTGCATCGACTCTCACATTGTGGTAACTACGTTATCGGTACGCAACGCAGCTGTCAGATAGGCATTCTGAACATTCCAGTTTTAGATATAAATATCTGAAAGTCATCAAAAGGTGTCCGTGTGTAGGTTTATTCAACTCTCACCATATCGCAAATTAAGAAGACATGAGGAGTTGAATCCCGGATATGCGTTTTGCCCTATTTAGGATTTGTTAGATGAATGCACCTGCACCTGAAGTGAATGATGGTGTTCATGTTGAGACGCAAACCTAAAACATACCGTTGTAAACGTTAAAAGCCTATCCAAAAGGCGACTGGCCAACAAAATTTCCTCTTGTGTAGTGGTATTAATTGTTATTTTTAATCTACGACTAATTGATTTTACTGGACCAAAATGTTTAGTCTTTGTTGAAATATCAAGACAATAATTTCTATGAACAATAACCAACACTGTTGCAAAAGATATGGTAATAATGGTTGAGTAACGTGGTAGATAATGAAAATAAGACTGTTTGTCCTATGTGCGAGACTCTGCGGAAACAGTGTCATTCGATGGAGCCGGTGAATGCCGAATATGAAGAAACTCGTATACAGAATTCCGCTGCTAACCACTATTAACTGTATAATATTATGTTAACCTAATGGTATCGGTGGAGCCAACATATCGACAGATACTGTATATTTTGGTTCGATAAAAATCCGTCAACTGGATATCCGAAATGAACGTTTCAATAGACTAAATAAATATTTCTTATTTTAATTTATTGTGGCAGTTTTATAGATGTCGATGGTAGTTACTGCTTAAACAATTCTCAACTTTAAAGAAAATTTAATTATTCCTGTTTTCCGAATGTTTCATACTACATTATATTGTTATAATGCTTTCTGTGAATTAAATTAAGATTTGTGAATAGTTCTCTGGCATTTGGACTAAATATTTTCTTCGCTATTTATAATTGTTATACACAGAATGTCCAACGAATTTGAAAATTATTAGAGGTCAGTGTGACAAAGATAGAACTGGACGTCTACCATTGATCTATCTGCAACAACGTCCTAAAAACTGTCAGTGTATATGGCAACGGCTTACAGATATTGAGGTTAAAAAGCTGAAGTTGAAAACATCTGAAGCATGTCGATGTCACCGTAATTTCATGGTTAAACGATGCCAGCCAAGTGAATTCAATAATACAGCCCATTTAATTAGAATGTACTTTAAGTATGCTATTCAACAAGGTGAATGTCATATTTATCGTAAAGTTGAGAAGAAACCTATAGTTTGTCAACGCGGCAACCGAATAGAAAGGTAAGTATAATTACTGGTTCTCCTGAATACTGCGTAACACATTTTTTCCATATCTTCATTTTAAACTGTAATATGTCAGTAGTAAGCTGCTTTACAAAAAGCTATGAATTATTTAATATTTGATGATAAATAACGAAAGAAGCACGATTAACTGACAATTCAAGGAATTTTCTCGTATTATAAAGAATGAATTCCTTTAAGCTGTCATTCTTTACGAATGTGTCTTAGTTAAGAATGTGTTGGAATCAGTTTGTGCACCTTTATGGAGAGTTTAAATACCCTAGCCAAAAACTATTTGAAAGTAGCAGTTTCTAAAAGATCTTAAGGCAGCATTAGGATTCAGAACGCAGTAAGTATCAGAAATTATAGTAAAAGTGATGTTTGAGTACTTTTACGACTTCACCAGGGCTGATCTTTTTCTGCTTATCATTCCTCAGGCTGGTGTATCCTAGATGCGCTAATAACAATTCTTTCTATGAATAGAAAGCCATGAACTAGAGCAATGAAACATTTCAGGCACTCCTTAATAATATGGCAGATGCTGTATTGGACATATTCAAAAGTGGGGTTGCGGTTAACTTATTTGTTGAAGATGGCCTCCGCTGAATAGCTCTAAGTGTTATCTTATTCTACTGTTTTTGCAACAAATCTATTCTCCATTCAAATACTGACCTTCATCTACTTTCCAGAAAGTGTTACATTTAAATCATTTAAATTTCACAAATAATAAATAATGGTCAGATATTGTTCAAAGAAATAAAGGCTATTTAAAGGCCTAAGCGTCTCTATGCACAAACTAATCGGAAATAATCTTCATAATAAAGGGATATACTGTTCCATGCATTCTGTAGTCCGTTAATGTGAGACTGGTTACTACCACAAATTATCAGTTTACTCACAAACAATTTATCGTGGTGCTTTATTTAATTTTTCTTAGTAAAAATCATCCTTTTATTTCTATAGACATTACTGATCTGTATGTGTCAAAGGTGTACCGTAATAAGTTAAATACATGAGAATTATCACATAGGTGATATGCATTATTATTACTATTATTTACTGCCATTATGTAAAAATATTTTTCCTACCAACTCATTTCAGATCTCAGTGTGATCCAATCACAAATGAACGAATTGAAACTAGAATAGATACTTATCTGGATGGCTGTCAGTGTCATCAAAAATTATTTAAACGTCGTTGTCGTTGTAGTTGTCCAAAACCAAAGAATAATTCAGTTTGCCAAAGTCGAGATGGTTTATTGCGAAAAATTAAAGTAGTCCATGAATTTACAGAAGATCAGTGTACTTGTAAAGCCAAATATTATGTTCAGTCATCGCGTGTACGCTGTAATGAACCACCTAAGTTAATTAAGATTGGTCAATGTCATAAACTGCCACAAAATGAATCAGAATACGTGAATAAAAACGATCTCTACAGAAACATATTTTGGATGAAATTGCATAGAGTAGGATGTCAATGTCAGTACAAACGATTCATGGAACAGATACCCTGCTGTAAGTCAAAAACCAAAAGTGACTGAAGTTTTTTCTCTTTCAAAGGATTTCAATAGTTAATTTATATATTCGTGTGAAAGTTTGTGCACAAAAAATCTATTCTAAACAAATTGTTGTAAATTATAGACACATGTAATCTGAAAATACCGCTATGCGTGTTCTTACTTATTCACTCTTCTTATCATTGCATGAGATAATACTGATTGTGTAATGTCGGAAAATTTGCTATTATGAATAGTATGATAAAGAAGGCTTGATAGTACATAACATTTCATTTCTTCTTAAGTGATTATATACGGTAGCTTTTAAATGTTCAAACAGTTATAACAACTAGGCGTTACAAAATCCAATTGCACACGAAGTCCTTTGACCTTTTAATGCAGTACTTAACTTAAGTACTGACAGGATTCATCCTAATTTATGCTACTAACAAAAAAAGTATTGTTCGTGGATGTTAATGTGCCAGCATATAACACCAAAAATATTAGTTATTTACGAAACTTAGTACCTAACATCAGGTAAACTCAGTTACTTTATTATGTTCCACTATCCTACACTGCATGTGACCTTATGTTCTCATACTCTTATTGGCCTAGTACGACTTACTAATTATTACTTTAAAGGTATCAACTCAGGTGAAGTATTTCTTTTACAAACTACATCACAGAGCTAACTAAATTTGATTACTGTATTCAACCTTTAAAGCACTACATGTAATTTAATCACTCAATTAGCATACCGTTGTGAAAGGAAATAGACTGTCCATCATGACTTTTGAACAGGGTAAAACTTCACTACTGAAGCAATCCAAGATATAAATACAACTCACATAATTCTACTGCGGAAAACCTTCCTTGTTTATTCTCAGAATCACTCTGATAGCATATCAAACTTCTAAATAAGGCCTTAAACATTCTGGAAATTCTAGGCAATTTGATACAATATTTTATTAAAGTTTTGGTCTTTTTTCACAGATTGTTCACCTGATGTCAAAGAAGAAAAGTACTGCGTTGATGACAAGATATTGGAAATTAGAAAAACTGAAAGAAAAATAAGCGAAGACAAGAAACAGTGCGTACGAGTGATTATTTCGAAAGTTCGTAGACTTATATGTGAGTAAATTTCATGTAATACCTGTAAATATTGTTATAAAATATTAAACATGCTGAATGACATTCTAGATATGGGAAATAATTATTACCTTGCCGGGTAAGTGACAACAAAATGAGCAGTTGTCAGAATTGGCGTTCTTAGGATTGCCTGTGGGTGTGTAGTTATTTTTACTAGATTAAATATTGTATGGTTAAATATTCACTTACTTATATAATAAAATTAATCACAAATATTAAGGTGTCTGATACACAGCTGACAACAGACATCTGAGTTAGTAACTGAATAAATTCTCTGTCAAAAACAGACATAGCTGATGCTCACCAAACTTACCTAGTCAAATAAGTTGTTGCTGCATCTCTCTAAAAAGAATCATAAGAAACACCTAAACACTTGGAAAACCCTATAACGACATCCATTAGCAGTCGGGACTTGGAGTAAATATGTATATTTTATCTGTCTCATGAACTTATTATCTTATGTCTATACATATATATACTCTGGTAAATGTGTCAGTGTGACAACACAAACTGATAAAACTGTTCTTCTAACTCAAAAACAGTAGCATAAAAGATAATAATATAAAAGCAAAATATAATAAAACAACTCTTATTTTTACCAATCTTTGCAGATCTTGGAAAACCTGAATATGATAAAAGATGTAATCCTAAGACTGGTATTGAAACAGTTAGGCAGAAGTTACCATTTGTTGAAAACTGCATACTACGTTATCGTGTAAATGTGCAATACCGTAAATGCAGTAAGTAAAACTGGAATTTTTACCTAGTGTTATTTTCACTTGCAACAAAATCACTTAAGTATTGGCGAAACTCAGCTTTCCGAAGTAACTGGTTTAATTAGTATCGACCATTTCTGTGTGAATATTTGTTTATTCTGATTTGACACTAGTAACTAGTGTGATGCGTCTAGTCCTCTCTTTGGTGCAGACTGAATTCTATCAGTCAGGTTGTAATGTGACCACCATTCTAGGTAGCTCGCCATCACAGTGTACATTGTTTGTGATGATATGAGATGGTTGGAGGCAGTCAGCAAGCTACCTAGAATGGTGGTCACATTACAACCTGACTGATAGAATTCAGTCTGCACCAAAGAGAGGACTAGACGCATCACACTAGTTACTAGTGTCAAATCAAAATATCCACTAGAGTCCTACAGGAGGTCAATCGCGAGCCCGAATAGCTCAGTGGTAACGTCTCTGACTGCAGAACTCACTGGGTGACGCGGGTTCGAATCTCAGAAGGGACATGAGTTCCTTAAAGGTCGCAGATACGCCTTGCTGACGAGTGCCAACCAGCACGAAACCTAGGTCCAAGGCTTCCTGCCGACTACCTCCAACCATCTCATATCATCACAAACAATGAATATTTGTTTATTTAATCATGCTGTTCTTCATTATTCCTGTTATCACAGGTCGTTCCACTTTTTCATCCATGTTGTCGACAGAATCATCATTATTATCGTCATTATTATTGTTCATCAAAAATTCGCATTCGAACATTAATAGACAGAAGACAAGTAGTTCAGAGAAGAGTCTCTTTTCGGCGAATTCATTTTCATAGCTGTACAATCGCAAATATATATGGTTGTTTTGTATGTGTGTGTAAATTAAATTTGTCAAACGAAAATACAATTAGTAAGTTCAGATGAATTGGATGTTGATATAAGAGGATGGTAACAAAAGTGATGAGTTGTCACAAACGACTGTTAAAGAAGAGTTACGTAATAAAATGAAATTACAATTTCGATAAAGAAAGGAAGACGAAATTGCAGTATAAAATGATATCATTCTATTTCACAGGTTCTCATCAGCTGCAGACAACCTGAAATTACAATGGTTATATAAATGATAATAACATACTTTAATGTTTGAGTTGTAAAGTAACCTACAAAGTGAAGAACAACCTTCCAAAGACAGTACGATTTCGTCTTCTTTGCATCGCAGAAGCCCTAGCCATTAGGCTAGAGGAACCAGAACTGTGCATACAAAAGAAAATTATTCAACCACTTCTACTCCCATGGTAACAACTATGTTGATTTGACTTAACTTTTCTTTGTTTGTTCGTTTGGTTTGACTTGACTTTTGTTTGTATGCTTATTTTTCTACTCAAAACCTTTGTGTAATTCCGTATATTTTGTTTCCATGTACACCCTGAGTACAACTCTTTCGTTGAACTATTCATGTTATTACGTAACTCTTCTTTAACAATCGTTTGTGACAACTCATCACTTTTGTTACTACTCTCTTATATCAACACTTAATTCACCTGAACTTAATAATTGTAATTTCGTTTTATTACGTAACTCTTCTTTAACAGTCGTTTGTGAAAACTCATCACTTTTGTTACTACCCTTTTATATCAACACTTAATTCACCTGAACTTAATAATTGTAATTTCGTTTTATTACGTAACTCTTCTTTAACAGTCGTTTGTGAAAACTCATCACTTTTGTTACCACCCTCTTATTTCAACATGCAATTCATCTGAACTTACTAATTGTATTTTCGTTTGACAAATTTAATGTACACACACATACAAAACAGCCATATGTATTTGCGATTGTACAGCTATGAAAATGAATTCGCCGAAAAGAGACTTCGCTGAACTACTTGTTTTCTGTCTATTATTATTATTGTTGTTATGAGTAACGGCACAATTTTTATGCACAGTCTTAAATGAATAGTGTTGCATGACTTTAATTAGAGAGAAAAGCCTACAATGGCAGTGAAAATTTAGCTACCTCAATTTTCAAGCAAGACAGTATAAAACATGGAATTTCCAGTAATTAATAGCAATAACCGAAATAAACATCTGCATGAGAAACCTCAACATTTTAGAGTGAAAATTTACAAGGTTTGCTGTCTAGGTGGTTATGTAGCTATACTGTACTCATTACCTTTGACTGTATTGCTTCCCTGAGAAAAATCCTCTGATTTTCCAGATAGATCTCGCAGAAATGTTGAAGTTGAACGAACAGCCGAAAAGCAAGTCTTTAAATGGCACAATGAAGGAATAACAATATATTCTTGCTGCGGGTAAAACACCGAAAGGTTAAAATTAATTCATTTATTAAATCCACCAAAATGAAAGAATTAGTCGAACATAAAATACCAAAGATTCAGAATAGAAAAATGTGACTTAGAAACGGGGATGTGATTGTCTGGCTTAAGCACTTCGTTTTTAACCAGTAATTAACTAGTTCAAGTCCTATTCCGCCTGCTTAAGCCTGAGTAAATGGGCAGTATCACTAGCCCTCATATGGTATGTATGGTTCTAAATCTGATGTATGAAAGATCAGTGCAGGGTAATTAAGTTGAAAAAAGGTTTTATTTTAAATACAACATGTTGGGGTAAAGGGATTAAATTGGCGAATATATAGGCACACCAAATCGAACATGAGATATAAGTGCCTAAAGCATAACAGCTCTGTGAGGTTTTTTTATATTTACTAATTAAAACACTTTTATATCTCAAATGAACACGTTCAAAAAACCGTCTCAGGTAGTTTTCTAAAGACAAAAGCTAGAAGTTAAATTCTATGACAAATGATTTTCTGAACCGTGTGAGATACCAAATTTTTCACACTAAAATCATGTGCAAAGTGGTTTTCAAGCGTCAGCTGACTGGATAGAAGTTTCAGACAGCTGAAAATTAATCAGGACTCTTGAGTGTCAAATATTATTACATTTCACAGTTTCATTTTAATTCCATAGGTCTGATTACATTGAATGACGAATATAATAAAAGCGAAATAAGTATTTGAGTCACCCAACCTAGGTGGTTGAAGTCAATCTCATGAAGCAGTTTTAATCACTGAAATGTACGCTAATTTTGGGCAGATTTTAGTTTTTTCCTACAATTCACATTTATGTATTAAACTTTCAAACGCTTTATAACACTAATCTGTTGTATACACTTCATCCTAAATTGAAGAATGTAAAACACAACCACGCTTAATTCGTCAGTCCGAGTGTTCGTCCAACTGCAAAGTACGTTTAACATGGATAATGGAAAGAATGACTTTGGATGGCAAATGTAAATATTATTATCGTGTTAAAGAGAATGACTGCTGTTGTCCTTCAGAGAAGAAAATTGGCTCGTTTTGCAATCGTACAAATGGTATGCTTGATATCGGGTACAGAAGCTTCAATCTAGTTAACGGGAGATGTGTACCTAAGGATAGATTCGTTGGAAAACAAATAAGTCAGTTTGCTTTCAGTTAATGTCAATGCAAAATACTTGTTTCTTATTTATCTATGAATTTTAAAGTTTACTTCTTTTTAAAGGAATTTTACAGAATGATCCAACCCACAAAAAATGTGGAATACCACTTACATAATTTCAGATTCTAACATTTTGTATCCTAATATTTGGGAAACGTCATCGTGAATGTAAATAACTTATTTACGTATTCTGTGCCTACAAATATGCAACCTATGTTTCAAGTTAACATCTTAATCAGTTTGTATTACACGTTGTTTTGTTCATTATACGGTGATTTAGCCAAAGTCAGGCTAACTTGTAAAGGCACGAAATACAAGATAATTGTACCTTAAGCTAGGATAAACTACATTATGATTCAAGAAGACAGATTATTTAGCAGTAACCTGAATTCTTAATAAGTATTTTGAACCTCTCCTGTGTCAGCTAAGCCTGCGATTTCCGTTCCAAGGTGTTTTCGGTCATCAATCTACTAACAGGTGAAACAGGAAGTGTTTAAGAAAATAAACAATCTACCGCTGTCCAGTAACTTCACTCCTATTTTTGCACCATCCTAGTCCAAAGTATTTTTCAAGTAATAATTATCACTTTGGGGGTAGGAAACACTTTATATATTTAAAACAATGCTACGAAAAGTATTTGAAACCTCACCATGTCACTTAAAAAGAATGATTCTTACCGAATTAACTTCTACTAATGATGCTTTTTCAAAAAATGTCCATGAATTTGCCATACGAAAATATTTTTCTCGAAGATACACTCAAAATAGTAGTGAAGAGTGTTGACTACATGAAATAAACACAGATTACAATTTACTGAATGCCCGAAGAAAGCTTTCATTAAAGTGAGATGTCAGTAAAAGTTATGTTCTAATGTAGATACACAGTTGCAATCGTACAACAATTTCAGTCTAATATATACAGTAAATTCAGTGAGTCAGTTATTGCGGCGTGATAAGAAAATAAATCAAAGAATCATATTTGACCATCATCTTTTCAATTAGCATATCGAATGTTCTCAATATAATTCTCTAATCACTATCCTCGGACACTTCAAGATGTAACTCATCAGAGGGTGTTACTCTTTTCCACGTATTTTACCTATGGTCTGCTCATATTTGGAAAGAAATAAAATTCCTTTATCTAAATCTTTATCAAATATCTATTTATAAAAGTTTACTTACTGACACAGAATCTAACTCTGTACTCTACTTGAGCAGTAGACTTGAATTCGACTCAGTACTTGTCATTCAGGTATTGTTAGAAACATAAGCATTTATTAACTTCATATTTTCGAAAAGCAGTAGTATAGACAAACATTTCAATGAGTAATCCGGATAAAGAATATTATTTGTGATCATCTTCAGATGGCTATGGGTTAATAACTACCAAAATGAACTTAAATGCGTCTTGAGTATTTGATTTTCTCTAAACTAACCGAGAAATGATCCAATACGGATATTAAAGAATCGCCCAAATTTTGCTACTTTGGCTGCTTTCTTTTTGTAACGAAAGCTTCTCAAAGACTTTTGAAACTTTAGTTATCTGCATAATTAGTTAACAGCTGGTTGTTGTTAAGACCTGGTGTTTCTGTGATCCTTGTCAATCAGAAATAAGAAAGGAGAGAATTCTGTGTAAGTGTAATTATTAAGACAATTAAAAGAATTATACAATGAAAAGTAAGCTGATCTGGGAAATTTTTTAGATTGAACAAGTGATTAGAATAATGGCGAGTGAAATAGGTCTATAATCACTGCTTATCCTTCCTTAAATCCCTGCTTAAATAAGTTTTTAACTCACGAAATTGCGACAAAAATGTAAAGTTAGTAACGTAAAGTCTTTCTAAACCGATCAGTCTTCTGAATCTTTAAACTCCTTGTTTATGCTCACTGAATATATATATTTACTAATAAATACCATTTCTTCTATTCAGTTTGTAAGAGAAATGAGAAAATTGTACGACACCAACAACCAAATGGATGGGTAAGAATCGAAAAACAATTTTATATCCGTGATGGCTGCACCTGTGTTCAGAAATTCGCAGTAGATTACGACAAATGGAGTAAGTATTAGTAAAATTTCTATTACCTTTACAGCGCCCACGTGGCAAATAACTGTCTGTTTGATGATATATCTGTATTATTAGAAGTATCTCTTTATTTTAAGGTTTATCTGTTGCACATATTGTCAATGCACATCTAAATATGTTGCATTCTGAGGGTAGCAGTCTTCTCAGCGAAACACAACAAGTTACTTATTTAATCTCTAGAGTTGCTAGCCTTTTTTAAAAGATGGGAACCTTGCCATTATTATATGATTAAATTTCATTGAACTTAGGGTATGTATATGTTTGCGTAATTTTTAATTACCAATCTGGTGGCCATAAGCGTGCTAAGAATAATTAATCAATTTGAACATGTCAAACAGGTGATAATTAACCAAGAAAAACTGAGTAAACCGACCATTTTCTTCTAGGTGTTGGTTTGCAGGAATTTGGTCGGTTTCACTTTAGATCATGAAGTGACATCACAACTCTTTGGGTTTCAATGGTCCTCTAAATCACGACAGTTCGTGATCTAACATGAGACCATTGTCTAAATTACATAATCTAAATGATGAACTGTTTGGCAGATAGCTTTTTTTTGATTATAGCTTGATTCCACACTGTATTTTTGGCACAAGTATGGAATTTTCAGCATGTGATATCGGTAGCCCAAATTTTGCAAGCCGACCGTGGATATCGGGTATGCGTTGGCAGGGTATCGAACCCTGGACCATGTTATTGGCCGCTGAGAGTTCTAACCACTGTGCTTCCGACGCACATACAAATGTTTATGCAGATGCTGGTATACACTTAATTTAGAGCAGAAGCTTTGTACTTCAGCTGTTCACAAAGGCAGACTATTTCCAGATCTTCACACTGAGTAATTTCAATAAACTTATTGATTAGTTTTTCACTATGATGTTATGCTTATGTTTCGACTACTGAATATTGGTTTCGTTTCCCTGAATGACGCAGGAAATACCACCTCGCCTCACACTAACCAACGTACTCCTGAGACTGCTTTGCTTTCAACAGTAATAAAGTTATATATTTAATGAATGAATGTGGAAGACAAATAGAAAATTTCAAATCAAGCTAAAACATGTAGAAAATGACAAACATCACTGATGCTACTTATTGCTTTTAATAAGCACTTTAGACGTTTCACCCTAACTAAAACTCTTCATCTTTACCCATTGTGATAGTACCAATAAGGATACAAAAACAAGTTGTCCCAAATTTTGTGCATTAGACTCCTGAACTAGTTGTGCGATGAATGTCACTTCTTCTTATATTGATCTGCTCTCACTTTTGTCAAACTTATGCAGGGTATAATCCTTCCTTAATTTCTGTCTTAATTTATCGCTGAATCTCATGTTTATGACAATTATTTCGTTGAGACCTGCCGTAATACTTCAGGCACATGTTTCATGGTTTTTAATGTACAAGATAAAATTCATTCAGCCTACTTATTAAGACGAGATATCTTTTCTTACTCTAAGTGGTCGTAATATTAAAAACACCCTTTGATTTTTCACTAAAGTGATTATCTCAGCTTCAAGAATTGTATTACATTGGAGAGTTTTACAAGACAGTGAATTCCTTTCACCTGAATAGCCATTAAACCAGGAAAGAATTCTCTAAGGTTAAGTGTGCATAGACCGAAATTCGACTTCTGATACATAACACTCATGAGTGTCAATTAATAGAAGCCTGAATTATACAATCTTCATTTATAGTCCGATACAGTCTATTGTAATACAGAGTTACTTTACCACACAGATATACCAAATATCTTAATCTACAGAATTCAGTACAAAATAAAAGACACTGATCATTCTTCATCACTTCTGTGACCTTGTTTTAAAATCTTATTGCTTTAATACTACCTAGTTGAAAAGACAGGTAAAATTTAAGATTTTTTTTCTGACGATACAGACTGTCCTGCACCAGTAACAAAACGTCGATGTATCCAAACAAATAGTGAACAATTTGTCCTGGAAACTGTTTCCACCAAATGGAAGTTGTCTGACAGTAAACCAATTTGTTCACGTTTAGATACAATTATTAATAGAGTTCCAGTTGATTGCTCAGAGGAATATGTAAATAAATCGGATAAATGTGTACTAAATTTGGGTCGTCACGCTTTTGTGCGCGTTGATCAGGTGACTACATTTCATGCGGACGGTTGTCGATGTATTGAAAATAATGTTCGCCAAGAGTTCACTGTCTGTAAATGTATACGTCCACATAAAGAAAAATCTTGTCTTTAGTAAGTTATATTGATATTCCGCATGCTACTTAAAAATATAAATCATGTTTTAAGTTTTATAATATTTCCAGATTTTATTTTATTTTAATTACTATATATATATATATATATATAAACTAATGAAGCAGTTTTAATTTTTGGATTACTTGTCAAGCACAAATAATATTCTTGATTGTGGTAGGCTGGATCATACGGCAAACCGTTTACAGCAAGCAGACTACCATATGTTGGACTGACAAGAAGGCTCTAGAAGTTGTGAACTCATTTTCATGTCACGTAAACTTGAAGACCTACAGGCGGAAACTAGTAGGCTGGTAGGAGAAGCAGCAAAGACAAGACTTGGAGTGAACATAGAGAAGATGGAGGTGATGAAGATGACCAACCATCGAACATTAATCGCTATCAGCAGGGTAAATTTGTAAGAGGTCATTTCCTTCACTTATCTAGGCAGCATCATTCCAACTACTGGCAGTCGATACGGATGAGGATATCAAAATCAGAATCAAAAAAACAAAACAGAACCTCATCATTCTGAAATCAGTTTGGAAATCTTCTGCACTCAGTATCAAGAACAAAATTGGGATTTTCAACACCAATGTTAAGTCTGTCGGTTCTTTTGTATAGGTCAGAAACTTGATATGCGCGTCACGTAAAGCCTTTTCAACAGCCTACTGTAGAGTTTCACCAACAACTGCCTTCGCTCCATACTGAAGATTAGAATGACCAACCACAAAGAATTAGCAAAAAGGAACTCTGGGAAACGGTGAGTTGGGCGATCAAAAGTGATATGGAGGAGATGGAAGCTTACTGACAAACGTGTAGTCAGCTAAAGACAATTGCAGATAACAGGATGCAATGGAGATGTGCCACTGAAGACCTATGTTGCACTCAAAACCCAAGGGACTAATGATAGTAACATCAAGTGTAAAATCATAGCTTTGAAATCTCGTTCTTATAGTCTTAATTCTTCACCTCATTTCTTCGTACGGTAGGTTGAATTCTCCACTGGGAGACTTTGAAACATTATTCCTACATTTTTAGAGTTAGTACCTAAAATCTGCTAACTTGACATTCGATTGAACTTTATGTGAATATTTAAGAGATGCAGATATGCTCCACAATTTAAAGTTTTTCTTATAGTTGAGTTTATCTGTTACTACCCGAACACAAAATCAGACATTCAGGTAACTGATGTTAACTACAAGGAGTTCTTTATGCTTTTTATTATTATTGACTTCAAAAGAAATAAGGATGAATTCCTAAAGGCAGTACTGTTGTCGTCTTGCTATAATGTTGTAGATCTGGAGATACAACTGAATTATCGCTTCAGGCGTCATAAATTTTCATGATTTTCTATACTGTTTAGAAAAAAAAATACATGTCATTTGCGCTTAGATGTATAGATAAATTTACTACTCAGAGTTTAAAAAGATGATTCTGATGCTATGAGCTTTTTGTCTCCATCAGATCTGAACCCAGGTGTTCAAGAAAAGTCGCTTAAGTTTGCATGAACTTTTAGTTTAGCTGGCAGTGAATTACTGTGGTGTTTTTTCGGTCATATTTATAAAATGATCAGGTTATGGAAATAAGACGCTTTGTAGAAAGTTTTCTTTTATTACATCTTAGTTTTTTTGAAAGCCATGTCTTCGTTAATCTCTTCTGTCTTATATTTTAACATACCAATTAAAATGTGATACAATATAGCATTGTATCAGTTATACTGAATGAGTATGCTGCCATGATTCTTTCATTCCTTGCTTTACGAGTGGAGCATAAGGCCTCAAGTTTTGAGGTTTAATTGACGATGATTTTGTTGTTTTTACAAAGGAGGGTTGCCAGCCTCATGCAGAAGTCTCCCTCTTTTCCGGGCTTACTAATAGTTTAGGTGTACTCCGGCTGGGAATCGAACTCAAACCACGTTAGTGTTTGGAGTTCATTCTACCATTGAATCACTAACGCATAATGCCGACCTGTTAGGGCCACTATATGGCATTTCAGTCAGTTCTGATGGTCATATATTTAATTAATAAATACTTAATTACTTTAGTACGTATCATCAGTCCCGTTCTTTTACGATATCGCTATTACTATGTTTCATCTGTGCAGATTAACAAATCTGAGTTTGAACATTACTGAAGAGACTCAAGTTGGATAAAACTAGCTGGCTTAGCGTCGGTGGCACAGAGGTAGAATTCTCACCAACCACGCATATGGTTTGGGGTTCGATCCCCGGCTGACACACTCCTTTACCTCACTAAGCCATTAATAAGACTGGAAAACAGAGAAGGTTGGGCCTGAAGCTAGCAACCTCATCCCGTAAAAATGACTACCACCGCTAATGAAACTTCAAGCCTTTAGCTTGAAGCCTTATGTTCCACTGAGAACGTAAAGCAAAAAATCGGTAGTAAAATGATAAAAAAGACTAAACTGGTATTTGGTTCACAGTGGCTCCCTAATGATGTTTATGCACCTCAGAAGCTATTTCTGTGGTACATCTAGAAATAAATTGAGCAAGCTAAAAAGTACTGAACAGATACTACTGCTATGCATAAACACTAAAAATTGCATACAGCACCTTTATATTTCACCCAGTATTCTGATATCTAATAAATTCGAAAACAGAAATGAAAATGAATACATAACATAGAAGATTTTTCATTTTGCGAAAAATTTAAAATAAATGGATGTATTTAAAGTCTGAACAAATTATTTTCTTCTGTTTCTGCATATTAGCTCGGAAGGCATTTTAACCTACCAAAATGTTCATTATGAAGTCTCTGGAGATAAATCACGTTGTATTCCACGTCGAACTCGTCAAGTGTTTAAAGTTGCATGTTCACCGATAGGTCCACAGTATAAAGGTAGGACACAATGTGATCCTAAGACGGGCAACTTTTACCACTTATACGAAGAAAGTAAACGAGTTGGTTGTAAGTGTGTGAAAAATGAACTACGTATTCCTGGGAAATGCAAATGTCCCAAACCAACAACTGAAATGAGGTTTGTATTTTTCTTTATCCTAAATAATTTTTGAGAAGTATCGATTTATATGTTCAAATGTTGTAGGTCATATTCTTATTTTGTAGAATATCAATGATTATTAGATTGTATAGATAATTTAAGTAAGTTTAAAGTTTTCAGTTTAAGATTGTCTATTTAAATAGACAATCTTTTGAAGTCAAAACACTATTTTTGGGTTTTTATCGTAAATGTATGCCATATGCTAGTGATGAACGTCTAAATTGGTCTCTCAGACAATCGTTTAGAAGATTTATCAGAAATATTTATATATATATTTATATTACTACATTATTAACGAATTTATAATTAAAATAATTTAGCTTGTAAGTACAAAATATCAATTCGATTAGTAATAAAGGTGTTTCGTGTACCCCTGGAGTAACTTTAAAAATATTTCACCAATTACTTTAAACTAATTGCGGGAAATTTCGTAGTATACCGTCTTTTGAAAAACCTGAATAAAGTGGGAACAAAATTTGCCATACGAAATATGTATCATTTTAATTGAGGGTTTCCTTGCCTAGAAGCCCTGAGTTTTCCCCTAGAAAGCTTGTGCAACTAGTCGAGATGTCAACTCCAAACTAGTCTTAAGAGAAAGCATACTCGACTAGACTGACGATGCCTTTAAATTAGATGGCCTCAGAAAGTACCGAACTGGTCGGTTGTTTACTCTAAAGTGTGGATCATAGGTCAATGTCGTACTGTTGAAATGAAGTGATGCTATTAAGGTGTTTGGCTCAGACTACTAATCAAACTATTAGTTCACCGTGGGGAGTTGAGGTTGACATACATCTATGTTAAAGACTATATACTGTAAATGGAGATAACAGTATAAATAAGACCAAACCTAAGTTCTGTCATACTTGTGAGTGGCTTAAAACAATGGCAACTGATTTTCGGCAGTCTTGCAATGTCAACCCCTTTTCTCCTTCAGAAAATACAAGATGTCATCGGATTTCACGGTGTGAATACCAAGTGAGAATTGACCGCCAGCATGTGTTTATTTTCACTTCATTCTCTCGTCACCTTAATGTTTGTCTTTTTCACTACTTTGAAATCTATTCTCTCTCTTCACTAAATGTTATGCTATGTAGACTTTGATAGCAAACTCAGTTCTTGAAATAACACAGGTGGTTTCGAGAAACCACCTTTTTACACTTCCCACGCCCTTGCTTCACGTGATATCATTGACCAGCTCTTACCGGCGAACAATCTAGTATTCTAAACCGTGCATTCTTCAAATGTTTGTCAAAAATATGTGTGTACTGTCCGAATTCGATTATGTGACTGTACAGTGACTGTGCATATATATATATATATACATATATATATATATGTTCATAAATGTCCGATAGATAGCTGTCCTGTCCTTCCTGGAGTACTTACCTAATTACACTGTACTGCTCAAATAGCTCATAGTTGATAGTTGCATCTTCTCTGTTAGGTAAAATGTTACTGTTTCAACAAAATAGGAACATGAAACATACTTATTTCTTCTTAAATTTTTTCTGCACAATTACTTACTGTAATTTAAACGGTGTAAAAAATAATGTTTATCAAGAACCTTATAAACGATCAAAATGATCAAATATTCAGATGTGGCCAATATAGAAAGGTTTTACTGAAGAAGTAGACTAGCTAAGTTGGGGATGAAAGCTTCTAGTTCATACTTTCAGACTTTCAGTCCAGCCAACTGATAATGCTTATCATTCACTACAGCTGTTAATGCTTACCCCAATTTCCAGACGTTGTCCAGCCTGGTGAACATCAAATCAAACGACCTACATCATTCTGCCTGATCCGCTTTTCGTTCACATAGAATCTGGCCTTAATAAGGCTTTTTTAAATAAATCTTCACCATCACCCTTTAACAATTCTGTCTGCCTTGTTCGGCTATTAACTCTGAAGAAGTCACTGAAAATAATAGTTTGCCCAAATACTGAATAATCTCCTTTGAAATATGGATCCAAAAAATTGTGTTAGCACTTAAACAGAATAAAAATTATTGGAACAATTTATATTTCGTGCATGTTTCACACACTTAACGATATCTGTTCTTTCAGATGCTCAATGCAAAATATTCAACAGCTAAATACAACAACGTATAAATTAAGCTCTAAAGGAACATGCACAAAATCAGAAAAATTACAATATAAGTATATCAAATGCCCAATACCTGATGAACTTCTTCAGGAGTCACCAAATTACAAGGCTGAACAAAGTGGATTTACTATAAAACATATTCATAAGTGTAATTCAGCTGGAACTTGTTCACGTGTAGTACGTGAATACAAGATTTACACAGATAACAAATGTAAATGTATTATTGATAAAAGGCAATATAAAGAGGCATGTTGCTGTCCAACAGAAAAAGATGTGAATCAATTTCAATTATCATCTAATCTATCTCAACAAGTTTCTTTCAGTAAACGGTGTGATGCAAACAAAGGCGAACTACTGACTGACACAATTAAATGGAATCTCGAGCATGGTAGATGTTGGCCAGTTTTACATAGGACCGTTCAACCTATAAGTAAGTAAATAGAAAGTATGAATCATAATTATATGGAGGAGGAATCGGCTTTAACGTGAGGTATTTAATGCTCACAGTTGCCTTCCTCGTTAATTGGGCGAAAATGATGCCTAAACTGATGCTGAAAATTCTACCAAAATATCGAATTCTTGGACAGTAACAAAACCTTTAGAATAATTGCATATGTTTTACTTAGGAATATGAAATACTGTACTGTCTCTTTTAAAATCGTAGTTTGTAGAATCTGTTAGTGGTGTCACCTTATTTCAAGGGAGAAAATTATAGTTGGTTTAACAGAACTCGAGTAGAAACCGCGAGTTGTGGGTCCAAGGGTGATGGGGAGGAGATCGAATGTGAAGAAGATGAGAGCTGAAAAAGACTCTGGAGAAGTTAATGAAATGTCGATATGCTGATGAAGTCCTCCGCATCACTCGGAACCTAACAATATAATAATAACAGTTCTTAAATAGTTCGACTGATAAAAAAAATAAGTTGTATAACAACTTACACTGGTTGGATAAAAACGGGTCAGATGACATTTTGCTGATTAATATTACGAGAACTTTGTTAAAATATAATAAAAAGAGATATTTGCCGAGAAAAATTATGAAAATTGCTAAGATTTTACAGCATGACAGCTGACATTTCCTTTACTACTGGTTAAGTCTTATTCATAATCTCGATAAAGCTCAGGTACTTGTATTGCCCTGCAAATTTATCAATACCCAAATAATTCTTGCGTGACAACAGTTAAGACTGCGTCTGTCCTGCACACTTTTATCCCCATATCAATTAAAATAAATTTTTATGAAGAATAAGTTCAAATTAACATAGTGATTTAATGAATACATACAACTACTTTTAAAATGACGGTGTAAACTTACTCCTAGAAGCAAATTCTTCTAAAAATATTTATTACTGCAAAAACTCTTCGCACTTAATTCAGTTTAGAGGTATATTTTTAGGTAAATGCTCTTCACTTGGATTCCACTTATTTCTCCTGAACGTAAAAAATATTCAAATACAATTCAAGTGTTAGTTTTTTGCATACTAGTATTATGTAAATGATGTTTTATTACAAACAGTAATTACTATCCTATAAATAATTTTTCACTACTGTTGTTATTTATTTTCAATATTGAAGTTTGTAGTAGAAAAGAATCTTTCAAGCCAATCGGCTTTTGTCGTTCTGGTCAACAGAAACATTTACATCAACGTGAGATAAGAGTTGGATGCGAATGTCGACTGGATAAACGTGTTGTCATGATGCCATGTGGTAAGTTGACAATATTTAAACTACTTTAGCATGTGCAGTGTAACTTAAATGATGTCTTTACTTATTGAGCATTATAGTATTCAACAAAATGTCATTACAAATAACCGCTACTGCATCCATCAGCTTCTGTTACTAAAACTATGATTCATGTCCTTTGCATTTGAGACTGATACAGCTAAGACAGCGTTCAGAATACATACTGAAGAATTATTTTAAACATACTACTGGTATTCAATAACTGTTGCAAACACGTATTAACTATCAGTCACCTATGCATTGAATATGATCGGTATCACGGAATATATTGGGACAAACCGTATGAACCGAGTGAAATACCCTCTTTTAAATAGTCTGTTACCCTTTCTAAATTCTTAATGAAGTCACTATGCTTTGGACACCGTAGATAAAGACACCTTTACTGTAAACCTTATAGATATACAGGAAAATTCCAGTTTCAAGCTGTAATTCTATATCTGCATTTAAAGTAAATTATTTAAATTAAAGTGAACCAATATTTCAACAAACCAACCAAGAATTTCCTAGAGAAGAATAACCTGAATATGACTACATTAATGTTTAAAAATACTATCTGTTGTGCTTTGATTCAAAATAACTGTGACGTACAATCTAGCGCATTCACTTATGGAACAACGCAGCAGTTCAGAATAATTATCTTTTAAACTCTACTTTGAATTAGTTATGTTTTCTGAGCTGGTTGATTTAACTGCGAAACTTTTGTCGTCTCTCTGGACAACATCTTCAGTTCAGGTCTTAGTATAAAATAAACTCATTTTTTTTTTATGTCAAGTTCCCATCTATTTCTGGTGTTTAACTTGAATAGACATGATCTCATTTTACATTTGATCATAACCTGACTAAGATCAACTGCATCAACTGGTGATTCCGTATGTACACCTTTTTCGATATACCTCATATAAAAACCATATTCACTTTCGCACCAGTTATTTATTTCGTCTTTCTATTATAAATAAAGAGTTAGGCGATCTGGCCTGACTAACCCGTCAAAAACCAAGCACTTTTCTCTGGCCAAAATGACGGTGTTCAACAATGATTCGCAAAATGAATAGTAGTCCACCTACTTACCAACGAATTTATTAATGTTTTTTTAAACTTTCTGATACCTTCCAGTGAGTTAAAGCCTAATGTTACGATACATACAAAAGCATTAAAAAGTTTCATTACTATTGTCATACTTTCCTAAACAATCATAAATTATAATACAGCGGAGAATTTTTTGGTACAATCTGTTGTGAAGTTCACTTTTTACATAGAAGAGTATTAATATCTGTTCTTAGTTTTGATTGTTTACTGAAACTGTTTTATATTATGCTGCTATTCTCATACATTTGCCTTAAACAACCACAAATTTCATCATAGTTACAATTTAATGAATTTTTTCAAGACTATTTTAAATTATATACTACTAACAACTGATCATACATCCTACTCTGAATGCACTTGGTTAATTGACTGCAGTTATTGTAAAACGAAAATAAGGTGAAATGCATTCACTTCATTTTGTGTACTCGTAATCAAACACCCTGGCAGCTGGTTCAAAATGTGCATACATACTACTGATATAAAATGTTATTGGTAAATGAACCTATTTAGTTCAGTAAATTATGGAAATGCAATGGTTTCTGGATTAAAACCTCATTAGGATTACCATAATTCATTGAGATTTAAATACATCCTGATGACGAATTCCAAGTAGGACGAAACTCGCGCTATGGATTTGACTGTTAGCCACAATTCATTAGACGGCAAAATGACTCTTTTCATATCCAAACATCGAGCAAATATATTTGTAGGTGTTCGACTCCTTTAGGATTTTAATTCTAGTTTTCTTACTTTTACGTGTTAAAAACATTTTTGAGTATTTATCACGAAAAAAAACATAAGATTAATGCAATCTGCATCATTTAGGTGTAAAAATCTGTATCATTGAAACTATCTTCAAAAAGTGAAATGGAATCATCACTGAATGATTGACTTCACTCATATATCGACAATCATTACTCTTTACTGGAGTTATAAAATATGCAACATATCTGTATATACGTAGAATTTAAACTATGGTTTGCGTCAGTTTTAACCTTTGAAACTGATGAAATTTATCCGTACTCCTTCATTAGTACATTTTAATGTATATGCGGTGAAGAAGATTTACTGTACCATCCATCCATTACTGGTCCAAAAATATGCGTAATGAAATCTTGAATTTTTCTAGTTTTTAAAAACTTGAACTGCAACATTTTGTAGGTATAATGTGCTGTAACAGTAAAACTGATCTTATTAAGCCATTAACTTACCACATGCAACTATTAGATAATGAACATACAGTAGTACAATCTGGGTTTGTTTTAAATGGATAAACACAAAAGATTCATTTTCTGATATTGATATTCATTAAGTAACTACCTCAAACATTCTTCTTAATCTAATGCCTACTTTTGTATTGTTGTCATTATCATGTTACTAAATGAAAATTTTACATGTTTCCAGCTTGCGATCCGCTTGGCAATGCGGATGTTGTCTTCCTTGTAGACGAGTCCGTGGACAGTAGACAAGCTGATTATTTAACAAATGTTCATAAAGTAATGAAACATACAATAAATGCCTTCTATGAATCGTCTCAATCGACCAATATGGATGAGTCATTACGTTTTGGTTTACTTAAGTATTCACTAAAAACAAAAATTGTTTTTGATTTGAAAAGTTATGGTCGTCTACACGAAGTCTACTCCGAGTTGAAGAAACTGATACTAAATAATGGAAAACAATCTGATTTGAAGCTGGCATTAAACTTTGTGAAGAGCAAGGTAAATATATAGTTTGACGTGCGCATACACCTTTTATATAAAATTTTTGATCAAAACTGGCTTCATTTATGTTGAAGAATAATCAGAGAAAAATGACAGTGTAAAGGATAAAATGAAATCATAAACAGGTATCGGCTGCTTGCATACACAGTTATCTCTTCCATAATTTCTTGATACTTTTATGCATTGACCGCTAATTGAATTAATGACACACTTTTTACTCAAGTAGTGATCTGTTCACAATGAAAACTTAAACAAAATAGGCAGCATGCATTTTCAGATCATATTTTGAAAACTATTAGTCAAATCAGATCATAAATCAACTCTTTGATTAAGTGACATTCACTGACCATAGTGCTTCATTGAGTGGAGCATATGCTAAACAGTTTCTGAGAAAAATATGAAGCTATCAGTTAACTGTGGGAAAATGTAAGGATACTTGTCTGAAAAAATAAAATCATGTACACTTTTTTCATTAACTTATGAATGGCATTGCGATTACCTACGCAGTGCAGCTCAGATGTGTTTATTCTACTCAATAATAAAAACAACATATTATTGGCTTTGCTGTTTTTACTTCTAAGATTTGTTTCAAATAATTTTTTGTTCTGATTTTGATATGAGATAAACAATAAAGCGCACGCATTAAGGTATTCTAATACACTTGAAGTCAACAGTGACAATAAGACCTCGTTCATCCGCAAAGCAAGATGTGTTTACTTCTCCCTTGTGAGAAGTTAAAAATAATTCTAGACACTACGTACTTAATTGAGAAATCATTAAACGGGTTGAAATTTTAAAACCAATGTTTTCATACATACAAAAGACGAGGGATCGCTACCCATCACACTGAGAAACTTTTGTTATTTTGAGACTTTGTGGATAATTCTAGTCACTGACACTCTGAATAGCAAATGAAGTGAGCTATCCCATAACAATCTAAATTAAATTACGCCCATTTCAAAACATTCAAATGGTTGGAAAAACAGCCATGTTAGTCTTTTTAAGAGTTGGAGCTTAAAAGTGAACTTCATTGAATTTTGTTAACTAAACGTTTTGAAGTCAAATAATCTAAAAAAATCATTTTTTCGCTAAATTTATTCGTAGCTTTTCAATTATTTTCATGCTAGTGATAGGATTTTTTAAAATCTGTAATTCTATTTCATTTTATCACTGTGCAGATTATGCCTCAAACGCGTCCTGGAGCACCACTTTTCATTTATATAATAACTGATGGGTTTGGAAACCAAATGCCAGCTGTTAGACTCCTGACTGACTACCTAAAATCACATAATGTGCAAATAAATGCCTTGCTGCTTACATCATCGGAGAAAGCTTATGACTCAAACTTCTTCAAACAATTAGTCTCTCCGCCAAGTTCGCTTCATTTAGTTGAATTAAAAACCGATTCTGATCAGTTTTCACGTAATTTAAGCAGAATAGCGGACACATTTTGTAAAAAAGGTAAGCATAAACTCTTAGAAGATAATATCGGTCATTTAATGTCGATGAATTACATAGCAGTATTCAATATGCTCGCCTTTTCGCAGCTGTTTAAATGATAGATTACTTTAGTATTATTTTCGGAAATAATTCCACATATGGCACAAAAGAAATACATTAATAATAGTGTATTAACACGTGATTCACTACATCCGATTTCGGTTTTTTAATAAAAGCACGAAAGCTATCTGAATTTCATCCTAGAAATATGTGTAACCATAACCAACATTGAGCAGATTAGCAAGTCTCACTACGTATCTTGAATGAAAGCGCTTACCATTCTATGTTTTGCTTATCAATTGTTCGCCTTCAGCCTGTCCATTAAATTATCAGAGGGAAAGTGAATGTTCTTATGATACAAACTGTATTGGACGTACTTACATTTTTATGTACCGCTTCGATCCAGTCAAAGGTCAATGTGTTGGGAGGACGATCTTGAGACACAAACAATGCTGTAAGTTCCAGTTTTCTTAATTTTACCATCTTAATGGCGAACCAAATTTACCATATATCCTCTTTGTCTCGTATAATGAATAGTTTCTGATGGAAGATCTCCTCAACAGGTTCTAGTTAATAATATAATCATCTAATTCTGAAAAATGTTCCAGTTTAGTAGTTACTTTTTCTTTTTCATAATCTAAGTGATAACACACAAATGAAGAACGTTCTTCTTTCTTTAATTGCAAGTTCATTTTAAATTTTTAAAAATAGTACAGCACAATGTTTAACATAAACTGAACATTTGTAAATGTCTAAGATCGATTCCAAATTAATGACAAGGTTGCACAGGACAGGTGATTTTAGTACATGAGGAAGAATACCTTAAAATCAATCAAAACCCCACAAACACAGCATCCGGACATTAAACTACTGCCCATTTAGGACTACCTTTAGGATAAATTTCCCTACGTTTTAATGAAAAGTTATCTTAAGTTGGCGCAGAGACAGATACCCATCTGTATCATTGAGTGGCTTCGATGCTGTACTCCCTGTTGATGAAGCATCCAAAAAAGCTAGAGAATCAGCATTAAGGAAATCAAAAATCACACAAATCAAAAAAATTCAACAAACTAATTGAAGAAAAGAACACAACAAATGAAACTGATGTCAACGCTTCATCCTCTCTCGACAGAACAAAGTGGGTGATCAACCTCTCATCAAGGGAACTAAGCTCTAGTGAGATAAAAGTACTTGAAAAAGGACTAAATTTCAACGTGACAGTTAATAAATTAAAACCAGAGGATGTCATTCCTAACATAGAAGTAGCACTAAGCTCAATAGATAAGACAACAGCAGAAGAGGTTCGAGCACAATGTGCATTAACCCTGAAAAATCAAAAGAAGGCAAAATCAAACTTAACAACATCGGAAAGACTAGCTTTAATTAGTCTAAAACAAGATAAAAACATCGTCATTACAAAGGCGGACAAAGGAAACTCGACAGTAGTCTTGGATAAGTCTGACTATATCAAGAAAGTCAGTGAACATATTGAGATGGGTCCATATGAGGAAATGAAGAAGCCCGTAGATACAATAATGAATAAGGTTAAAAAATCCACGGCGGAATTAATTCGCAGAATAAAGCCGTCACTGCGTGAGTCTGAATGGTTCAACTTAATGCCTAAAACTAATAATGCTAGTAGAATGTATGGCACTATTAAAATACATAAACCAGGGTGCCCCATACGACCAATAATGGATTTTAGGAATACTGCTACTTATGAATTATCAAAACACTTAGCTCTAATATTATGCCCCATTAGAAATCGCTCAAACTCTAGACAAGCTACTTCATTTGAGATGAAAAATAAACTAAATGACATTCAACTAGATAATGATGAAACAATGGTTAGCTTTGATATTACCAGTCTTTATACTAACATACCAATCAATATGGCCTTAGAAACAGTTAAAAAAGAATTAACTGCAGACCCTGAACTCACTTATAGGACGAAACTACCCATTGATGGAATTATTTTAGGAATTCAGTTGTGCCTCAAATCTACTATCTTTAAATTCCAAGGCAAAATATATAGACAAACAGAAGGTGTAGCAATGGGATCACCAATATCCCCTATCGTAGCAGATATATTTATGGACAGCTGGGAAAATATGGCTCTTAATACGTTTAATCCTACTCCAAAAATATGGTGGAGATATGTGGATGACACTTTCACAGTGTTAAAAACAGAACATATCTCTAGCTTCTTGACACACATAAACTCACTAGTGGAGGAAATAAAATCCACATTTGAAACCGAAAATGAGCAAGGAGAATTAGCTATGTTAGATTGTAAAATAAAACGAATAGAAGAAGGCAAACTACACACTAGTGTTTATAGAAAACCAACGCATTCTTATAGATATTTAGACTTTATTTCATCTCATCCTTTAACTGTGAAGGCAGGCTTAGTTAAGTGTTTAACAAACCGAGAAATGGCACTAAGTAGCACAAAAATAGACCTAATTGATGAGATAAAACAGATAGAAGAAGCGTTGGTGTTAAATAACTATCCTATAAAATTCATTAGGAAGATTGAGAAAGGCCAAAAGAAAGAGAAAAAGAATTGTGAAACTAGTAATAATAACATAAATAAGAGAGAATATAAGTCATCTACAGTTATACCATATATGGAGGGAACATCTGAGACCCTACGTAGGATTCTAAATAAAGCAGGAATTAGGGTGACATTTAAACCTACAAACTCAATCAGGGACAAGCTCTGTAGGTTAATGGACCCAGTTGACCCAATTAGACAAAATAATATAATTTACAAAATACCCTGCAATGACTGTAAGTGAGGTCAACTACATAGGTCAAACTAGTAGGTCAGGGGTAGTCAGATTGCCAGAACATAAGAATTTAGCTAAGGTAAGAATGGTTGACCCAGAGAAGATGAGTAATTTCGAAAAAAAGGTCAGCAATTGCAATGCATGCATTAGCACACAACCACACAACAGGGTGGGAGACGGTTAAAATTCTAAAAAGTAATCTAGGTAGGTGGAGAGCGAGAGAGGTTGATTACTGAATCCTTGTTCATCGAATATACACCCAACACATGCAATAGGAATGACTCATCACTCATACTCGAAATATGGAAAATATTACTACCAATCAAATCAAGTGAAAAACAATGGAACTATATAAATGAATTTAGGAAGTCATGTGATTACCTTGATATGATTATGAGCAATAAATTGTGCTCGAAACGCCATCACTAATCATTAATGTGTAAAACTCTGTGACTATCAAAACAATTTTCACCCATAATGTTACAAACGTGTTTCATACGTCTGCTGTGTGTGTTTACATTGTTAACTCCGTTACTCGACGTTGTACTGAAACACCACCTTCTAGGTTGCATGCAACAGGTTCGACGAAGGAGTGTGTGTGAAAATAATCATTTATTCCTGGATACTATAAATTGGCAGCTAACGTCTCAAGGTTTCTGTGAAAAGTACATTACCAGAAGAGACGTTACAGGATTAGCAATAAGTCGTAAGCAATTTTAATGATACATATATTTATATGAATTTTTGTTTTTATTACAATTTTTTTGTATTCTTGGGCATCATGAGCATCTTATTTACTACTGTTAATTTCTCAGTTAGTAGGCAGTTACCGGTAGTCTTTTTGGAAACTTTTCAATTTTCTAGAATATTCATACCCCTGAAAAATTCCAGGTTTTGCTATTAGGCATCATTTGACTGCTTGTGTAGTAATCTTCTACAAGAAGTCCAGAACTGCGCATAATAGACTGAGATTAAGTGCTTCTGGCTCTTCACTATTTACCAATCCCTTGTAGAATAAACAAACTGTACGTGTCGTAAAAGACAATGAACAGCTGCAAACTGGCAAAAATAGTTTAATCACACTGGTATTTAAATACTTCGATAAGAAAAAAGGGTTGATTATACGTTTTGTTTTAGCTTAAAAATCCTCAACAGTACAAACTTGCGATATTTATTCAGAATGAAGCCTAGGAGGTATTTAACGAGTGCATAAACTTTGATATGCGTCGGTGGCATAGCGGTAAAGACGCTCGTCAACCATGCACATGATCCGGGGTTCGATCCCCGGCCAACGCATTTCTTTACCTCGCTAGGCCAGAAATAATGCTGGTAAAGTGGAAAGGTTGGGCATGAGGCTAGCAACCCCACCCTGTAAAATAAACACTGCTACAGAAACTTCAAGCCACTAGCTTGAAGCCCTATGTTCCACTGGGGAACGTGAAGGAAAAAATATAAAAAAATAAATAAACTTTGACAGGACACAGCATCTTACTACTTTATAGATACATCTGAGTTAATCTTGAAACCCTTAGTAATGCTTTAGTTTCTTTTGTTACCTTGAGGAGAGTTGAAAGAATTGGAACTCCTATGTCACAGGAAAGTGTTTAAGTAGTTAAAATCAAAATCTGTTCACTGTTTGAGATGAATTACAAAAGAGTGCATTAGTTTTTTCTATTCATCGTACTGGATTATGTTAAAAGTGAATATATTAAGATATAATCTATAGTATCAAAGCAACGTAATTATGTTAAATAATTTATTGTACTTGTGTTGAATGCACAAAAGCACAATCCTGTTGTTAGCACTCATCTTCACCACTGCTGGATAACAGAAGTATGGATGTATTAGGCATTAATGTAATAAACATTTCACCAAAATCTTCTACGTTACTCTCAAAATTATTTTAAAAAAATATGCATTGAAGTTCCATTCGTTTCTAGACAGTTATTTTGTAGCATTGAAAGTGATCTTTCATAGTATTGCTTTATAGTTATTTTAATCACTTTCCAAATAGTCTTAGAAAAAAAAATTCACCTATCTACGATGAATGCAATATTCATTTCTTTTTTTATTTGTAATCAAACCTATTGTTCTGCTTAAACACTGTTAAATGAAATATTTCCGTTTAGAATGTACTCCAGCAAATCAAACCTTCATCAAAACATGTAATGAAAGAGGCGAAGCGGTTCAAGTGACAATTCATCGTTACCTGAAGAACTGTAGATGCATGGTTAGTGCTTTTGTTCTTTAAACTTTTTATAATATTCATGCAGTTTACTTCGGCGTTGATTATTTTGTATACACACACGAAATATGTGAGGTAGTCATCTCTTCTTCAGTTAACAAAAATAATATTCACTTCGTTAAATTATGACACTAAGTCTGGCTAATAGTTTGAAACCTTGCTAAGCTTGACTGTCAGAAACTTCTCATTCATTTCATTTGAGTGTTTTATTAAGGATAACCTCTTGGCATACTTTATTTGAATGTTTTACACTGTAGTGTGGTATATTATTTTACAATTTCATTATGGAATGGCTTTTCAGTATAACTAGTACGTGGTTTTTAAAAAAGTATGCCTTCTTACGAGGAGAATAACATTTTGGCATCATGCACTGATTTGTTTTCTACCATTTTAGACTCAACAAACAGATAAAATTGTCCGGTGTCGATGTACCAAGAAGTATAATACTAAAACATGCTTTGGTGATGATGTTATGGTACATCATTATCATTACGAAAGACTTCTTGATGGTGAATGTTTGCCACAAAGAAGAGATGTACACAAAAAATTGGGTAAGTTAACATACACTTTACTATGCAAATTAGCAATTGAAGTGTACAACTGTGAAATTTTTTCTCCGGAAAAAAAGTGTAATGGACATATCAACAACAGTTAAACTTTTATCATATTTCAAATAATTCATTTCCTTCAGGGAGGGATTTCCTATAAGCTAACAGTATATGAAGTAAAAGAAATTTAAAAGTATTCTAATCACCATATTTGAGATAGGATAAATGAGACTGCAATGAAATTATCCACAAAAATCATGAAATTCTTATTTTTGTTACAGTTAGTACGTCGCATAACCAGATAACTTCACTGGTTTTTTATCCAAATTTTGAATACCGAACAACTGTCCTGCATGTGATAACTCGAATTAATTACAGTTTACAATTTATTTAGGATAGTAGGCTATATGCCTGTGTTAATCCTTTCGATTTGTTGCACACAGGAGGTCCAATCTCGCCTTGAATGAATCAACGGATGGCGCTGATACGACATGTTCCGGTAGGGAGTTCCAATGGTTCACAATTCGATGCGAAAAGCAGATCTCCAGACGCAGACGATTCGATCATGGTTTTTGAACCTTGAGGTGATGTCCTCGCAATTGGTTGGTACTAGAGGGAAGAAATAAATTAGATAAATTAGCTCCAAAATCATTTCTTAGGATACGGTATGCTAGATTAGGTAACTCCTAAGTCGTCTGTACGACAGTGGAAATAAACCCAGTCGACTTAACCTCTCCTCATATGAGAAGGTTGAGAAACCCTTCATTAGCTTAGTTCCTACTCTTTGCACCCTTTCTAATCAGTCTATTTCGTATTTAAAACACGGGCTCGCTGCCTGGATCCCATATTCCAAATGAGGTCTGATATAAGTCGGATATAATATACGAAATAAATCAGCGTCAAAGTTCGCAAAAGCCTTGCGTATGGCCAATAATATTCGAAAACCCTTAGTGGCTGCAACTCTACAGTTTGTTGCTGTTTTCAAGTCATGTTGCACAACCACTCCCAACTCCTTGTACTCAGTGACCACTGGGAGAGTAATGCCGTTCATTGAGTAATTGTGCACGTGACTATGAGATACATGCATAACTACACTCTTGCTTAAGTTAATCTCCAAGGCCCAGTGCTTACACGAATCACTTAACAAGTTTAAATCTTCCTGCAAAGCAAGTTGGTCACTGTCATCGTGTAAAGCCCTCCATATCTTGATGTCATCAGCAAACAGTAAGCAGGATGACTTAACTACCGATGGAATCTCATTAACATAAATCAGGAAAAGAAGTGGGCCTAGAATTGTACCCTGAGGAACGCCACTCTTAACCGATTCCCATGTTGATAAAACCCCGTTAACTCGTACTCTTTGTCTTCTGTCCTTTAGAAAGTCTTGAATCCAGTCGGCAACCACTTTATTGATTCCCAGACTACCTAACTTTACTAGAAGACCTGAATGAGAAACCCTGTCAAACGCCTTGCTAAGGTCAATGAATATGGCATCCACCGGTATATTAGCATCAGCTGAGCTTGCCCAACTTTCTCTGGCCAAAAGAAGGTTGGTCAAGCAAGAATGACCTGCTCTAAAACCATGCCGTTCCACAGCGAAAAGTTTGTTCCCTTCAATGAACTGAATGATAGCATCACGAATTATTCTTTCTAGTAGTTTAACAACAATACTGGTCAAACTAACAGGACGATAGTTCTGAACTAAGTTTCTAGATCCGGTTTTGAAGACCGGACTAATGATGGCATCTTTCCAGTCTCTTGGACATTTAGACTGGTCCAGAGACATATTGAAGATTACCGACAATGGCTCGGCTATGTTTTCAGCCAATGCTGTTAATATACGTGGGTGGAGTTCATCAGGGCCACTGGACTTACCAGGATTGAGCCTTAGAAGCCACTTTAGGACAGTATCCTTTCCAATGTATAAGGGTGCCATTTTCAAGTTACCTTCTGGAAAAGTTACAAAGCTGGTATCAGTATTATCAGAAAATACTTGACCAAAGTGCTTGGACAAAGCCTCAGCCTTAGTCAAGTTATCCTCAGCCATGTTTTTCTGGTCATCTTCAAGCATAAGAGGTGAGATAGCATCACTCTTACGTGTTCTTCTCTTGATATATGAGAAGAGTCTTTTTGGGCAGCCTGGTGAACTTTTAACTAACTGGGTTTCGTAAGCTATCCTTGACTGGTGAATCAAAGTTTTACACTGGTTTCTGGTTTCACAGTATTTCAGCCGGAACTGCTGTAGCCCAGTAGAAATAAAGAGATTCCAGAACCTTTTTCTCCGTCTTAGGAGTGTTACAGCTTGTCTATTTATCCATGGTGGCCGATTTGTTGGTCTTTTGGGAACCCTCCAGGGAATGAAATCAGTGGTAACCCTCTCAAGTGTATTCTTAAATATATCCCACTCATCTTCAATGGATGAGACAATATTGACTGACCAGTCGGCAGTTGAAGCACGCTCCTTTATGGCGACTATGTCAGCAAGCCAAACACTAGGTCGGGATTTGGGTTGAAAACTGACTAAATTGCCAGCCCTTAAGTTAAAATCTAACACCCCATGATCACTGTTTGCTAGAGGTGGATGAATAACTAGACCATCCACGTCGTCGTTGTCATGAGTAAGCACCAAGTCCAGCAAGGAAGATCCTTGGGTAGAACCGAATCTTGTACTACCTAAGATATGTTGTGTCAGGGCATTTTCCATGGTAGTCAAGAGTAACCGGCTGTCAAACTTATTAGTGGATCCTGAAGATGTGACATCTAACCAGTCTATATGAGGTGTATTAAAATCACCTAGAATAAGACAGCTACTGTGTTTACTCCATTGTTTGAGGTGATCTTAAATAAAGTCATCACACTGACAATAGGGACTTCTATACAGAACTCCAATGAGTAGAGTGCCAGTTGCAAAGCTTACTTCACAGCTGATTACCTCACTTGTCCCACTGTCATGCGCTTCAGATTTCACGGAACGAACATGTAGGGAGTTGTTGATGTACAGAGCAACCCCGCCACCTCTACGACCCTTAACTCTGTCGCTGCGCAAGCAACTAAATCCGCATAGCTCAGGTGTGTCATCTAATCCAGAAACCAGCCATGTTTCAGTAATGGCCACAATACTTGGGCTAAGGTCTTCCACTAATACACCTAGCTCGTGAAATTTGTTCCCGATACTACGTATATTAGTGTACACTACCTTCAGGCTTCCTATGTGGTCCGGATTATCCACACAGGTCTTGGAAGCATACGTTTCCAAGACCTGACTATTTGAAAACCCACCAGTTTAAGGTTAGTCTCACCATTTTTAAGTTTTGTTTCCAGCTGGGACAAAACTTCTTTTCGTTTAAGTCTGTCTTCAAGAGATAAATCAGGTCTGACTGAAATTCCTGACCCGGCAAGGTTGTGTACATTAGCCAGTAGATGATTCCGTTCATCAGGAGAACCTAAGACTACTTTAAGCAACCTACGCTGATTAGAACATTCATCATCTCTTTTGCCTATTTTAATCAGCTTTTTAATCGATACTCCAGGGAAATTCGCTGGAAGCATCTTCCATATTTATTTATTTATTTGATTTACAGCTTGATTCCACACCGTATTTTCAGTACAAGTATGGAATTTTCAGCATGGATATCGGTTGCCCAAATTCAGGCATACCATAGATATCGGGTGTGCGCCGGCAGGGGATCGAACCCCGGACCATGTGCATGGTCGGCGAGAGTCCTAACCACTGTGCCACCGACGCATATATAATACTACTCACTAATTTAAGGTCGTGATCGTGCCTTTTTCACGGGATCAGATTCTTTGGACTCTTCTAAATTGCCAACAATTATGTTAGAGTCTAAGGAGAGCTTGATGTATTTAGCAGTGGCTACGTCTTTTCTCACCACTATTGATGCAGCCTGGCTACAGATGACAGACGTTTGCCTACCATCAATATTACTATGTTTCTTCCGATTGTTTATTTTTGTTACCCACTGATCATCTGCCTGCAGTTGCTTCTCAGGGCTGCTGCAGTTTTTGATGGTACAATCGAGATCAGTGTCTGCACCACCTTCATGGTGAACTTCGCTTACAGTGTTCTCTGGTGCTGAGATGCTGTTTGCAGCTTCTGTTTTGTTACCTTTTCGCTTACTGAGACACTTCGAACGCCTAGTAGGTTTTACTTCCGGGGTAACTGGGATAGTAACCGCCGGTGTGGTAACATTCATGATGACACTTACTGCGTCATCTTCAGACGGGCAGTCTGTGTCACTATTACTAGCCACGCTATCATCAGGAAGTTCCATGGCTTTAGACAGTAGTTCGTGAGCCTCCCTTATCAAAGTCATCTTTGGAGATCAGCACATTCTGCACATCCGGTGGCATGTTGGAGCACTACAACGTTTGTATGCAGCTGGACGTAATCCAGTACACATCTTATGATGCCACGTTTTACACTTATTACACTGTATTCCATCATCTGCCAAAAAGTAACACTGCGCCCTATTACATTTATGTGGTACTTTTGACATAATGAACTTCTACTGGAAACAGCCAAGACAATTTACCCAATATAGACTATATAAGTGGTTAAAATCAAAACTTAACAGACAAAAGTCAAGTTAGAGGGCAACTCTAAACAATAGGAACCCAAAACGAAACGACCTAAGAACGCACAAATAACCTTGTCAAGGACCAATCAGAAGGCTGAAAAAAACGACAATAGTCGTCCCAGGCAGCACTAAGAGCTAGATAATAGGCAATAATACGCATGCCCTGCGCTTACGGGTAGCCCCAATATGTCCCTTCTGGAGGCTGGTGTCATATATCCCCAAAACCTATTGCTGGAAAACACAGTCACCTGATCAGTTGCTCAAGGTTATTTGTGCGTTCGTAGGTCGTTTCGTTTTGGGTTCCTATGGTTTAGAGTAGCCAGTTATAGTTTAAAAAAATGTTCTTGAAGTGAATAACACAACAAAAACAGCGATTTGTCAAATACGCGAAAATAAGTGAAAAAGCACTCCCTTTTTCAAACAGCGCGCTAGTTGTTACGGCACGGTATTCAACACAGTTCTCAGTTTTTTTTTGCTTTTAACTCTTGCATGTTGATTTAATTTTCAATGCAACCAAAATACTAGGCGACATACTAATGACACCGAATGTTTGAATTCAACCGACAGTTTATCCTGTACAGACTCTGATCAAACTACAGAATTGTTAACTATGTATCCATTTGTGTACAAATAACAGCCCAATTTCCCAGAATTTCCTTTAGAAGTACTTATTGCCGACTAAAATCAATTGTTGTATACTGTTCCACTTAAATTATTTAATTACTCCTGTCTTCATACACTTAATTCAGCAGGAGTATGTCTGTCATCCTTACTACCACTTTCAGGACAAATGGGTTTACTGTTTAACCTAAATAGAGCTTATACTCATTTTTGTCATACTAAAGTCGTTGTTTTCACCAGTTTATCACTTGTATTGCATATTTTCTCTCGTTTCACCTACGAAACTTGTCAAATATAGCATTTAAATGAAGACTTTTTTTAATTTGAAATATTTGTACTTTCAGCCTGCAAAAATCCAAAAGTGTACAAAGCCGGTTGTGATTATTTGACATGTCAACAACGCGTAACAGTTGTCACCTATGTAGCTCAAAGATGCAGATGCAAACGTTTTGTACAAGTTAAACACGAAACGTGCTGTAAGTTAAGTCTCTCTATTCATTTGTTTTCATAGTTATTTATTTTGCAGTATTAGAGTTTTTGCAACATGAAAAATATTAAACTACGGTTTAATTGTGTAGCGGGATTCATTTCATTACACTTACTGTATTAGTTAATTTGAGACTAACAGCCTAATCTACAGAAATTATTCCGCATTAAGGTTTGGAACTAATTACTGATTGTTATTTGACAATCTGTTATAACAATGGACCCCATATTATAGAGATTAATTTCACCCTTCTAGTTTTGATTATTATTTTAGTTAAATACAGAATCTGACACCTCCAACAATCTTATTACAATGATTTGAACATTTTAAGGATCCTTTTTCAAGAGCTCAAATAAATGATTATTTATTCATACAGAAAATCAAAATAAGTGATTCAGCGAATTCACTTTCAAGCTGTATAATCGTACATATATGGTTTTTAAGAAAGTATATCCGGTGAGAGAATTAAATCAACAGTGTGAATACATAAAATAATACGTACAGTACGAAATGCGATTGAAATGACTCGAGTTTTGTCCAAGAGGGTACAAGAACACTGTCCAGCATGGTTACGAAGAGGTAGAAGTGGAGCTATTAGAAGCACAATCACTTATCATCCAGTCGACGCTGATCACTCTATTTCTACAGCCTAAATTTTAAAGTCGCCTATAACCTGAAAATTAAACATGCCCAAATCATAACGTATCCGACTCATCTGTATTACTGAAGCTTTGACCGTCGAAATAGAAAAGAAAGAGTTCAGTGAATCCCTCCAACTTTCATAGTCTTAATCCCACTATGCCAGAGTATAATAAACGTTGATCATATTTTGCCTCTACTTATTTTTCGATTTGTTTATTCATTTTGCATACTTTTCTTTTATTACGTCAGTTGTTCCCGTTACTATTCTAACTTTGACATGTCTCCGGAATTATTTAACTCGTCTCACTTGTCATTCTACATAAATTTTGTTTTGCAACGTTAAATTGCATGTTATCAATTTTCACACAATGCTGCGTAACGTCTTTGTTTTAATTTTATTTGCCTACTAATCCTTTAATTTTACACCCCCGCTTCTATCGTCTATACATCCTATGAATTGTCCTATATATGATATTAATTGTTTTGCCCCTTGATATTTAACTTTGATTGAAATCACAAACATTTTTATTGCATTTCATACTATTATTTTATACATTCACACCTTTGATTCAATTCCAACACCGGATATAATTCCTTAAAAATCAAATATATACGACCATACAGCTTGGTAATCAATTCGTTGAAAAGAGTCTCTTCGCTGAATCACTTGTTTGAATTTTCTGTATATCCTAATGGGAATTTCCCATGTATTATCTATTGATAAGCAATCTTGGTACTTGTTATCGAGTGTAACGTTCATCTAAACTACGGAATTTTGATCCAGTTATATATAAAGTGAAGAACAGCTTTCCAAAAACAGTACGATTCCGTCTTCTTTGCATCGCAGAAGACCTAGCCATTAAGCTATAGGAACCAGAACTGTGCATACAAAAGAAAATTATTCAACCACTTCTACTCCCATGGTAACAACTCTGTTGATTTGACTTAACTTTTCTTTGTTTGTTTGTTTGATTTGACTTGACTTTTGTTTGTTTGCTTATTTTTCTACTTAAAACCCTTGTGTAATTCCGTATATTTTGTTTCCATGTACACCCTGAGTACAACTCTTTCATTAAACTATTCATGTTATTACGTAACTCTTCTTTAACAATCGTTTGTGACAACTCATCACTTTTGTTACTACTCTCTTATATCAACATCCAATTCATCTGAACTTACTAATTGTATTTTCGTTTTATAAATTTAATGTACACACACATACAAAACAGCCATATATATTTGCGATTGTACAGCTATGAAAATGAGTTCGCCGAAAAGAGACTCTTCGCTGAACTACTTGTCTTCTGTTTAATATATATAAGAAACAAAATTTTTTGGTTAAAATGAAGATATTCAAACTTTCGGTGAATTCATTATCATAACCGCATATTCGTATATATACACATACATATGTATCATACAAAAGAATATTTCACATTATTTCGGCAGATATCCTCCAAGAAATAATCTTCATTGATGCAACTGTCATTTTGGCTGTTTCTGTAACTAAATGAAGCATTGTAAACTTCCTATAAATAGCAGTTTTACATTTTAGTGAAGCATAGTCTCAGTGGAAAAGTTTAAGTTTGACTTCACACTTGTATTACTCTATGCTGATGATTTTTATAATAAAATATGACGTCATCGGGCTAAAACCATAACGTGATGTGTCCATACAAGAAGGGCATTAACTGGTATTATTAATATAAGTTCCATTTAACGAACAATTCGTTATCTCATTCATTTTCTACTATTCTTTGTAAACATTTATTTAAGGTTGTAAAGGAGATCGTACAACAAGTTATGCTGGTTGTAAACACAATGACTTAAAGGTTTTTGAAGAAAAAATAGTGGATCCGAAAGTGAATACGGGTTCTTGTGTTCAACGTGTCCGTTATTATTTCCAACCGATAAGTGAGTTATTTGTATAATTAATTTTTATAAATAATGTGACTGTCACTTCCGAAAGTTTTGTCTATAGTATTTTTTTAAGAGGATACCAAAATTTTATTTGAAATGTGTGCACTGCTCTTAGTCAACAGTGTTCAGTAGTGAAGGTGTTTCAGTGTTTCATGACTATCTACTAATTAAATTACATAGTGTAACAACAGAAGACAAGACACGGAAGCCAAAGTATATTTTCCATTAATCAAACAACTGTTTATATATTTACAGTTTATACTCGTTAACCAATCACTGAGCGTGTAATTTTGGTTTACATCAAACGACATGGTACAGAATGTTCAAATATACATCGTATTCTGTTGTTAATGCAGTATATAACCGTGGGAACAGTATTCTGTCTCTAACATTAAATAGAATATTGAAATAAATATATCGCATTCTGTTGCTAATACAGTACTGAACTGTGGGAATATATGAGAATAATATTCCGTTGGCGCATTCTGTCTGTATCACACCACCACAATAGTAGTTTTATTCAGATGAATAAGGTGTCAATCCTTACCACACTGTCATCAACAAAAACAACCTTAGATGTGTAAGATATGTAGAGTTGCAACTGAGGTTTCGATTATTTGTGTTGTGTGTGTGTATCCAGCCCAGATCATAAAAATAACTACATTTATACTTGGTAATTTTCTGTTTTTCACTTCTTCAGCACATTTTTGTAACTAGCGTTTTTTAAGACTGGCTCTTTCGATTAATAATAACTAATAATAATAAGTCTTATGAAGACTTTAGAAATGAAGGTGAAACGAAGGATAATTGAGGTTTGTAGTTCGAGATGTGTGGCAATAATTGTCGAATGCAATTTTTAGCTCTAATATTTGATTATGAACTTTTCATTCCCAGACTGATTGGATTCATCAGCAAGTATTTTATAAAAATGACTCGGTAATTTCTTCCAAAAGCGTTTATCAACAATTTACTATTTAAGTAACTTGAAAATCCCCATTCAGTCATATAAAAGAAAAGAAGGCGTTCAGCGAAGAGACTCTTTTCGGCGAATTCATTCACTGAGCTGTACAATCGCATATTTATACAATTTTGTTTGTGTGTGTACATTAGATTTATAAAGTTTAGATAATTATGTAATAAAGTATTTTTTTCGGCTTGGAGACAAACGTTAAGATGGAAAATAAAATAGAATTGATTAAGTGAATTGGATGACTACTTACAATTTGCCGCTTGCCCAATCTTAACATTGATTTGTATTATACCAAGACTTGTGCAAAGCATAAGTTTATTGATGTTGTGAGTCAGAAGAGTGAAGTATGAAGATTTTAGCATGTGCATCCTGCTTACGTTGTATTTCAGTTTTCTAACTTCTATCAAACAATGTACCAGTGTTGAGTAAGCATAACATCACATTATTATTAAAACATTCCTATGTTCTCACTGGTGAGTTTTATACTTCAGTTGCAACTAAGTGTTATGACTTTAACCGTAGCTGAGGTGTTACACTGAAACAGACATATCAAAAAGTTCTGACTAGGATGAAGAGTATATTAGTATATTTCAGAAAGATCATAAATTACCTGTGCAGCTATTCTCTTCATATTTCAGTGACTCATAGAATATAAATTAAAACCAAAACGGACCTCAGGTTTTCATTCGTGTATAATTAAGCACTCCAGATATGTTACTAAACAGATTTCCTTAGCTCTTATAACAATTTTCAATACTTCAGTTGGAGAGAATTAAGCATGTGTATTTACCAACTGTTTGTTTTAAGTGGATTCACACCAGTGTGACTCTTTCATTACACAGATTGTTTACTTTGAGCATTTGTAAAATATTTTAAGGTATATCTTAATTTCATACCTTTTGGCATTCTAGTAACAATAAAATAACAACCTAAAAACGATAAATTGGAAAAATAGGCTGATACCAGTTTATAAACTGGCTTCTTTTGGAAATAATCGTGGTTTTCTGAGACAGTCACTACTGCTTTTACTAGTTTTATTTGTTTTGCTTTGACGTTTAACCATAGCTGTATACTTCTTTACTGTGTATTAACAATGATTTGGTTGGACAGCATATTCATTGTGAGTGGAAAAGTCTGAAACTGCAATAGGCTAAGTAAAAAGGTACAAAACTTCGGTCTCGTTTTCGGCCTAGTTCGTAACAATTTGTCGTTGTAGAGATAGTTATACTGATAGTTATGAGCAGGTGGTTTAGTTGTAGGGGTTTTTCATCTCAACCATAACAGGTGCGTCTTTTTTCCCAATTAACAAAAGCACTGGGATGATCTGTGACTTCTGAAGGAAACTATTTTAGAAGCAAGAACGAGAAGAAGTAGTTGGCCTGACAACTATCCTTCGCCCAAGTGTTATAGCTACAAAAATTAGTCGACCACCCTATTAACTGGACAATGCGAATTAATTCACATACACTGACTAGTTTATATTGTGTGCAACACAATGATTTGTTACCGAATATGTAAATGTAAGTAAAATCATCTAGATATAGTTACAAGGTCTCGTCTCAGCGCAAAGTACGTACGTTTAGTCGCTTGATATAATATAATTAACTGCTTAGATCAAAATATATATTGGTTAAATTCAATACATTTTCCAATCATCTCTCCATCATGTATTGAAATCTTTCATTGCATTAAGCTTGTCCAATCAAACCGTTAATAACTCGTCACAGTTGCAGAAGATATGATCCTAAAGCTGCCAAGCAGGGAGAAGATGGAATCGTTAAAGTTGATCCAGCCCTCATCTATAGATTCGTTGAAAAAATCGAATGGAAAACCCAAGATTGTTACTGTCGTCGTCATTATGGATCTTACTTTGAAGCATGTGGTTGTGATGAATCAGTTGTTTTCAATGATTCGATGAGAATTAAACAGAAATGTGATCCACAAAGTGGTGTTATTGTAACTTACAGACAAAAGGTGAGACTAGAAATAGTTGGAGTTCCAATTGAATATACAAAGTTAAATCGCCTGAACAAACTGTCTGATGCCGTTTGCCGAACACATTATGTGATGGAATCTGCAAGGAAAATAAGTAAGTGTCTTTCTGTTCATTTGTAAAGTTATACTCTGTTTCACATGTCAAAATTCTATTTTGCGAAATTCCTATGTTATAATTTTGCCGGTATAGCAATTATTTTGCTATATCACTATTACACTCTGAAAAAAATGACAAGATTTTCCTTAAAAAATCTATTTCAGCAGAAATCATTAGTATATGAATACCTAACTCATTCTTTTTCTCAGTTTGACGTCTAAATTTTCACGCTCTTTATATTAAGTTATAGAGGCGTAGTATTTACCTAATATGATTATGTGTACAATCTTGATATCGTCATTAGTGTGCAGTTAATAACTGTATTTCATTGTATGAAGACCTAATCTCATAACAAACATTGTTGTTTGCATATATAGGTGTATATCTTAAACAATTACAGCAGAACTTTTAGAACACAGTAATTCCTAGATTCAAAATAACTTTCGCAAACCACACAGTTTGCGGACTACTGTAGTATTAGTGATGTAACTCTCTCTAGTGAAATTTTTTGATAATATAAAAAGTGGTTGCTGGTTAGACTTTCATTCCATTAATTCACCTTTCTGTTTTGCAGTCTGTCCTGATACAAAAACTCTTGTCGGTCCCTGTGAACTTGCTAAAGACGGACGAGCATATAAGACAGTTAAAATTCATAAATGGAAACAGCACAACTGTGTTTGTCAAAATTTGCCACCTGAGATAATGGAAAAACAATTATGTGGTTGTCTGCGTTTTAGATTGCAAAAGAAATGTGTATCGTCAAAACCGGAAGGTCCAATGAACAAATTACAGGTATACTTTATTAGGGAGGAGTTACATACAGTTAAATTACCGTCCGGTCAATACAAAAACGAATGCAAGGTTGAACAGACAATGAAGGAAGAGATTATCCGTGAGTCTCAAGCATATTAAAAAATTCAAATTAGTAATTTTACTTTGAAAATATAATCATTTACACAGTTTATGAAACTAAGTAAGAGACATACGGTTATAATCAATAATTAATGGTGATTAATGAAAAAAAAGAAACCAAAGACTTTCACATATAATAGATTAACATTCATTGTCTGACTTACACAAAAACAGATCGACTATAAATCTAACACCTAATTGTGCCAATAGGACGCTCCATATAAGAGATATAAAATCACTGGGATGTTATTGTTATTTTTCACTTTCGTTCCGAGTTGAACATAGGACTTCAACAGCACATCTCCACTTTGTACTGTTTTCGGCCGTCATCTTCAGCTGGGTCCACGACTGACCAAACTCTCTCATCTCTTCCTCACGCCATCTCCTCTATGTCACGCTTGCACCAACGACCCACTCGTCGCTTTCCATTTGGATTCCACTCGAGGGCCTGGTGTGCGATGTCATTCGCCGGCTTCCTCAATGTATGTCCTCCACTTTCTCCTACATATATGCTGAGCAGTCGGCTTCTGGTTGGTTTGTTCCCATGATGTCTTCTGGTTTATTCTTTCTGGCCGTTTGGTCTTCAGTATGGAGCCAGCGATGGCAGCTGTTGATGAAAGTCTGCAGCGTGTTGTAAATCCTTTTCGTGACACTCAGTGCAAGTTTCTGACCCATATAGAAGAACTGACTTCACATTAGTGTTGAAAATGCAAATCTTGTTCCTTACGCTAAGTGCGAAGATCTTCAAACTGGTTTCATGTTGATGAAGGCGTATCTCACCTCTCCGATTCTAACTTTGACATCTTCATCCGTTTAGCCTGTAGTTGCGACGATGCTTCCTAGTGAAGGAGGTAACCTCCGTTAAATATATCCCGTTGATGGTGATTGGTGCCGGTTTTTGTTGCTTCTGATCGGTTATCTCCATCACCTCCGTCTTTTCTGTGTTCACCCGCACTCCTGTTTTCGCTGCCTCTTCAGCCGGTTTGGTTTTTGTTTTCGCTTGCAAGTCTTCGAGTTTGTGTGACATTAGATATCCCGACCAATAGCTGCTACCTTGACGTGGTGGTCGGGCTTGCACATCGCAATGACCCAACAAGCTACACTGGCTGGAACTATTATTCCTGCAGGTCCAAACATACCAGGAAGGTTGTTAGGAAAGCGACTGGACTAAAAGAAGTTACCGGCACAGTGTATGCTGGTGATCCGTGGGTGAAGTCGTACTGCTGGGGAACAGGGACGTAACAGCAGTGAGGTGCTTTCCTCCGATGAAGACCAGCATGCCACCTATGCTGTCTCTCGAATCTGGAGAAATGGGGTTAGGAAAGGTCGACCCTAACAATTGTACATCCCGACTCACCTCACGGAGGTCCATAACCGGCGGTGAGTTTACTAACACGGAACCAATCTAAGAAACCAGTTCATGCAGACTGTGTGTGATCAGCGTCAAACAGTTGTCCCCTGGGCTCTGTGGCCACGTAACACTAACCCTCTTTCTGTTTCAGCTACCCAAAGAATCAATCAACTTCCACGATGTGAGCAGCCGCCCACACACTTCCAAGAGCACACGAAGCCTCCCAGATCATCATTCCCCTTTACCCACATCATCTTCATCATCTTACTCCCCTACTACAGTCAGTACTATTCTTCAGGCTAGTGAGTCATCTTCACTTTACTTCACCCTGTGACCACAAACAACGATGAGAGCCATAGAAACACCACCGACATCTTCTTAAAGCCACGTTCACAAGTTCATATAGTAGCATTTAACGTCAGGACCTTCTGCCAAATCGAACAACAGGCGTCACTGGCAAGAAATCTAGCACCTCGAGCCATGGAAGTATGTTGTGTTTCGGAGAACGCATACAAGACCCGAGTGTAGCCATTCACTTACACTCACCAGGTCAACAAGGTGAATCTGCAAAATTCACTCTAAGGGTGTCAGGAGACCCCTCAGCTAGCTTGTGAGGACTCGCAGGTTAAGGGACAGCACTGAGTGTTAGGACGGAAAAATCACTTCTTGACTGGATCCCAGTAGACAGTTGTATGTGTGCGGTCCATGTGAATGGGTCTGATGGAAGAGGAGGGTCGGTGTTACCCACCGCTTACGCCCCAACAGCTGCAGTTTGGATGAAATAACGGATGACTTCTACCTGAAACTGTCTAATTTTCTGCAGAAGGCAAAGCGTTCAGATATAGTTGTTTTAGCAGGCGACTTCAATGCCCAAGTAGAGAAGTTGTGCCAGACTGAGAAGTATGTAGGTGGCACGTATGGAATTCCCTGCCGACGAACCGACAACGGTGATTGTCTTCTACAGTTCTGTCCAGATAATCATCTGTCTCTAGTCAGCGCTAACTGTAGGCACAAAGAGAGACACTGTGTAACTTGGTGACCTTCATCACCAAATCAATGTTGGACTCAGATAGACCACATAGCGATAGGGAATCGTTGGCGAGGGTCAGTAGAAGACTGCTACTCCTACTGGAACACGTGCGTAGACTCCGATCACGCTCTGGTCCGCGCACGTCTGTGCTTAGGACTAAACAGACATAAGAAATTGCTGGCAGCGAAACGTGTGTCTGAAGTCAACAGCTGGACTTCCCCTGATGAAGGCTGGCACAACATACAGTTAGCTGTAGACACAGCTGTAAAAGCTGTTAATAACCTAAAACCAAAAGTTAGTAAGAGCCATTGCATCTCTACCGCCTCATCCGAACTGAATGACGCGAGAAGACTTATTCTGGAAGCTACTCAAACGCAAACTAACAAGAAGTCTTCGTAACGACCGTGAACAGTGGTGGGCGACAAAAGTGAAAGAGATGGAAAAGGCAACAACGACTGGTAACACCAGACACCTATTTAGACTTATCAGGGAAACAATCTTTGAGAAAAATGGCACCATAATTAGCTCCCAGGATGAACGACTGGAACGGTGGAAAGAACACTTTGAGGAGCACTTTGACTGGCCTACAACCACCCTCAACTTACCCAGCATTCAACACTTTCCTGAATGAATACTATATAAACACCGTCCCTCCGTCCCTAAGTGACACTATAGACCCTAGTCTGAAACGAGGCAAAGCAGCAGGACCCGATGCAATAACTCCAGAGGTATTTAAGTACGATGGAGGCAGTTTAATGTCCACTTTAACTAAGGTACTAGGTAGCGCCTGGGAATCAGCGATAATCCCGTCAGGCTGCTGTAAGTCACTGATTATCCCAACACACAAGAAGGAAGACAAGTCTCCCTTTGATAATCACAGGGGGATTGGCTCGGCCAATATGGTAGCTAAAGTTCATAATCATGCATGCAAGCTGCTGCCCCCGCAGCTCGATCCTTGAACATTTGATCGAGTCTGGACACCAAGTCAAACCAGAAATAAGCTTCAAAGTTATCTACAGAATACAGAATAGCAATCTTGCTAAAAATGTACGGATCAAACTTCTCCACATCGCAGAAGCAATGGTAATTCATCTGCTAAATCCTGAACTCTGCATACAAAAGAAATTCGTTCATTCATTAAATCTACAATGGACGTAATCTTTCTTAATTTTAGTCTTACTAATTATACTATTTTGTCTTTTGCATTTTATTATTTCACATCTTCATTTATTTCATTCTCTACCCCACCCTTTTGTAATCTCTACCCTCATTAACAATGTTGCTAACTTGACCCACGTCCAATTTCTAGTCAACTATGTTACGTCATCCGATTAACTTACTTATTTTCGACTGTATTATTCTCTACCTCCACCCTTATTTAATTTTAACCATCACTCATTAACACTGTTGCCAACCTGACCTACTCTGAATTCTACTCAACTGTATTACGTCATCCAATTCACTTAATCAATTCTATTTTCTTTTCTATCTTAACGTTTTTCTCCAAGCCAAATAATACTTATATTACATAATTATCTAAACTTTATAAATCTAATGGAATTAACCCTAACTCACTTCAGTGACTCAGGGATTGACTTGTTACCGTCAGGGAATAATCTCGTTGACTTAGAATATGCATGAGGATGATATAGTCCTTCTAGGTGAAGACGCTGACAAAATGCAGCAGAGTCTTCTGAACACCTTGAGCTGCAATCTGCGAATGTTTGGCATGCCATTCGCTCCCGCCAAATGTAAGATGATGCTACAGGACTGGACTAGTCTAGATTACATTGACTCCTAGCTTAGAAATAGGGAGTGAAGTGGTAGAGCACGTTGACCGCTTCACTTACTCGGGAAGTAGCATCAGCCAGCGCCAACGGGTTGATCCCGGACGAAATCTCAGCACGGATACGCAAGGCTATTTTCGCATATGCCAGTTTACGACATCTCTGGCGTGGACGTAATATCCAGCTATCGACCAAAGGGCAGCGTACTGCTCAGCCGTCCACCCCATCTTCCTTTATGGCTGTAAGACCTGGCCATTGAGAAAGGAAGATATGCAAAGGCTAGCTGTCTTCGATCATAGGTGCCTGCGTTCTATCTCCCGTGTGAAGTGGTATAATAGGGTGAGCAGCATTGAGGTTAGGCTTCTGTCGAGCGCTAGGTAAGAGAAGGAAAACAGTAGACGAAGTGGTTGTAAAGTTACATCGACTGAGATTATTAGGATATGTGTTAGGCATGCCTAACCATCGCCTTTCTCGAAGAGCAATGTTAGTCAGCTGACATAGGATCAGGTTGGAAAACAGCCAGTGGTGGCCAAACCAAAACATGACTTCATCAGTCAATGAAATCTACAACACTTAGTTTAAGCCACGTAGGAAGGTGTAGACTTCCTGGTTGGGGTCCTCGGGACGGCAGAAACCAATGGCTGGAGACAATTAGTGATATGGCTCAAAATCGTTCGCAATGGTACAGGTGCATCCACTCCTTGTGAATTATAATTTACAGTGAAACTGTATTGTTCTTCGTTATTACTATTCCTTTTGTCTCATATCCCTGTCTACTGTCTCTATTTTGCATTTCTTCTACTTTCTTCTCTTCCTTTGTGTGTTACATGGAGTGTGGCGACTTTAACTGCTGCACATCGGTGGAAAGTTCTATGTTGAAAACAGACAGAAAGACATTAGACATATATCATCTGCGAAACCCAGATCTTCTAGAGTCTTCTTATCGGCGGTCCAGCGTATTCCTGACTCCTTGCTCCCAACAGTCTGACGCATAATCCAGTCCACCACAATTAAGAATATCATCGATGATAATAGCACTCTCCTTCACTTCTCTCTTTATTCAGTGCAGTGTTCATTGAGCTCAGCTTCTCCTTCTCTTGCCCATCTTTGTATTAAATCATTTTTTCACCATCCTCCTCTCCTCTCTATTAGCTTTCAGGTAGGTATCCATTGACAGCCATTCCTTGTCTAGCCTCTTCTCTCTTCCTAGCACAGTCGTACACGTTTCCTTGAACTTCACCTTCAGTGAGTTCCAATGTTCTTCTGCACAGGTTTCCTCAGTGATGCCACGTAGTGTCTCCGACTTTTCTCTGATCTGATCCGTAGTGAAGGCATCTCTTGTGGTTTTTTCCTTCAGTTTCTGAATATTGAACTTGAATTACAGTGGACTGTCAATAGTTGTTCTGAAGGATTTCAGCTTTACCTTGAAGGTTCCTTGAATTAGATGATGGTCTGAGCCCAAATCTGCTCTCCTCCTCCACTTTGTATCCAGCAGGTTGCATCTCCACTTCCTTGAGACTGATGTGAAATCTATCTGGTTCGTGGTGTGTCCGTGAGTCAGAATCCATGTATATCCTTGTGTTTGTACGCGCTTCCTCCGAACCCCAAATCGTTGAAAGAGCAAAAGTCTGCGAGTAATTCTCCATTCCCATTCATTTCTCCGAAAGAGAGCCTCTCGACCCATGATGAGTTCTTTTCCTGTATTATCTGCTTTCAGTTCAGCTGGCATTCATATCGCCCATGGGAATTTTGATGTCTGCATTTGGGATATTGCCCATTACTATTTGTGGTTGTCTGTAAGAATCCTCCTTCTTTTATTGTTCCGCGTTGTTTGTAGGTGAGTAGCATTGCATGGTAATTGTTACCTTCTTTCCTTTGGAGTTGAATCTTGCTGTCATGATCCTCCAGGATGAAATTGGTTCCAAATGCATCAGGGCTTTGGCTGCCACTGGTGACATCATGATAGTCACTCGCTACCTCAGTGTGCTCATGGTTGTCGTCAGGGTGATCGGCGTTGATTACTGATTCACTAGTTGACATTTTTCATAATTCACATCCATTTTATCTGCTCTGGTTGATTCCCAGCACTTCTATGCCATATCTTCTCATTCCTTTGGCTACCTGGGCAGCTTTCCCAGCCAGCTTCGTACATTGTAAGGACATTCCACTTTCCCGTTCTTATTCTTGCTTTCATCGAGAGAAGACACATTGGCTGGCTGACTGGCTTCCGGAAGACTTTCACCAGCCCACGTCATTTCACCCCTCCGATTCGAGCGAAGAATAAGATTTTAATTTGAAGTTTTTGTATTTCTAACATATTTTCTGTGTGTTGAAGTTTCTCTAGCGGTTTGAAATATTTAGTGGTGTGGGGTTGCTAGCCCCAGGACCAACCCTCCCTCCTTATCCGGGCTTGGGACCGGCTAGAAAACTAGCGAGCTAGTTAACTAGGCGAGGTTATTGGGACAGAGGTGTTTCACTCTTATTACTTGACAATCTTTACACTACTGAACAGCCTTTTCTCCTCAAATCCATACTTTCCATGTATGAATTTGTCTATATTTTCTAAAAAACCTGCACCACTACCATGTTGAAACCTCATCCTGTGGTTCGAAAAACTGTCACACTGGATACACAGCAAATTTACAATTGTAGTTTTGTTTTCTAGACTTTTTCAGGTTTAAAATGTTGTTTTCTAAGGGTCTTAAAAAACACTTCACTGATATATTGCATAAGGAGATAGAACATATTCATTTTCGAAGACTAGTATTCACTGAAAAAACTTGGTCTTCATTAACATCAAAAACATCCAGTTGTCTCTTATCCTTAGTTCAGATTCCTCTTAAGTGATACAGTTATTCCACTGAAGCAGCTCCTGGGATTTGAGCGACTGTTATGTCTACTTTCTACGGCATAAACCTTCATAGATTTACATTTTAGTATCGAAAATCGTAAAAGTGCTTCAATTAGTTCTGAGTCATATTATGTATTCATTTAGTTTACTATTAACACGTAGACTCTGTCACACAAATGGGTTTTTTTTGTTAAAAACATCCTCAAACTAAATATGATGAAAGCAAAGAGGAATCAGACATCATCAACTAAATTCCACAACTGTATGCGGGCTAATTCCCTGTTGTAAAGGAGTGTAAAACATATTCATTTTATCCCGAGACTTCTTTTCAGTGAAAAACAAGCTAAAATGTACATAGGATTAGTGAGACGGTAACACACGCGTTTTCCGCTGAAAAGTACCAAACATTGTGACCGTAGTTTTACAAACGGCAGAGGGTAAAATGGTGGCATAAATATTACAATTGGCACAGAAGGAAACTGGCTGCTTATATTAAGTTTGGAAGGCGATTTTAGGATAAAAACACTTGTTCAGATATATGTGGGAAGAAAACTGTATAACACTCACCGCGTAGGACAACGTTTGGAAATGAACTAGGATAACACAAGTTAGTTAAGACCAGTGGGTCAAAAAAGGTATAGCAGAATAAACATTTATGAAATAAGCTCAATAATTTCACGCCCGTAGTTCCTTTGATTGGTTTCAATGAGGCAGTGACAAAGATATATGCAGGATAAGAAAGTAATTACTTTGTTTCATAACTACTCTTCAGTTATTAATCCCCAAAAATTTCAGAAGTTATAACACACCAACACTGTTTAAACCAAATGACAGTTAATGATATTCAGACAGCTAGTGGATCGAATAAATTTGTCCAATATGCAATAATCTGTTATGTTATTGGACGTAGTTCTAGCTTTCGTTGTTAGTAGCAACAGAATGAACAGACTTCATCTTCATCCTGCCTCGGTGAAGAGTTTTTTCACTAATCGACATCTAAAAAAAACTAATTATTTAATTCGAAGTGAAGCGAAGGCGACCAAAGGATGGAATTGAGATTTTATGCTTTGATAATGAAAATTGTGAATAAAATGCTAAAGTACCTAACTTAAAGCTTTTCTGCTTTAACTAAAACTAGTTAATTTTTTCATCATTTAGAATGCCCAAAAAATACTCTTCGTTACTCACCGTGTAAAAAGGGTACATTGGTAGTAACTATGAAAGTCTACAAAATTGATAATTGCAAATGCCAAGAGTCCATCCAACGTTTACAGGTACGATGCAAGGTGCCTAAGAAATCAGCAAGCGTTGAACACGCCAAATCAATACCTACCAACCAAATGCCACATGTGCGACAGCCAGTTGCGGACTGCATAGATTTACTGTCTACTGAAGAGTGTGTACAACAGAGTCGGCCACCAGACAATATCTGTAGGACATCTAATACTGTATCTGCATTGCTATGTCGTCGAACGTGTCGTAGATGCATAGGTTAGTTTAACTTTTGCTTCAACTTATTCTTATTTCCTGTAAACCCTACTGCTCTTTGATTTAAAAAATTCATTCTTTCGTTTTGAAATTCATATTATTCTTCATTAAGATTAGGGTCTAGTTGTTGCGTAATGAATGAGACAGTTTGTATGAGATCTCAGATTTGATAAAATAGCCGAGAATTCTACTGAAAGTTATGAGTAAAAATAAGTTGACTCAGTATCAGTAAACACTGAATAGTGTATAATGGAATGCCAAATCGATCAACGTTAGGGAGAAAAGTTTGACATCAGTTCACACTCCTTTGTAAGTTTGATTTCGCTAGACTATCTTGTATTAGGGAATACTTTCCTCTACAGAATATTTTATTAAACCGTACAATGAATACACTTTCTTTACTTGTGCTAGTGAATACATTCAGATAGAATTTGTGTTGCACAGGCTTCATTAGTGAATATTAAGTATCAGCGTAACTTCAGGCTCTCATGCTTTTTGCAGTTCAAGCAGACTCAGTCGTTTGAAAAACACGTAGTAAACAAAAGTTTTGTCAGGTAATCCACTGAATTTATTATCTGCTAACAGTGGAAATACTGGTTTTCTGTTGCAGGTTTGGGTATTTGCATTAGGAGCTAATGTAGCGACTGACAAATTGGAAATCAGAATACTGGTAGTCAAGTACCACCTGCACAGTTTAGTGGTTTCCATAATCAGATAAAAATGTCATCTGTTTGTCTCACCCGTTGGGAAGGGCTTCTTAAAGAACTCTTAGTCCACAAACAGTCTGATTTTAACGCCTAGTTGTTTCTGAGTGAGGCTGGAAGTTCAACTGATTGAATGCAATATTTTTTTTATTGCAGAATGAAGTAGGGCACTTCACTGTGTTATACAGTGGTTAAAGAAGAAGGCTGTGGATGGAATATAAAATAGGAGAGACCAAGTAATTCAGAAGAAGTTTCTTTCAAACGTAAGCCATATATTCAAACATGATTGAAAGCTCCAACTTGACATAATTTTCCAAGTGCTCCCGAGAAATGTCTGTCTGGTTTTTCATAAAAAGCATCATTTTCTTCACAGGGACAGGTTAGGTCTGTCGAACCATAAGTTTGTAATATGCTTCTAAATGCTTCATACTTCATACACATTAGAAATTCAATCAACCAAACTAATGTTCCTGCTTTATTATCTGAATGTAAATTTAAAATAACTCATGAAAACGATATAATTTACCGGTCACTAAGGGTTCCGAACTATCGTTTTCTAAAAAGGACAAAACTAATTGCCGCGTCCATAAGAGCTAATCACTCAACAAATTATCCCATGTGGTACTTCCTCAAGTTGACAGAGGTTTAACTAATGAGTCATTCAATTTAAGCTGCAGACAATTAGGGAACTCATAAAACTTTTAGTGGTTCAAATGTATAAGATGCTAAATGGAAAAGAATTTATTACTGTATTAAAGCAAATGTTGAAAAGTATTTTAGTCTACTGTAATTAACGCTCGAGATCGGTTTTGTCTATTGAATCCTGATATTTACTTTACCATTCTTTGTATTTTGCCATAGATTGTGAGCTGAACAATATCAAATATGAATTGACCGATAAGAATTACCTATGTTTGGATAACATTCAAGGTTTTCTGAGCGGATTTTTAATTAAATCCATGGAATCGACTCTGGCTTCATGTAAACTAGCCTGTGCTAAACACACTGGATGTTTAAGTTTCACTTATTCTATACTGACATCAAAAATGGGATACAAAACTGCTAAGTGTATGTTGTACGGAATATATCCCATAACTGTTGAAAAATATTTACAGCAAGAAAAAAAACGACAACCACAACAGCCCACTGACTCCCCTTCACAACAAAGTGAAAAACCCTTTGATCAAGTATTTTCTTCTACAAGTACTGAAACTTGCCTGACATTCAGGAAAATATGCAAAATCAGTAAGTTATAAAATTTGTAAATACTATCCCACATAAAATATAGTATTATCACTGAGGCTACTTCACTTCTTTCTGTTTTCAAACGTTGAATATTTCTGCTACAGGCTGCAAAAACAGTATATACATATATGCACATATATCCCTTAATTTCTGAGTGGGACACAAAGCTGCGACAATACATCTCCATTTCACTATGTCCTCTGTTGTCCTTTCATAGGCTCTCATCTGCTCTCACGCTCTCTCCCATGCCACCGTTGGATGTCAGCCTCGTCGCTTGCTTTCCTTTTGTGTTCCACTCGAGGGCCTGGCGCATGACTTCACTCAGTGATCTCAGCGTACCTCCAGTCTGTCTCCATTTCTTTAGCATATTTGACAGCCGATAGGTTCTCGATTGGTTAGTTTTCAGAGTTCCATGTTACTAATCCTTTCTTGCCATCTGATCTCGAGTATTAGGCGAAGACAGCTGTTGGTAAAAGTCTGCAGGATGTTGGAAATGCTTTTGGTGATGCACATGCCAAGTCTCTGAACCAATTAGAATCACTCACTGATTTCACACTAGAGTTGAAAGTAAGAATCTTGTTGTTTGTGTTGAGTGCAGCAAATTTCCACTACGACTTCAGATTAACGAATGTCCACCTTGCTTTCCCAAACTTACCTTTGACATTCTCCTCGGTGCTATCTGTAGTTGAAATGATGCCACCTAGACAAGTGGAACTAGTGGATTCCTTCAAATTTCTGCTGTTGATGGAGCTTGTTGTTGTTCATTATGGTATTTCCACCAAATCTGTCCTTTCCATGTTCGCTTGAAGTCTTGTCTTTGCTGCTTCTTCCGCCAGATTATTGGTTTTTCACCTGTATATTTTCGATTGTATGATACATTAAGCCAAGATCATTTGCTAAGTTCAAATTTTCTAGAGTCTTGTCGGTTAAACGTATACTGTCTTCTGGTTCCTAAAGGTTTGTACAATGACTCAGCCTGCAACAATTAGGAATATCACAGATGGGAGTAGGCGGCCTTGTCTTACTCTTATCTTCACTTCGAAGACTTCATTGATTTTTCCGGTGCGAATCACTTAAGCATGCGGTATCACTATACAGCTGTTGAATGAGACTGACAAAAGTTTGAGGCATTCTATAGAAATGATCCAGTTTCCAAATTACTTCACGACCGACACTATCGAAGGTCTTTTCGGTGTTCATGAAGTTGAGGTAAAAATGTATATATATATATTCAGGTTCATCAGCTCAGGTGCTTTATAATAACACTGAGGACTACAAAGTAAATTTTAATTTTTGACTTGATGCAATGATAATGCTTGCAATACTGTAGTAAAAATGCTGAGAATTCCATTCTGTATCACAAGTACTGTTTTGGAATAAAGCAAATTATTATTATCATTATTATTATTACTACTGATATAATATTACATTCATAACCCTAATAAAATATTTTATGTGTCCTGAGTACTTATGAGACAAATGCAAGAGAATTCTAGATTAGTGTTTAATTATTTTTTTGATCGCACACTGGTCAGTAACTAGTGTAATGTGTCTAGTCCTATCTTCGGTGCAGACTGAATTCTATCAGTCATGTTTACAACGTGGCCACCATGCTAGGTGGCTCGCCATTACGGTGCACTGTGAATTGTTGGTATTATATGGTTGGAGGCAATCGGCAGGAAGCCTTGGATCTAGGTTTCGTGCTAGTTGGCACTCATCAGCAAGGCGTATCTGCAACCTTGAAGGAACTGATGCCCCTTCTGAGATTCGGACCCGCGTCACCCAATGAGTTCTGCCGTCAGAGACGTTACCACTGAGCTTTTCGGGATTGACCTCCTGTAGGACTGTATTGGGTATTTTTGATTGCACTAGACTGATAGAATTCAGTCTGCACCGAAGATAGGACTAGACACATTACACTAGTTACTGACTAGTGTGCAGTCAAAAATATCCAATACAGTCCTACAGGAGGTCAGTCGCGAGCCTGAATAGCTCAGTGGTAACGTCTCTGACTGCAGAACTCACTGGGTGACGCAGGTTCGAATCTCAGAAGGGGCATCAGTTCCTTCAAGGTTGCAGATACGCCTTGCTGATGAGTGCCAACTAGCACGAAACCTAGATCCAAGGCTTCCTGCCGATTGCCTCCAACCATCTAATACCAACAATTCATAGTGTTTAATTATGCAACTGGAACGACAGAAGACAAGGACCAGGCAGCAGATCGTTTATTGAGAAAATCAAGAGATATTTATAGATTTTCATGTGCATTTTTATTAGCTTTATTGTTAGTGGGAAGCAACCTCTTCTGATTGGTTGTTTTCTTGATGAGGTTTGTTCTGTTATCTCGTTGTGGCCGTTTCTTAGAAAGTTAAGTCACACATATGCGAATCGTATTTGCACACGTTAAGCCTGCTGTGATTGATTGGTGAGTTCCTCAAGGTTAATCTTTGTCATTGTATTTTCATGAACCCGATTCGGGACGTAAACATTCACGTAAACTATTGTCTACAATTTTGGCTAGCAAACAGCTCTCACCACACAACTGCTGATATCAGAAGTCCCACTATTCTTTTTAACATTACATTCATTATTTTTCTCTGTTACACAGCTTGTTTAAAACCACAGACTAAGGAAATCTCCAAATGTGAATGCAAAGTTTATAAGAGTTATTACGGTAATCCACTGAAGTCACCGAAGTTTAAAAGTTCTTTGCATTGTTTCAAAAACATTAGTGTTGAATATTATATTCAGTTACAGTCAGGTGTTTGTCAAAAACAAAACTGGCAAGGTTATACACCATGCAGTAATCCAAGATACCGTGATTTACACATTAGAGATCAAGTTAACTGTGATAACATGAATCCAACATTATGGTGTGAAGCACAATTAGCTGCAGATGAACGCAAGTGTAAGGACGACGTTTTCAGCCAGGTGAGTTTTGTTTATTTTCAGTTTGAGTCTACAGCAAAAAAATTACTTACCCATTTTTTATCTCATAAAGGAAAGAAAGAGAATCTGTATGATACTTGGAAATCTCCAGAACATCTGAAAGTCACATATACAAAGGTGTAGTCATATAGAGCATATCTAATAATTATCTGTGGCAAAAAATTTCTCATAAATGCACCTGTAGACTAATCTTAGAGGAATAATCACTGACTAAATTTAATAGGCACCGATAGCCTAACTTCTTCATTGATTGATGGGAATTTGTTAGTAGTGATACGAAATTTAGTAAAGAACCTGAGAGTGTGCTTATGAAATCTTGAACTCTGACATTTAGTGACTCGGCTTCAACTTTCTCAGAGAAAAATAAACTGTAATTATAGGTACGTAGTTTTGATGGCTGATACAAGACATCATATGTAAAGTTTCTTACTGATTACCTTAAACTAACTGAGCATAACAATACATACTTGCCAAAAAGAAGTATAACTGACGTTATTATTTTTGGATGAAAGTGACGATTGAGGTTGTGGTTATAGACGCCTGTAGGCATAAAATATATTTCCAAGTCAATAACATATCTCATGTTTACTTTAAGCAACAGTTTGGATGGAAAAGACGTAAACTAAAATAAAATTAAGCTTTTGTAGAACTCAAAGTTGATTGTAATGATAACTACAATCTCAAAATATTTAGACCACGGTATGTCACCTATGTAACTTGATAAATGCTATAAGACGTCTGGTGCTAAATGATATGAATGACATGAAATGACTGATACCTGTTATTTGTACTGTTTACCGAAAAGTAGTGATTTCAACACTAAATACGTGTTTCACAATATGTGTCAGTTTTATCAATGATTTCCATGGACTGAATCACTTCATCTCACAAAATATACAATCTAGTTGTTTATTACTATTATTATTATTCCCTTGGCTTCCAAATGGAACATAGGGCCTGAGTTCCTTGATGTCTGTCCTTTCCCTCCGGTCAGCCAGCCAACTGATCTTCAGGATAATGACAACCGTTTTTAAAGTCAGCAGAAACTTTCCAGAAATGCATTACTGATATAAGTATAAAACTTGGGCACTGTGGTAGAGTATAACTCCATTATGGATAAGATTTTATTTTGATAAATCAAACAGTGTTGTACAGTAATATTAGTTGATGACTTCTCCAGAAATGCTTTTGGTGACAGGTGTGGTATATCTCTGTCCCATACAGAAGCACTGAATTGACACTGGTGTTAAAAATTTAGATCTTATTCATTTTGTTGTATGCCGTAGATGTCCATAACGACTTCAAATTAGGAAGTACCTGTTTTCAATTCTGCATCAAACCCTGGCTGCCTTTAACATCCTCTTTATTGATACTGGTAGTTGAGACGATGCCGCCTAGGTGGGTGAATGGACGAGTTTTGTTTATTTTCGGAAGGTCACTGACTGTTCTCTGTCTGCTGTTGATATCTCTGGACAAGTTATAGGTGGTGGTCATATTAGGAGTTCTTTGAAGTGGTCAGCTCAGAGTTTCCTCTGTTCCACTTTTTTTTGGTAACTGTGATTCCTTCACTAATTTTCAATGGTTTCATCTATCTTGACCCCTTCTCTAGTATCGACCTGATTATTTGATACAGCGTTGTCGGGTTTGTCTTACGAGCCGCCTGTTGTGCTTCAATTTCACGTGTGTTGTGAAAGCGTCTTTTTTCTTTACTTGCACTCTTCTTCACTCCTTTGTTCAGTGAGCTGTAGATTGTACTCAGCTTCTTTCGATATTCTCCACTGTACTGGTTTAACTTCAGCCCCAGTATCCTCCTATACCGGCTTCCAGGTACCTACATTCGAACATTCATTTTCTTGCCTCTTCTTTCCTAATGTATCTATACAGGTCTCATCCCATGTGGCTTTCACAGAGTTCAAGTGTTCTTCCACATAGGTTTTCCCCGTGAAGTTGCTTCATCCCTCAAACTTTTCACTGATGAGTACTGTGAAAGTGTATAATGTAACTCTGCCCTTCAGTTTTTGGGTTTGGACTTGAATTGTGGTCTATATGGCGTTTCTTAATACGCTTTCGAACTAATCATGAAGGTTCTTTGCAGTTGAAAGTGGTCATAGTCCATATATGCCCCTCTTCTAGATTTCGTATCCAGTATGCCGCATCTCCACTTTTTTGAGGTTCCAACGATGTATAGCTTAGGTCTTCAGGTCAACTTAACACAATCTTTCACTCAATAAAGAGATTTACGTCAAATTTTTAGCTGTTTTCAGCTGACCCTAATAATTATACTTAGTTTTTAAACATTAATTGCGTGAATATTCATAAAATATTTAACTAATTCCACAACGCTGCAATGAAACGTTCAGCAGGTTACATTACTATGTGTGTGTGTTTTCTACATTTATAAAAGCTGTTCACTCTCACCAAATAACTCCCGAATTCTCAGGCTTTTGTTGTATGTCATTGTATTCCACTGCATCTCTTTTGACATGTAAATTGCCGTCTGAAAACTAATATAAAGTTTATAGCATTTGGATGATATGGTATCTGGATTAATTTTTGTTCAGTAAAGTGTTGTGCAAGAATATTACTGTCATTATTGGACCTTATGCTATCTGATAAACAAAATCCGTTATGTAACCACTTTAGTCACATTCATCGAACATGCAACCACTTGTCTCATTTGAACTCAACAGATTTGGAGCTGAATAAGTATGCATCCTATTTGAAAGTGACTCCTCTCCTCTAGCTGTAATTCCACTTGTTGGCAAATTTTTTCATTCCTTGAGTTCTAAACACAAGAGAAGGTTTCGAGCTTTTTAAGTTTTAGCAATGATGGTGTCGTAGTTTTTGCAGGGTGGGGATAATAGCCTGAAGTCCAATGCTTCCTTGTTTTTCCAGCTTACAATCGGATAGTAGGCTAGGCGGTTTAGGAGTGCATCGGCTTGGAATCGTACCTCGATACCCCAAGCGGCTTGAGAGCATTCTACCTCTGAATCACAGACGCTTAGTTAGCACAGCCCTGTTTAAATCAACTTTTAAATATGCCCAAGGGCAATCTTGGGCTTCAGTTTTATAGTTCCATGAATTGCACGTAACACTTCCTTCTGAAAAAATCTCCTTGAAGAGATACTTTTAGGTTGAGAAAAGGTTGTTATTTAAAAAATTCCACTTATATTTTATCACGAGTTTGTATATTTAGATTCAAACACTTATAGTGCGGATATCTTGTATGTAATAATGAAATATGAACTCATCTTATGATGAAAATTTGTTGTCCCATATTTTCTTGCACGTATAACAAGTTGAAATGTTATCCCACATAATTTAACTTTATTTACCAATAATTTGTTAGGTATGTTCAAAAACATGTGGTCTTTGTACATGTCATGGTGTCAATGTATTCAAAGGAAAATGTAAATCTACTGGACAAAGAACTGACACTCACATTACTTATAAATCACATCCAGTTCATCGAATTTGCTACGTAGAAATGAAGACCTATTTGAAGACATGTGAATGTGAGTTACTCTTAATCCATTTCTCCACTGTTTAATAAATGTTAGACTGCACGTAGATGTTACAGCTTTTCACCACTGTACTAGTCCAAGCACTTTTGTGTTTGTTCCAGTTTTTTTATGTAAAACAGATTGGAGAGTATTCACCATAAATAGGATCATTTTTATTTGTCCTTTCAGACTGCCCTGTTGGCTCATATGAATTTGTACACAATTGTGATAAACAGAGTGACTCACGCATAGTAAATCAAATTACAGCAAAGTTAATTCAAATTCCTTCAAATATTGATGGAAAACCTCAGATTAAGTGTTCAGTGCAAACAAAAAATTATAAATTCCGATGTGGAAACTGTTTGGCTGCATACTCAGATAAACACTCTATATCTCCATGTAAACGCGTAGCTTCAAGTTCAGTACCGTATCAAATTAACCTCACTACAGAATATGTAATTTATGAAGGTGGTTGTTGTAAAACACGACGGTGAGTATCATTTGTTTTGACTTATTAATTTATAGATTTATTCTCTTTCTATTCATTCTGAGTAATTTCAACGTCCTATTTAAGCACTAGCAGTAAACTCTCGTAAGTGACTGTGTCGAAATAATGCTAAAACCTGTAACTTTGAATCCTTGATAAAACAGTTAAGAATTTCGTGGTTTTCTTATCTATTTGCTTCTTTCTCTTACCCTGATAAACATCAGTCAGTCTAGTAATATTAAGTCACCTCCACATTGATAGTCACTATTTACATTGGTAGACCTCATTGGTCATGAATTCTCGCTAAAATTCCAGGCAACTACGTTGTGTAGCCAGCCACTTACGAGCATAGATTAGCTTTCAAGAGTTAGTAGTAATACACTGGCTGAAAGTTCCGAAATTCGGAGATACACAATCTTAATGTATTTTTCAGGTTTCTGCTGTGGGTCTGTGTTAATACTCATTGCCAATTGAAAGCCTAATGGATATATACTTTCACCCAACAAAGATCTACTCAGCCTGGTTATCAAATCAAACAAGTTAATAGGCAGATACGTCTACAATAAAAACGCACCCATCTATCTATATCTTTTTGATGAGAAAAAGTTTCCTACTACATAATTTGACGTGATTAATACACCCACCCCACCAAAAATAGAAACTATTCATTAGACTACTTAATTTAATTTTAGATTTTGCTGTCGATTGATTCGACCGAAGTGCTCGGTTTCAGGTTGACATGTTGGCTTCTTGTGCAGATGTTTCGGTCCAATCAATCGACGGGAAAATCTAAAATTGAATTAAGTAATTAATATGACCTGTTGCACACGAGGTGGCTCTCCTGTGGCTCAAGGGGTCTAGTGGATAACGCTTTGGCGTTTGAAACTATGGGCACATGGTTCGAGCCCCGGTGGGAACATCATCACTCTCTGAGGAATGCAGGCACATGCAACTGACGAGTCCCAAGTGGGATGAAATACGCATCCTGGATTCCACTGCTAGTCACCATCCACTAATTAATATTCATTAGACTGATTATTTAGTAAAAGAAATATTAAATGGATATCGAAGTGAACACACTACGACTTAGTATCAGAATAAGCGCGAAACCATTTGAAGTGTTGAAATGCTTTAAATATCTGAAGAACTCTTTGCTTAAATAAAGGCGTTTTCTTACTTAGTTCAATGAGAACCCATGGAATGCATTTTTGTATTCATATGATTTTCAATTCCTGGCACTTTTACAATATACTTTTAAGTGTTAAATCAAAAAGAGATACTTTTTTTTTCTGTCTAACTAAAGAACTCAAAGACAATTCAACTGTGCTAACTGCCCACCTCTTAAAGTTAAACGCACTTCATGCTACAATGGCCAGAGACTGAAGCATATTATGTTCTTTATTCGACCATGGGTTAGTTCATCTGTGCAACCAAATGAATGCATTCGAAAAATTATCACAAGACGTGAAAAGTGTACAGCAGATTATCACACATCTGAAGGTAATTATTACATTTCTTTTTATTTCTTAGCTATATGTCTCCATGATATTTGTTACTCTGTAGAAAATTTAAAATAAAATCATTAATTTGAAGTCTAATAAATTGACAACAAAGTGAAGAATAACGAGTATAGAGAAACTGTCGCACAAAGGTAATTATTCTCAACAACTTTTGATATAAAAATAGATACAAAAAGAGTTTTACTATGACTAAGTCTCATATCTTGAAATATTTTAACTGATCCTGACAATATATGGAATAACGAAGAGGTTAGAAGGAGAAAGAAGGCTGAGAAATTTGGAAGGCTGCAGTTAATCTCCATCCAATGAAATTAACGAAATCAACCTAGTTTGAAAGTTCATATCAAGACATAAATATCTGCAAAAATATTTCAATAAATTTAAATGGGATAGACAACAAAACGCTTTGTAGTCATAGAAAGTCAGAATCAGAGAAGTCTGGATTGTTGCTTAGATAACTGTTGCAATCTACCCACAAATTGCATCTGATTTATCGTATTTATTATGATTATTATTATCAGATCCATATTTTAATTTCGTCATCAATCCTCTACCACTATATATATATACCTTTCAGTATCCCGATTGAAAGGTTATCTTAGATAATCTCTCCAGCTAATAGTAAAATTATCAAGTAAATTTTCTTCGCCATCTACTGATCGTAAAACAGTAAAATCCATTTTTGCTTTAACAGTTACTGGAAGAAAATTCTGACCAATCTTTATTTTTTTGGTTAGTATCTATTTTCTCTATTAACAAGAATGCAATCCTACTGAAAATTAGTACACACAATCAAGAGTGTCTAGTTAAACCATGTAGGCAAGAATTATAGATACTGTTCGGTTGTCAAGCATAAAGAGAAATGACAAGACAGATGACAAGAAATCAGTTAGAATGATATCATAAATATCTCGGGAATTTATTCTAATACAAGCTTATAAAGGACTCAAATGGAGATAGTAAATTTAAAATATTTATGAAAACACTTTAAGGTCATGGATTTGAAGTTCTACGTAGTTGAGAGATAGACAATGACATACAAGTCTAAAAAGAGAAGAAAAAATATTCAAATTTTTGCTCTCTGAGAATACAACCAAGTCAAAATACTGAGTGATTGTTGAACTGTTTTCACTTAGCCCTAGTGTCTCGTACTGCTTTTAAGATTGAAAATCTACTCAAAATGCGTGAATACTTTAATAGGTGAGTTATGACACGCAATATAACTTTGTTGATATTCGAAAATGCAATTAAGACGACGCGTCGTAAATAATCTGACTTGTGTTTCAAATTTTTGTTATTGACACAATATTGTTTCTGTTGTGTTTCAGGGGAATGTCGTGATATACTCAGTCATAAGGATTGTAAAGTTATTAAACAAAGTGGTGGATGTCAGATAAGTTCATATGAAGCTCGTAATTTATGTGCTAAAACATGTAGATTTTGCAAATGAATAATAAGACCTCGTCGTTACTACTAATACACTTTTTAAACTTCGAAATAAAGCAATTCCAATGATAATTAAAATGTTTTTACTATTTTTACTACTAAATGCAAATGTACCGTACACGTGGTCATCTGAGACACTTTGAAAAATAGAGAGGTTTGGAGTTTCCGGTGAATTCAGTTTGTTCATCCCGAGAAGATAGCTTTTTACTTTATGAATGTGCCTAGTATGCAAAAACAGTAAACAGTAAGGGTATAACTCCATAATGGATAGGATTTTATTTTAATAAATCACACAGTGTTGTACAGCTGAATTAACTGATGACCTTTCCTAGCAAAATCCTATCCATTATGGAGTTATACTCTACCACAGTGCCCAAGTTTTATACTTTTATCAAAACAGTAAGGGTGTTCAGTTAAATTTTTGTTCTGTATACATAATATACCGATTGCCTGCGCTTCATTAAAGAAAACGATGTAAACGAATCACAGTTTGGCAACACGCTCTCAAGATCTCCACTGGTTTACACTCCCATACAAGAAATGCACTATCTGTTTCTTGCACACGCAGTTTAAATCTCCCCTAAAAGATGAGGAACTGAAAGAATCGAATTATTCCTATCTTTCTTTTTTGAAGGTCAAGATGGATCATATTTTAGGCAGTTATTTTTCATATTTCGTTTATAAATCTTTTGCCAGATGTTAACCTTAAATTTCACTCCATTGTGTTCATTTATATTAAGTTAGTCTTTCTATAGTTTGGTTTGTAAGGGTTTGTTATGTTTTTACGAGTTGATGACGGACTGATATCAGTTACAGAACCATTGAAAACCAGGGAGTTAGTCATTTAAAGACTTTTAGTCGGTCACGATGCTCCTATCGGGTTCAAACACTGCACCAGCCGATTATTCGGCTTCTTATAAAGGGAATCGCAAAAATAAGGAGGAGGTGGAAAGGATGCTTTGAATAAATAAATAAAAGGAAGAAAATCGGAATTATCGGGGGGGGGGGATGTGAAGATGACGTAAAAACTTAATAGTGTCACTTCGGTAGACGTTTATGAGCAACAGTATATACTCCTTCTGACTTCTAATATAATTAAAAGTAAGCAAATATCAATTCATTTCACTATTTTACAGAAATCCCATACTATTCCTTTCAGTTTAAAATGCAGTGGAAATCCAGTTTTGCCTTGATAGTTTTCAGAAAAGGTGTGGGAATTACATGCCACAGTAAAAAACCTGACTGGTTTACAATGCTCTAAGAGAACTGAACTTCCTAGCGTAGACGATTTGATTGTAAACTTTATAGCAATGCACTCGCAAGTGACCACTTCTACATCAGTACTCCAGTTGTTATTGAAGCTCAGTAACACTAATACGAGGTCACCTTCGAATTCCCAGTGTGATAGTGGAAATAAATCAAACCGACGTAGGTGCTTGTTGTTTTCTAAGTGGTTAAAAAGTCTTTTGACCAATTTAGTCTGAGCTTTTTGAAAGGCTTCATAGCCACCATCTCACCATTCGCTTCAGTTTTAACTTCATGGCTTTAAATGACTACTTAATCACTGCTGTCTGTAACCTTTGTACTCCTAAAGTATGTTATCTATTTGAAAGACGTGTTCATTGTGCAAGAAAATTTTTCACTGAGCTTTTAACTTTCATAGGTCAAACGGGTGCAAAATGCCTTCTCAAAATCCGAAAGCACAATGTGAACACAGCGCGACAGTATACCGCATAGCTGTTTCACACTGTTAGCATACTAGTGAGTAAATAACAGACTTTTTGAAGACATGTGCAGCATTATTTGCAGAATGCTGTTAACAAGTGTATTTCCTCTGAAGCAATTTTCCTCCAAGCTTCTCATCACTGAGAACATTCGGTGCAGCCACCACCTTGAGGACGTGATGTTGTGTGTCTTACTTTCACCCAAATCACCGCTGTTAACACTGGAATCGGAATCGCTGCACTCTTAGCAAACGACTGAAGATTTAGCGATAGTGGCTTACTGACTAGTCAGTGCAAGATAAGATTATCAGTACCTACCACAAAGTAAGCAGATGCGCTACAAACCTAGGGGATTTAACAGTGGCGATCTCGAAATCCATGACACTACAGCAGAAATGTACCACTTCAGATTGCAGTCAACCATTGGAATCCGCCATAATATACAGTCAAAAGAAACGAAGAATGTATGGAAAATTTGGCACTTATTATCTAGTGGTCTGAAGAATGGTCTCTTCGCTAATGATGACTGCCCGTTTGACTAGATGGATAGCCAGTGTCACGTCTTCGAAGCCCCAGATTACAAGGATCTGGATGACAGTGTGTATTCGGAGAAGAGGAATACTAAGTATGAGCTTTGTGATAACTATCTGAACTATCTAGCTGTTGAAAAGTAGCTTGCAGATGAATGCTACTCCTAGTACACCTTTTACGTTGGTTACTTTAATGATCATTCTTTCTTAGTTCATCAAAGTATACTGGATTTCTTCAGGAAGTGTCTGATAATATAAAGGAGCTAGGAGGTGCAGTTCTGTCTTTTATGGATAAAGTTTGTGAAGTGCAGGCCAAAATACTTAGGCATATTCACTTAAGGTATGCTACTGTAGGGGCAGAAGAAAGACTTGGTAATGGACACTTTGTTATGGAAAAACACCATATTTATACATTTTTAATCACACTGAAGGTCGGCTAGGTCAACAGACATTAAACTATTCTGATTGGTAGTCGATTTGCCGAAGGTTTGTCGGGGATCAAAGAAGTTCGTCAACTCAACTGAACCTCAGACGTTTTGCGGTCAACGGTCAATTTGTTTATTCGTGCGGACTGAAAGACATGGTGGTAAATATAATTTTCAAGGGACAGGAGTTCGGCAGCTTCGCTGTGGTGTGATTATCTCTCTTCAAATCATCGTCAACAAATACATCTTTCAGCAGTCGTAAGTGTTATTCTTCCTTCGTTAGTTGGGGCGGTGTTAGGAGCAGCATTACCACCAGGTTATATGTGCGAGGCTGAAGACTGAGCAGGTAGTGGGGATAGAGCTCAGGTCTAGCGAGGTTGATGACCACACGTCAATCGTGAGCGTTACATCTAGTCGAGACCAACTGACAATGAGTTCAAAATCATTCAAGTAGCCTAAATAACCGGTTTCCTAGAGGTTAAACCTTGAGGGGAGATGTTGGCAAATTAGATTTTCTCCTCAGTACGACGCAAACCAAATCCATATTTGAGAGATAAATATGCCTGTCCCCACGGCCACTGACTTAAAATGTTGTTTTGAATTTTGGATGCTTCTTACCGATCCACATCTTTGCATTAATAAGAAGTCTCGTCAGTCTCACACATCGCACTACTACCCATGTAGGCAAACTTGATGAAAATGACCACGATATCAAGACACCCTTCTCATGATTGTGAATACTCTGGATGTTTTGACGAAACATCTCGTTAAATGAAATACTCTGAACATGCAGGAATAAGTGTTACTCCAGTTTCCGTAATTAATACATTTTATATCTCCGGACTATCCTTCAAAGTTGGAAATGACACCCCAACATCGACTTGTCGCTTGCTTAGTGCTGTACTTGACGAACGTTTCGCACGACTGATGACTTATAAGGGGAGTGGGGATAAAAACGTTGTTCGGGACTACACCTTTCAAATAACAGTTGGTATGTAGACTTTTGATAAGAGCAATATTGGTGCTAACCATATGTTCACATGCCATTCTTCGTGGACAACTGGAATTAGGAAACAATGAAGAGGAAAGAGTCAACGTCGTAGTGAGAACCCCGAGAAATCGGTGTCGTGACCAACAACTAAGGGAGAAGAACGAACCCTGATCAGCAGGGGTAGGCAATATAAATAGATGTTCGATTGTTATATTATATATATATATATATATATATATATATATATATACGCATTCAGTCGTATGCTTCGTTCCATTTTATTAAGGAAGTCATACCATGTCAGTCAGCCCGTTCATTGTCAATGAAGTAATTTCTACAATCAATTCTGTACACATTTTTCCCGTGTTTACTTCACCAAAATATACATTCACTTCACCGAGAATACCCATTTAGTCATGAAGATAATAAATTTAGCGAAGACAGTTTTCTTTATCGTCGAGAAAGAAAACTTCCTCGCTGAATTGTCTTTTATGTATTCATTTGCATTCAGTATATTATTCCAACCCTGCATTCGCCTTATCCTATTTGACTGAGTCACGGAATAATAGGGAGATTTAATTTTGAGAACAACTGTCATTATGCTTACTTGTTGGAGTGCGAATGAGTTGAGTAGTCAACATTCAAGTTCAAAAGTTGGTTATTGGTCCATAGAATACTTGGGAAGTAGTGAGTGATACGTTCGTTGAAGACGAGGAAAGGGTAAGAAGTGGGTTGTTAAAATTTCAGTGGAGATGTGGAGAGTGAGTATTTTATGTTGCACTTTACCCACCTTTTGTCCACGCCTCAACCAATCAAAATCGCTCACTTAGCCCACGTGTATTCTCCGATTGAGCTTACTGTCAAAACCACTGTAACCCATAACCTTTTACTTTATAGTTCACCAAAGATCAATTAACCTAGGCTTCTCCTACGTATTATTCTAGAAATGTCGAATTCAGCATATCATTTAAGTGCTGAGTGGCTTGTAGATATACTGGAACCTTTATACTGGATGTTCAAAATGACTTTGTATTTGTTTGAGATATGAACTTAACAAATAGAACTATTCATGAAAAATTCCCATTCGAACATTAATAGACAGAAGACAAGTAGTTCAGCGAAGAGTCTGTTTTCGGTGAACTCATTTTCATAGCTGTACAATCGCAAATATATATGGTTGTTTTGTATGTGTGTGTACATTAAATTTATAAAACGAAAATACAATTAGTAAGTTCAGGTGAGTTGGATGTTGATATAAGAGGGTGGTAACAAATGTGATGATTTGTCACAAACGACTGTTAAAGAAGAGTTACGTAATAAAATGAAATTACAAT